AAAAAAAAAAAAAAAAAAACAAGACTGCCTCCCTATCATAAGCTCGTAAACGCGTTGTTGTTTACTGCCGCTGCCATAATGTTGCAGAAACTCATGATCCCTAAACTACAAACACAAAGGTCTGGTAACCAGTTTCCGGTACTCCTGTTCTATAGTATGTGCATCCTTTTCCCTATCCGACAAAATTGCATATGCGCTCGCTTGCCACTGGACCTGGCCGGAAACCAAAATCAATGTGAAAGACAACTCGAAAAATCGATAGACGTATGCATCATTGGCGTCGCGATATATCATAGCGTGCGTACTGGCGTAATTACTTCATCATCGTGAGTGAAACATCGACTTGATGGTGTTGGAGAAGATGCCATAGCATCCTCTATAGGTGTGGTGTGCGGTCGACCAGGGGCATCTGATAAATGATTGGATGGCCGACGAGACGTTATCGAGGAACGTCCTGAATCACTTCTGGTGTTGTCCTACATGGCACCAAAAGGGGCGCCGAAATTGGACGTGCTCTTCAGTTTCAACGGAACATCAGCTTCAATGGTCTTAGCATCGCCTTCGCCATCGCTACCATCGGAGTTGGCTTGGGCATCAGCGGAACCATCCCCCCCAATAGGACCACCCTGCTTCAACCCGTGTGCTGGAACATTCAAGCCAGAAGGACCGGCAATGGAGCTCAATTCTTGAGATTGCATGACAGCTGGTAGTGCGTTCTGCCCTTGGCTGATAGGCTCCAGTTTCTTGTGTACTTCTTCCCAGAAAAGCTCGTCTTTGGCCGGCATGTTCCTGAGCATAAGGGGCCCTTTGAGGGGTTTATCACCATCACTTGGTTCCATCATAGCATCTGGCGCGTTCGGATCCAGCTCTTCAGTGAATGAGACGAAAGATACTTTGGAGTCACGTCTATCGGCTTGAGCTGGTAAAGATAATGTGTCGCCCTTCCCGTCTTCTGTGACGACAGCTGTTGCACTGAGATCGATAGTTGTTTCGACAGTTGGCGTGGCGCCTTCTCCAAGAATGGAAGCTGCGTCAGTCGGATTGACTTTGGGAAAGACCGACAGAGAATGGTTTGGCGTGTGGCCAGCGTGCATTGTTAGTCGACGAGACTCTACAGCAGAGAGGGCCTGCAAAGTGTATTCCTTGGATGAGCCGCGCACATTGGTCGGGCGCCGAGACTGCTCTGGGCTTTGAGCAGCACGTCCAGGCGGAGATGACGCTGGCGAGGCTGGGTTTTCGGGTGGAGATGCACCGGCAGCGAATGTGGACTTCTGGACCGCAGTGGCCTTGATCGGGATTCCTTCCAGCTTAGGGTCGATTTCTTGCACATCAATGATGGGCACAGGCGTGGCTACGTCCTCTGTTGGGGACGGCAGGAAGTCCTTGGCAACTGGGTTCTGGGTCTGCATCCTGGGATCGAGAGGGACGAAAGGTGACGATTCGGGTTGTGTTGTAGGAGACACGCAAGCACTGCTTGATGAGAAATAATGAGGGCGGCGAGAGGCGCCATCAAGACCGGGTGGTAGAGATGACGCATCAGTCATGGAAACACCGGCTGGGATGGTTGGATTTTGTGCCCTTGACGCGAGTCGTCCCGGTGGAGCAGGAAAGTAGGAACTGTCCAAGGAGCCCTCACCGCTTCCACCACGCTGACTCGCCAGAGGCGAAACCACGCCTGTAACCTGAATGCTTTGCGCCGTAACAGCTTTCAAAGCATTGTTTTCTCCTTCGAGCCTGTAAACTCGTTCTTTGAGCTCTTCAATTTCTCGGGACATGCCTTCTTTCTCAGCCTCCCAGCTTTCCCGGACCTCGTCCATGATTATCCGCTCTTCCTGGTAAACCTCTTCAACGCGTCGACGATTAGCTTCAAGATGGTTTCGTTCTGCTTCCCAAGCTTCGCGAATTGACTGGTTTTGTTGCATGAGGCGTTGAACCACATGCAACGAAGACTGAGAAGCAGCCACGGCGTCTGCGGAAACCGATCTTGACAGGGATGCACCAACGAGCCCAGAAGAGCCAACGTTGGGAAGAGGAGCTGTAGATGAAGCCGGCAATCGATGTCCGTATGAAGGAGGCGGGCCTCCGTGTGTAGGAGATACTGTCGCAGGACGACCTTCAAAGGTGTCGAAAGAATCGGCCTGCTGGGGGTACCGCCTGTAGTCTGGCGGAACAGACTGTGCTGCTCGTAGGGAATCCAGCGAGAGAGGGGACAAGTCGTTATGCTGAAGCGGTAGGGTACTCGCGGGAGGGATTCGGCCGCGTTGAAGTTGAATCTGGCTATAATCTTGGTTATGCGATTGACATGGGTTGAGATAGTGTTGTGGATATTGATGACGAAGAGTTCCGGCTCGAGGATACGAGTTAGGCGGAGACGGAATACTGGATGTATTGCGGTATGGCAGATGACTGTTGAGGGAAAGAACAGGATCAGAGTCGTAGGCGCCCGATGGCAGAAAAGCCTCGGGCGTAAATCTCGTAGCCATAATCATAGAAGGCTCGTAGAAGGTCGGTCGTGGTGGAGCGTGGAACAAATCGGAGCAGTGGGGGATCGATTTTTCGTTAGGAAGGCATAGGGCGTTTGAGGTTGTTCTAGTCGATTTCTTAAAAACTTGATATCGGTAGTCGCTACTGGGCGAAAGTTGTCGGGACGGTTTATCTTTCAGTCTGGGAACGTCGACCAAGGTAAGATAATAGTTCTCTTATTCGTTTGTTTAAAACTTTCGAGGGCGAGTGAGACCAGATCTGAGACCAATTTCAAGGGATATTGAGCGAGTTCGAGTTGGAGGTCTTAGTAGTATGACGCAGATAGGACCCGCCAAGCGCAAGGCACAAGGACCCTTTATCTTGAAGAAGGTTGTAGTGGGAGTGGGAGGGTTACGCCTTGCGTTAGGGTGCGCTGTGCAATGATAAGCTCAGAAGACGAGAGGACAGAACAATGTTAAGTAGGTCATTAGCATGAAATTGGAAAGAGGAGACAACGAAATGAAGATACAAGGTGGAGAGATGAGACGGCGAGTTATGGAAATGAGTCAAACGAGGCAAGAGCAAATTACCTTAGCTTAGGCACATTTAGAAAAGACGGTGACATTGATGATTCGTTCCTGCGCCAAAGCCAAGTTCGGGTCGGTACCTGCCCAGGGTTCCTCATTGCTGCCCGTAGGTACGCCGGGGGCCAGGTGCGCGTGCCGTGAAAAGATCAGAGACCACCAGGTGGGTCGAAGAAAAAGCGAGACTTAGCTGAGGGTATCATAAAGGTTAGGACAGTTTCCCTTGAGCTTAGTCCCTAAGCAAGTATAAGTTATTTTGTCAGTAGACTTCTGCGTCCTGGTTATTTTTCGGACCGCCTGACCACCAAGGAAGGTGTGGAGAGCGTGCCTGTCAGACGCCGCCACATCCAATGATGGCCTATCCGTAGAAAACACTTATTACCGGCTGACATGGAATGTTCGCCTTACCTCTCTGTCTGTGTCTCTGTCTATCTCTGCGCTTGACCATCACTTGTAGATGAAGAATAGGTATCTACGATTTTGATGGACCCTGGGCTAGTTCGCGTAAAAGTCAATTTCGTTTGGTTTTATTATACTCATTAACTGAACAGTCATCTTAGTAAGAATCTCAGGCTCTTTGTCCTAGCCCATACTGTATGTAGACTATGGTACTGTACTACCCGACCCATGTCTAAGGCTTTGGTACGACCCTCTAACAGGTACCTAGGTAGGCCCATGCACTTGTTCTTGTGCTGTACGGATACAGTACGTTATTTCTTTTCCAATTCGGCTGAATGTGATCCCTGGTCTCCCCAGATTTTCTCTTCCCACCACCTGGGAGGAATGACCGGAAGAGGAGGTTTGCCCAACTGGACCATGTCTTGCAGTCATATTGTGGTCTTACACATGGCGAAGACCACGGTATGGGGGATGGGGGATTTAATGTTGAAGTGAAGACACTTGTGGCAAACGACCCTTGCTTCTTGTGCGATTCGATATCCCAAGCATTCCATTGTCTCAGCCTTCTAGCATCATCTGTCATGCCTCACTCGACCTGCTTGCTTCTTCTTTGCAAGGGACGGGGCGTTGCGGTAGAGACCGGACCGCCGGGAGGACCAAAGGACGGGCGCATGGATGGGCCTTTTCTGAAAACTCAGCTGGATTTTGTTGCGATATCAAAGCATCCAATTCATTCGTCAGATTGATATCACGGTGAAGAGGACAGTGGGCTACGTGTACAGCACGTACAGTATCGGGATCCGTTGTTTCAGGCTCTGATACATTTTCTTGCTACTGCACAGTACTGCGTACATATGTACATACACTTACGGGCTCTCTGCGGCCATCCCTCGGAGATTCATGCTGGACACTTCTCTTGGCTGAATTGCCGTGCAGTGCAGACAGGGGCAGGCAAGGAACCGACAACATGGGGCTAATTCAATGCAAAAAGTTGAAGACCCTTTGTACAGGGTTAGCACCTAAATAATGGAGTACAGTACTGGACGATACTGTAGGGAATCTGGACACAGACACAACCACAACATCAACGTCAATGTTAACGTCAATACCGGATCTGTTTGATACAGCAGCCTGTAGTGTGGTGTGGTGTGCTGTACCTCCCATTCCTTGACGCTGTGCCGCCTATATGCTTACCTGGTTGTGAACTTGACTTACTTGTCTTGTCTTGTCAATGTCAAGGTCGCATCCTGGCCTCAGATCATCATCGATATTGGCCACTCGATCGACATGTGTGCGCACCAGAGACCAAACGGAACGCCTCCAATTTTTTCCACTGCAAGGGCGACCTCCACCGCGGTTCGGCCCCTTCAAGCTTCTAGCTTGAGTTGGCTGTTATCTAGAATCCATCCATATCTGATTAGGTTTGGGGGCTAAGTTCCATTAGTTTTTGCCATCTTTCTGGTCAACGCTTAGGCACACTCGACCAAACCTAAACATGCATCAGAATATTATCTATCGTTTAGTGAGTTTGAGAAAGTCATAGTATGATAAAACACATTTGTTGTCCATCTGTTTCTTAGACTACTCGGGAACATGTTCCATGCTTGATTGATTTCAATGGAAGCATCAGGGCTTGTGTTTCATCATAATCATTAGTCAAATTCAACCCATACCATTGCTCCACATTGAAGCCGAACAACGCATCAATGGGTGGATGGATGGACGGTACGGTACACTTACAGTACTGTACACCTCACACCGCGCGTTATCTCAGAGGGGTTCGCTGTCAACGCATTGCAGCCCAGCCAAGCCTGTCCCCTTTCTCATCTTTTGCTCCGGCCAATTGCGCCAGAGTCAGCCATGCCATGTGGCTGGCTGGATGTGGCCTTTGGGAATGTGGAGGTGCCGCGCAACCCAAGTCACCCAAGCTAGAAACTAGACAGACTTGGTTCCTGATCTAGATCGTTAAGCTTTACCTTCGATCTCGGTCTGCTTCACATGTCAGTGATTGTCTGACTCGAGCTGTACCTGATTCTATTTGTGGACTGGACTGGACTGGACTGGTGTCGAGCTTAGCCAGGGAGCTGTTGTTGTGCAAGAGCAAGACATGTGATTTCTTACATCTCAAAGAGGCTCCAACACATACCATTCATCATTCATTCATACATACAAAGCTATGCTCTCGTCACGAGAGACCTAGTTGCATGCTCATATGTTTAGTCAAGAATTTGGTGACGATATATGTAGTTACATCAATTTTGTAGCATGATTTATTAATCTCCATACTGTCGACATTGATATCTTTAATGCCCATGAGTCAAACATCAACCGGCCCCGCAGGGTTCGGACGAAATAGATGTGGGGCCGTGGTACGGGGAATTCGGTAGCAAAATCCGTCGACGAGGACAGATCGTCAACGCATGGTGAATAGCTGGCCGGGTTGTCGGGAAGAGCACCCATAAGTTCGAATGTAAACTAATTTGCTTGAACAGGCGAACTATAGGATACCGCAGGCAGCCCAATAACGTCATATATACAGGACGGGTGATATTCACAAAATGCTCGTAACTTCAAAAGGACATTTGTGCCACTGAGCAAGTCAAGTATGACCTAAGGCAATACGAATCACGATGTTCAGAAGTTTTATGAGACATCAGTAAAGTATATCGTTGCAGTAGAGCCAGGCATGATAATCTTGCCAATGTTTCATGGCGATGAAATAAATCAATATACATATCTTTAGGGTGGCTTCCATTCGGGAAGTTCTTATCCAAGTCTATACTGTCCATTTCGCCTCGCAATGCAGATGAAAAACATAACCGCTAACCCATGAATATCCCATGATTGTGTCCCAATCGTCGTCCGATTTTACCAATCCAGTGATAACTTCTCAATATCTTGTATCAGCGATTGAATCACAGGCTGGCTTGAGTTTCGCACCCCTCGTGTTCTGCCGACTTGCCTCATGCGTGTCCAAAATACAGGGCAATCCTTACTGTCACACTGGACATCCTCAACGGGTCCAATACCAGAGCAGCTTTGACAGAGCGAGAGCACCTCCTGTAAGCGACGTTCCTCAGTCGTCAGTCGTGTTTGAAGCGCGAGTAGTGCCGAGGGGATGTTTGTGCGACAAGATATACAAAGAGGATTGTCTTCCTGGGAGAACCTAATGCCGCAAACAAGGCAGTGCGTCGACTTCATGTACGATTCGAGAGTCGCTTTCTTGTTCCCAATTGTGGTTGCATGATGAACGCGCTGCACTTTTGGCATTTCATCATACCACTGCCGCACGTTTGCACCCATGAGGTTGAAGATGCGCTCGAGAGGGGGTATGAGATTCTTGGAGATGTAATACTCAGCATCTAGCTGCCAGTGCGGATTGCCGAGAAGCTCTTCAGGAGCAACACATCGATCGATGAGGCGAGCTCCTGGAGCACCAGTAATCACTACGTAAGGGACTCTCTCGCCATACTGTGGCTCTGCGCGAGCATCTTGAAGCATACGCTTGGTACTGATGAGGGCTCCTGCAGGTGGTGCACCTTTATCAGAGTATGTGCCTAGACGAACTTCCTTCGCGAAGCAAAAGTCCTGAACAGACACATTGTTGCGCATGATCTTTTGACATTGCTCCTGGAAGTACTCCTTTACTTGACTGAGGTCTGCAGTCTCGAAAAGTAGGCGTAGGGCCTTCTCCTCAATCTTCTGCTCAGCAGGTGTACCGTCACGGCGGACAGTCTCGATTCCTTTAGCGTCAAACTCAGGCTTCACCTGATCCTTGCTCTCGTACTTGTAGCCGACGTATCGCTTCTTGGCGAGAAGTACGCATGGGTGATAGACTTTCTCAAACTTGAGTTTGATTGGCCGTGGGTTCATCTCAGTGATCGCCTTTGAGATCTCGTTGCCGATGTCAAATGCCTCGTCTTTGGTTCGACCTTTCAAATAAATGAACAAACTGTCGGTATCGCCATACACGACTTCTGCGCCCCATTTCTCGACCGAGTGGATATACGCAATTGCTCTTTCAAGAGTCTCCCTACCAGTTTGCACGATACTGTCTGCAATTTCCGAGCAAGGCATACGGCCAGAAAACGAGGCCGAAGTATAACCATATGTGACATTCGCGAGCAACTTGAGAGCGAGTTGTCGGTTGTTGAGAAGTTGTTGAAGAGTTTTATCGTCTTTGTCTTGCTTCATACCGCTCTTGACCATAACGCGAGTTTCGAGGATCTCAGTCAGCATCTTGGCAAGCAATGACTTTCTGATTTCTGTCTTTGCATACATCATACCGTTCGGTGCGATGTTGATGTAGTCCTTTAAAAGGGCAAGAAGACCTTGCTGACGCTTATACTCGGTGAAACCCATTTTGTTCATGCCTCTCCAGTTGGTGACTCGACCCAAGAAAGTTGAATAACAATAATTGTAAGCGATCATGACACTTGGGTATAGACTCTGAAAGTCAAGGACCAGAAGGGGGCTGTTATAGAAGGCACTTTGGGGTTCCATGACAAGTGGTAAACACTCAAGAGCGTTTTGACCGCCGACTTGCTTGCGACTGGGCGATACAAGAAGAAAGTTTTCTGGTTTGGCGATTCTGAACATGATCGACTCAACCTTGAACTGTGATCCCCGCGAAAAAACCGAGAAGAAATCTACACCAAGAAGCCTTGCTTGCTCACTTGTTCTGGCGATCAATTCGTTGGCATCTAATATCTCGATGTCGAGCTTTGTGCGATTCTGGTAGTATCTCAGCATCCTGCTGAGCTCTCGGTGCTTGCCACTCTTGTACCAACTTGTTAATGATTTCCAAGTGTAATGGGGTATACGCTGATGCAGCAGGTGCCAGGCAACGTTCTCCATTGTGTACTGAAGGAGATTAAGCTCTCCTCGCATTGCCCGCCAGATATTAACCATGTGACGACCCGTAACTCGAATCGTAGAGGTAGTGTTAAATCCCCATCGGTCGTTTTCTTTACCGAACCTGCCATGGGATTCGGCTTTCATGCGAGAAAACTCATCACAAAGGTTATAGTCGTATTTTAGCCGGGCTCTCTCGATCAGATAACCCCATGAGCTGCCATGGACTTCGTAGCCAGTCAGGATGTCAGGATCATAAGTCCTCACTATTTCTACCATACGAACCATGAGATCTAGCTCAGAAGTTTCCTCAATGACATCGGCAAATGCTTGGCGGTGAACACGCTGCGTAAATTCGAGATCGTTGGACAGTAGTAGAATCCCTGTTTGAATCGTTCTCATTGAGTCCTGACTGCCAGCGGAAGCTCCGTCAGACTTGATTGCCCAGAAAACACACTGGATTTCATCTTCTTCAGGATTTGGAACGAAATTTCCCCTAGTGTTTACATGAACCTCCAGGCTCATTGTACTCATGTATTGGACCTCGTGCTGCACGCTTGTCGCTTTTTTGCCTGGTGTGTACTTGAAGCCGTGCTTGTTCTTTGGCGTTGGTCCTTCGATCTGAGAGCGGCAGTGTCTAGGAGTTGACGGCAGTTTGGACACATCCTGGGTATTGGCTTTGCGCTCTTGTTCAAGCCGCCAGCTCTCAACTTCGTTGTAAGTGGGTGGGGGGCTTGAAAATTCCCAGCTCCTCCATGAACATTCCTTCCCTTGTCGTTCATACTGGAGTTCAATGGTAGCTTTATCAAGAGATTCGTACTTGAGTCCGTAGTTGGCTGGCGATGTAGCCGTTGGATCGAATTCGGGAAGAAACGGTACAGTATTGCCTTCTAATCGAAACTCTTTCCCGGCGTACTCACGTATTCGACCAGGGACATCCTTTTCCTTGCTATAATATGCGTCTTGGTAGAGGACTTCAGGGAGCATATGTTCCTTCAATGATGATACCACAGAAGCTGCGATTGGCGGTAGAGAGGAAAGCAAATATACTGGTGGACTGGCAAATCTGCCCATAGCTCGCTGGATTTTAGAGAGATTACTTTTGCTTTCTTCTTCACATATCAAAGATGGTACCAGAGCCACCCGAGAAGGTCCCGATTCAGCAGGTAGAAAGCTGCTGGGATCGAATGAAACATGTTTGGTGTGCCGACCTTCGTCGGTTTGTTGCGAAGCGGATTTTTGGCTTATTTGACTGAGACGGAGCTTCGTGCTTGGATCATTCTGATCTTTAACAGTAGGGAAATTCAGTTTATGGTTATTCCCGGTGGTACCTTTCAGGACAGACCCCAAGGTCTTTTTATGGGAGGAGTGGCCCTTGAGAATAGATGATCCCCTAAAAGAGGGTGTAGGCCGCTTGCTTAGGTGTGTGGAAGGTATGGGGACCAAGTCCATTTCATCCTCATCCTCGTCCTCGTCGATTGTTGGCTGCTCGTGAGGTTTGAGCTTTTTGCTCGACAATTGGGATGACGCAACATCAGTCATTGGTCGCTTCAGCTGTGTTGAAGCAGAGGAAGTATATTTCGGAGCGTCAACCGCACGGCCAACCAGGCCTTCATCCTCCACGCGGTGAAACAAAGCTTGATTCAAGGGAACGGCAGGCAAATTGCCAGAGGCCAGACCACTCTGACAGACACCAAGAATTGAAGACCAAAATGGCTTCTGGCTTGATTTTTCGAAGCCGATATCGATTGCTGCCGCCTGTTCCAGATCTTCTGGAAATTGGTTGGTACAACCGCGAGACTCCTTATCAGCAGCTTTCCCCATTGCCACCAATGCCGTGATGGCCTCTTCATCTGAGTCTTCTGGGAAGACTTCGCCATGGGCCTCTCGGACTTCGCGCATTTTCCCCTCGTCGACTATGATGCTGCTTTTCAGGTCTTGGCCAGGCTGGATGCCTAAGGGCAATCCCAAAGCTGCCGCGAGATTCGATGGGAAAAGGTCTTCGATCGACTCCAGCGTGGTCTTGACATGCTCTTCGTAGGGATGAGGCTTTGCAAAAGCCTCAAAAGTGAGCTCCTCTGTATCGAGGGCAACATTCTCTGATGCGATAAGGTTCTGAATCTCGGTTCTGTACTCTTCTTCGTGTATCCAACCCTGAGGCTGTGAGTCGCGTGGATTGGCTGACATTGATACAAGGACTTCTGGAGGAAATGGACTGCTGCCTTCAGTAGGGTTTGGCATTTTTCTTTTACGCCTCTTGGTCTCATCTTTCCATAGCCCAGCCATGCTGTAAACCAGCTTCATGTCTGAGGGAAGAGGGTTGGTCCGCTCGGTAAAATCATGGTGAAGTGGCCTTTCCTTGACTTTGTGCCTGTTGACTATATCCTGGACGCATATATCAACTTCAATCGAGCAATGGCTGCTGCGCGGGAGTGTAGTTTCGTCGGTAATGCACTCCTGGGGGATAGACTGGCTGTGCCAGAGGTGAGAGGAATCCGGTCTTTGATCATATTCGGGGACCGGTGACCGGAATCCGGTACTCGTTGATTCCAAATAATCGCAGCCATACAAGTTGAAATCCGTCATGAACTGAAGAAGGAATTGCAGATGGGCTTCGTATGGCTGAAACTTTTGTTTCATAATAACGCCTTGCTGGAGGAGATCGGCCAGTCGAGTCATAACAATAGGGTTGAACATGTAGATCTTTAAGAAGAACTTATACCCGACATGAAAGCCATAGAAGGGTATACCCTTGACGAGAGTAATCCTTGCCACAAACCTTGCATTGTCGTTCTTCTGATCTCTGCGGTAGCTGACAGCCAATGCGTGGTCGATGGACAAATGGAAACGATAAATGTAGGCGCCGACTAGTACATATCAGCAACTACCTACAGAATGTGAGATAGTAGTTAACGAACCTTCATCGCGAGACAAGCCCCCTTCGTATTCCACATACAAATATGGGAATGCACCGTGAATATGCGCACATACTTTTTGGCCTGTCTCAGTGGCTCCAAAGACGCGTACTATAGGGACTTTGGGGCCCTTGGAAATCTGAGAAGGACGTATATCATTACGCAGCTGAGGGTCGTATTGTGTGGGCGTCGCTTGATAGTTGTCGATACAATTCAACCTGACCCGGAACAAGTCCATATTCTTCAAAGCTCGGATCCATCGGGGGCTCAAAAGTAATTCAAGGAGCAGAATAACCAAACACCGGTGGAAAACTTGGTCCTAATAAGTGTACTTCACTGTCAAGATCTATAGGTACTATACCTAGCATGAGACGCGATTTGCCATTGCCATCCCTGCCAGCCATCGACAGACGCGCGTGGTCACGTGCTGATAGAGCTTATCTAAACAACTTTCTGCTCCTAGAGTTGATCTGCAAGCTTAAGCATTGTCACCTGCTTTTCTCCTACAATCTTATGGTCGGCCGCATTCTCGTTCTTATAACCACTACGAAAACCGAAAGAGCTTCGAAAATCCCCCAATATGCCTGCTCCCCCTCCAAAACCGCCCCCTTCAGGCGCCGGCGCAGGTGCTGCGTCAAAGGAAGAGAACATCTACATCCCATCCTTTATCAGTAAGCGACCTTTCTATGCCGGCGAAGAAGGCGACGACACCGACTATCTCAAGCATCAGCGCCGCGAAGAGAAAGATGAGAAATCACAATGGTATGACCGCGGCAGGAAGGCGGGCCCAGCGGCTACAAAGTATCGGAAGGGCGCTTGTGAGAACTGCGGCGCCATGACGCATAAGAAGAAAGATTGCCTAAGTCGGCCGCGCGCAAAAGGCGCTAAGTGGACAGGAAGGGATATCCAGGCCGACGAAGTGATTCAGGATGTCAAAATGGGATGGGACGCCAAGCGCGATCGTTGGAATGGCTACGATGCGAAGGAATATCGCAACGTAGTGGACGAGTTCAACCAAATGGAGGAGCTGCGCAAACAAGCCACGAAAGGAGAAAATGGCGATGAAGAGGCGGACGAGGGCGACAAGTACGCCGAGGAGAATGACATGAGCAAGCACCAGAGCACAGCAACTCGACAGTTGCGAATTCGAGAAGATACAGCCAAATATCTTTTGAACCTTGATCTGGAATCTGCGAAATACGACCCCAAGACACGATCGTTGGTGGATGCTGGTGCAACCGCAGATAAGGCGGCCGATGTCTTTGCGGAAGAGGGATTCATGCGGTCGTCTGGCGATGCTGGTGCTTTTGAGAATGCTCAACGTTATGCATGGGAAGCCCAAGAGAAGTCAGGAGACACGAGCCAACACTTGCAAGCCAATCCAACGGCAGGTGAGTTCTACCGCAAGAAGGAGAGAGAAGAGGCCGAGGCAAAGCGTGCGGAACGAGAGAAGCTGCTCTTGGACAAATATGGGGGAGACCAAAAGGCAATGCCAGCTGCTTTGCGCAACATGACTGTGACTGAATCCGAAACATTCGTCGAGTACGATGAGGCTGGCTTAATCAAGGGCGCGCCCAAGAAGGAGGCCAAGTCCAAGTATGCCGAGGATGTTCTCATCAACAACCATACTTCCGTATGGGGCAGCTGGTGGTCCAACTTCAAATGGGGGTACGCTTGTTGTCACTCATTTATCAAGAACAGCTACTGCACTGGAGATGATGGCAAGACAGCATGGGAGGCAGCCGAGCGTCAACGCACTGGCGCCAATCTGATTGAGGATAAGGAAGAAGATCCCGAGGATACCACGAAAGAGGATGAGGAGAAGAACAAAGAAGAGCAACCGCATAAGCGTACAAGAGAGGAAATGATGAACGGGGTCACGGAGGAGGAGATGGAAGAGTTTAGGAAGAAGAGACGAGCAACGGATGATCCCATGGCAAAGATGTTGGGCAGGGATGAACTTTTATCATAGCGAAGCGTTCATTAAAACTAATTCCGATTGACATCACGAACATATTGCAGCAACACGCAGGGCGTTTTGAGTATTCACAGTGATCAAGCATGATGGGTGGATGATGTCGTGATTGGATTCATGTTTCATGAGATTCATGTACACAGTTGAGGAGACACCGGGAGATTTTTGTTTGTCGTTATCCGGTGAAATCATTCCATTTTTTTCCTCTGGCCAACGCCGCAAGCTATGAAGAGAATCCCCTTCCCATGAGTGGTATCCCATCACCAAGTGCCCTAGACAGGGAGAACCGTTTTTGCATTTTTGATTGCATTTACTCCTCGTCCTCCTCGTCCTCGCCACCCTCACCGCCCTCGGCGGCCTTGGCCTTCTTTCTGCGGACACGGCCGGGACGGCCACCACCGAAGGGCGAGGTAAGAGCGAAGTCAATGTGCTTCTGGGAGTCGAGACGGACGATGAAAGAAGGAACGTTGACGATCTGCTTTCCGACTCGGATGTGGCGCTGGCGGATCAGGACACGAGCGTGGTGGATAGACTTGGCGAGACCGAGCTTCCAGACACAGGTCTGGAGACGACGCTCAAGGAAATCCTCGATCTTGAGGGCCAGGACGTAATCCAGCTTCATGCGGGACTCGTCGAGAACACCGACACGGACGAGACGTCGAATGAGGGCATTGCCTTCGAAGAGACGCTTGGGGTCCTTCTCGTCGAGGGTGAGGAGCTGACTGTGTGAGGTGTTAGAAAGTTTGAACCAGCATGACGTGAAAAGTGTCAAGGTCTTCATACCGGGCAGCACGACGGATCTTGGACAGAGTCAGACCGACTCGCCAGACCTCACGCTTATTGCGCAGGCCATACTCGCCGACGAGCTTAAGCTCGGAGTCACTATTATTATCGGTCAGTCTTGGTTCACAATCGACTTAAACAGAGTCAAGCTCATGTTCAGTGGCCGGTGATACTGACAGTCGGGCAGACTCGAAGGGTCGGCGGGGGACACGGGAGGTCTTGGAGTGGGCGCGGGGAGGCATCCTGAAGTCTTTGTTAATTGAAGGACTTGGTGATATTCTCGTCGTGACACTTACTTGACTTGCTCCTTGGGTGTTCTGCGGGAGTTGAACTTTCTCACGAGATCCAACAAAAATGTGCGAAGGAAATTTGGCGGCAGCTCGAGGTCACGTGTGGGTGATCTGAGGAACCCTAAATTTGGCAAATTTGGCAGGTGCGGGTGGGTCGCCCTTGCCCTACCGAAAAAAAATCGGAAAATCTGAGGTGCCGTCCCACAAGGACGCTCGAGAAATCCAGAACACCAAAGCGACGGACTTCACCATCTCTTTCGCCAACCCACGACTACTAACCCCAACCCTCCCGCGACCGGCAGATCACACGATTCGAGATGGGTCACTCCTACGGAAAGAGAGCGGGCACCCGCGTATGTTCAACCAGCGATTTGCGAATTTCGACGACGTCGGCATGAGACTGACGATGTGAAATTATAGTATGCCTTCAGCCGGGACTTCCGCAAGAAGGGTATGATTGCCCTGAACACCTACCTCCGACAGTACCGCGTTGGAGATATCGTCGACATTAAGGCGAACGGTGCCGTCCAGAAGGGGTAAGCAACGCCCTTTGCCAACCTGCGACAAAACATACGCGAAATTGCGGAACTTGGACGCTTTTTGGAAATCTTGTGGGCAAAGCAACAGGAGGGCTAACAATGAATTCCAGTATGCCCTTCAAGGTCTACCACGGAAAGACTGGTGTCATCTACAACGTCACCAAGTCTGCTGTCGGTGTCATCATCTACAAGCAGGTCAAGCACCGATACATCGAGAAGCGAATCAACGTCCGAATCGAGCACATCCAGCAGTCCCGATCTCGTGAGGACTTCCTCAAGCGAGTCAAGGCTAACGCCGAGGCTAAGCGTGAGGCCAAGGCCAACGGCACCGTCGTCCAGGTCAAGCGTCAGCCCGCTGGACCTCGTGAGGCCCACACACTGTCGCTCTCCGACAACCCCCCTATGACCGTTACCCCTCTTGCTTACGAGACTACGATCTAAAAGAAAAGATATTGCGAGGGTTGGTGGTGCTTGCTTCTTTTTACTTGGGGTATTGCGTCCGGATGGGAAAGAAATCTGCATGGCAAGGGCTTGCCTTTTGATGTCTGTACGGCATAGGACCAAAAAAATGACATCGTTTGAAGCATGCCTCTTCCCTGTACTTGAAGATACCTCTGGTGAACTGTGTCCAGCCCGTGTAGAGGGCTCGGTATTGACTTGGCGTAAAAATGAACTGCCGCTTCTCCCAAATGCCCTCTGAAATGTGCTTCTCCAGTGATGATCAGAATTCCAGGACTACATGTGAAAGAACCCATCATTCCAATCGAGGTTACTTACATTCATGTTCTGTACTCAAAGGAAAGGGTTTATTTTTTGTGGCAAACCCCATCCACACAGCAAATCATGTTAGTATTAAAGAGTTACGAATATGAAGAATTGAGTCTGGGATATGGTAATCGATCACTATCTGTCTGCTTTTATTAGATATTAAGCGTTTGATATACATTGTGCATTCATATCTAGAGTAATTTATAGTAAAGCCAAATGTCAATTATACCTACCCTGTAGTCTAAGTGTTAGTATCAAGGTAGTTTACAGATTTCTGCCTTACCATTTCTACGATTCTGCACACGAGGGATCGTCAAAAACAACTCTCGCTGTGTTTGGCACAGTATACGCAATGCTACTGACATCAATTGTCCATTACTGCTGCTTGAATAACAACACTGTTCGACATTACTTCAATACAAGTAATACAAACATACTCACCCATTGATATCTGGAGAAGGAGGAACTTCGGAACCGCTATTAATGAAGGCGCTTTTGAATGCCTCCTAGAATAAGCAATCATATGTTGTGTGAGGTCTAGTTCATCTTGCAGATATCATATTGAATGTGGTTCTTCAAGGAATCCCATCTTCAATTTACTGCGCCCCACAAAACAAGAATACGTACCCCATATGACGCTCGCCAGGCCTCTTCCATGGCTTCGGCCCAGCCACGAAAGCTACGGCATCGAATAGTAGCCAAGACGAGCCACGCCCAACAGTCGCCCGAACTTGTAAAGGCTGACGACGACGACCTCCAATTCTTGCCCTACATTGGGTGTTTCTGAATAGTTGACGCCTGAATCCTACCATACCTTTACCTGTCGCTGACCGTTTACCTTCTGCCTAATTCGTTTGGCTTGCGCGGTGTCGGGCTCGACGGGGAAATTGTCTCGTGATTTCCAGGGGTTACTACGACACCTTCGAAGCTCGCGACGAACTCTACCTGCGCAGATACCTTTACCACATACCGGAATCTAGCATCGCGGAGCTTATCCGCTACCAATTGCAAAGATGTCTGCAGCTGTGCGTGGTACTGAGCATACCAAGTCAGTGACACATCGCGGCGCTTCAAGAACAACAAGCTGACTTCATCATCTTGCGCAGGACTGATCAAGAGCTCGCCATCAACATCAAGAAAGCTACGAATGCCGAAGAGATCTCCCCGAAGCGCAAACATGTTCGCGCATGCATCGTCTATACATGGGACCATAGATCCTCTGCCGCCTTCTGGTCTGGCATCAAGGTGTATGTCACACACGCCCTCTATTGTGTCAACTTATACTGACCCAGAATCTAATAGTCAACCGATCCTTGCCGATGAAGTTCAGACGTTCAAGGCACTTATCACGATCCACAAAGTGCTCCAAGAAGGCCACCCTAGCGCTCTGAAGGAAGCGATGGCTAATCGCGCCTGGATCGATAGCTTGAACCGCGGCATGGGCGGAGGAGGTGAAGGCATGCGCGGCTACGCACCTCTGATCCGCGAATACGTTTACTACCTCCTTGCGAAGCTTTCCTTTCACCACCAACACCCTGAGTTCAACGGAACTTTCGAATACGAAGAGTACCTGAGTCTCAAGGCTATCAACGACCCTAATGAAGGCTATGAGACCATCAGCGACCTGATGGTGCTGCAAGATAAGATTGAGCAGTTCCAGAAGCTGATTTTCTCACACTTCCGCAATGTTGGAAACAACGAGTGTCGCATCGCGGCTCTGGTGCCCCTGGTGCAGGAGAGTTACGGAATTTACAAGTTCATTACTAGCATGCTCCGTGCAATGCACTCAAGTCAGTGATTCACTCACCCCCCCTTTTTAGGATCTTTAGGGTTAACGAAAATGCAGCAACCGGCGACGACGAAGCACTTGAACCACTCCGTGAACGTTACAATGCACAGCATTATCGCTTGGTCAAGTTCTATTATGAGTGTTCAAACCTTCGATATCTCACTAGCCTTATCACCATCCCCAAGCTTCCACAAGACCCCCCCAACCTGCTGGCCGAAGACGATGACGCTCCTGCCCTTCCAGCCCGTCCGAAACAGGAGATTGAGCGAAAGCCGTCCCCCTTGCCGGAGCCCAAGAATGAAGCCCCTGACGAGATGAATGAGTTTTGGAAGAGTGAGTTGGATCGTCAAAACCGAGAATACGAAGAGCAGCAGCGTATCCTTGAGCAGCAGCAACAGCAAGCTCTCATGGCGCAACAACAGGCGCAGCTGCAAGCACAGCGCGAATTCGAGCAACAGCAACAGCAGCTCATGGAGCAGCAGCAGCGTGAACAGGAGGCACTTATGGCGCAACAGGCTCAATGGCAGACCCAAGGGCGTCTTGCAGAATTGGAGCGCGAAAACCTCAATGCACGTGCCCAGTATGAGCGTGACCAGCTGATGCTTCAGCAATACGACCAGCGAGTCAAGGCTCTGGAGGGTGAGCTGTCGCATATCCAAAACAGCCTTGGCCAGCAGATGCACAGCAAGGATGACCAAATCAGGGCTCTCCAGGAGCAGGTCAACACATGGAGGACGAAATACGAGGCGCTGGCGAAGCTCTATTCCCAGCTACGGCACGAGCATCTCGACCTTCTACAGAAATTCAAGGCAGTTCAACTCAAGGCAGCAAGCGCACAGGAGGCCATCGATCGACGAGAGAAGCTCGAGCGTGAGATCAAGACGAAGAACCTCGAGTTGGCCGACATGATCCGTGAGCGTGACCGTGCTCTCCATGACAAGGATCGCGCGAGTGGAAGCAGCAAGGATGAAGTTGAGAAGCTCAAGCGCGAGCTCCGACTTGCTCAAGATAAAGCCGACAATCTGGAGCGCAGCAAGGGCAACGAATTGTCGACAATGCTTGCCAAGTACAACCGCGAGATGGCGGATCTTGAAGAGGCGCTGCGCAACAAGTCGCGCCAGCTGGAGGACGCTCAAATGAACCTCCGAGATGGCAGCTCTGATCTCGAACAGCTTCTCCGAGACAAGGAGGAGGAGCTCGAGGTGTACAAAGCGGGCATGGACCAGACACTCATCGAGCTCAACGAGCTCAAGATGAATCAGGGCGATACTGACAATGCTCTGGATGGACAGATTGATGCACTTATCATGTCGAATCTCGACAAGATCAATGACATTATCGACTCAGTTCTCCAGGCGGGTGTTGCGCGTGTAGACGATGCTCTATACGAGCTGGACTCTAACATGCAGGCTGGTAACCAGAATGCATCACCGTCATACGTATTGTCACAAATCGAGAAGGCATCAGCCAGTGCTATGGAGTTTGCTACATCGTTTAACAATTTCATCGCGGACGGTCCTAATGCGACGCACGCAGATCTCATCAAGGCTATCAACGTGTTCTCTGGTGCCATTGCTGATGTTTGCAGCAACACAAAGGGTCTCACTCGTCTGGCTACAGATGATAAGAAGACTGATTCCCTAATGAACGGGACCCGGCAGCCTGCTATTTCGGCGGTCCAATTCCTCCGAGGTCTCCAGAGCTTCAGACTGGAAGGCATGGACCCCCTGCAGAAGACCGATGTAGTCATCAACAGCAACAATGATGTCCAAATGAACCTGCAAAAGCTCAACAAATTGGTTGAGACGTTCGCCCCAGGCTTCGGACAGCTCGCCAACAAGAAGGGAGACTTGGGCGATCTCGTCGATTCAGAACTCAGCAAAGCTGCGGATGCCATCGCGGCAGCTGCTGCACGACTGGCCAAGCTCAGGAACAAGCCTCGTGACGGCTACTCAACCTATGAGCTCAAGGTAAACGATTCGATTCTGGATGCGGCCACGGCGATCACCAACGCCATTACGCAACTCATCCAGGCGGCCACTGTGACACAGCAGGAGATCGTACAGGCCGGACGTGGATCGACATCCAGGACGGCATTTTACAAGAAGAACAACCGATGGACGGAAGGTCTCATTTCTGCTGCCAAGGCTGTGGCGTCGTCGACCAACACTCTGATTGAGACAGCAGACGGCGTCATCTCTGGACGTAACAGCCCAGAACAGCTTATCGTGGCCTCGAACGATGTGGCTGCCTCCACAGCCCAGCTTGTGGCTGCAAGCAGAGTCAAGGCAGGGTTCATGTCCAAGAGCCAAGAAAAGCTCGAACAGGCCAGCAAGGCTGTGGGTGCAGCTTGTCGAGCGTTGGTGCGCCAGGTCCAGAGTTTGATCAAGGAGCGTAGCCAAGAAGAAGACCAGGTGGACTACACCAATCTTGGCGCGCACGAGTTCAAGGTGCGGGAGATGGAACAACAAGTAAGTTCAGAAACTGTTTCCTGTCATTTGTTTGCCAACCCTTTTGCTCCCATGTCTCATCCCACGCCCCACGCCCCACTCCTATCTCCGATTCCCCTGTCCCCCCCCTTCACAGGCCATTCCCGGTCCTGTGCGGGCATAACGGTTACTATATCCGGCAAAGTTCCGATTAGATTCTCGTGTAAGATCAGTGACTGACAAGCCACCAACACAACAGGTCGAGATCCTCCAATTGGAGAACGCCTTGGCTTCGGCTCGTCATCGCTTGGGCGAGATGCGGAAGATCTCATACCAGGAAGAGTGAGGACGCGAATTTGCGCTTGCCCGGGCGGTAGGTATTTGTGGTATCCGGTATACCGGCTGGAAATGTGCAGCAAGGATGCCGGCTTGTCCACCAATATCAAGTTAGACATTTCAATTAAGACATTTAATCGCAGCGACTTTTGTATACATAGTCTACAAGGTTTTGGCATCATTGCTCAATCTCACTAATTGACAACTCTTCTGCTATGCAGTCACATCTGAGGTTGGCACACAAGTAGGTCTTTGGGTGGGCTGATCACACGCGACATGCATATCCAGCACAAGCGAATCCAAAGAACTCCTTGCAGCCTGACACGATGGATGAAACGCAAACGCAAACGCAAACCCAACCAAAATTTAGCCCTTGCGAAGCACTGAAATAAAGTTAAGTGCGTAGACGTTTTGACAGGAGCTCACTTGCTGTTTCGTGTGGACTTCGCCAAGAGACCACTATAGAAGCTTCCTTCCCTTCACTTCCCTTCGCGACGCGAGTGACCGCGAGCTACTGTACAGTAACATGGAGGTTAAGTGTAGACGGGCTATCCGTAACCGTAGATCATTCGTACAGTACCGAAACTAGCTTCAAGTCACTTATACCATTACAGTAAGCACAAACTGTCCGGCTTGCTAGACTACAACGAGAATAGCTTCGTCTAGAGGGAAACAGGTTAGATCTATCAGATACGTCGAGTGTGCGTTATCCGAATTCTTGGATCTTCTGAACATACCTCTGACTTCCCTGTCACCTCGCTTACTGGAACTTTATTCTTGGCGTCCTCGTACATAACATTTGAGGGGCTGAAAGATGTGGTTTCTCAGGGGACTTGAGTCCGATGACACTCGCCCTGATCTCAATGGTTGTCTAGATCGTTGTGCCCCTGTAACTCTCTGGTGTCGACCTCTCATTTGCTTCTGTTACTCTCTTATGTGAGTACGGGCAAGAGATATAGTGCCAGCCATGTTTGGACTCCTTGAATAGCGCAGCTCGGTACTGAACGGGCTTGTCGGCATTCAATCTGGCGTAGACCAAACTCGCGCTCGCGCAGGAACATGGACATTGAAATCGCAGAGCGACTACAGCACTGTTGTTCGCAACGCCTACTAGACCCAGGGATTTAACTTAGCTGCAAGCAAGCCTTCGGACTGACCCATGAATGGGTGGTACTGTGCTGGCTGCACGGTAGGTCGAAAGGTCGAAAGGTCGAAAGGTCGAAAGGTCCCGGTCCATACCTCATTCGATCAACGAAGCTGAGAAAGATCCGGAGAGAACCTCGCCGGTCGACCCCGTCCCACTAAGAATCTTAGACTCGCGACTGGCCTTCTGAGACATGCAGGCAAACACCAGGAACTGCCAAGCCTGCGTAAGGCCCAACTATGTCTCCTAGCCCGGTCCCTGGTACAGTACGGCACGGTACTAAGATGTAGTCTGAGAGGCGGTACGGTACCTGTGAGCTCACATAGAGTGAGTGACTGGATCATCTATCTTTGCATCATATGAAATCCAACTCCTGTTAGCTGTCACTCAAGGCATGAATGTCCGGACATAAAGTACTGTAATAGTACGATTGCTCGATGACGCCCACCCCTGCTACCCTCCACTACCCCATCTTGGATCCCATCCATGCTATTTCCGTTCCGGTACTGTACAGTAAATAACGTACTGGATAGTGCAGTAAGGCTGAAGAGTAGTCTGATAGGAGGGATCACGGACCAGCAACGTAACTTCAATGGGCGATAATTGCGAATATGGAACACACTAGTCTGATTTCTGTTGATCGTTTGCGCAGATGGACGACCAGTAGCTGCCAATGAATGTCATGGCAGTTCGGTTAAATGTTGTGGATCAAGCGCAAGGGACTGAGGAACAGTATGGTACTGTACCGATATGCTGCATTGAATTAGCGCGGTACCTCAAGAACATCTAGACTCATCGCCATGCAGGCCGAGCACTCAAGGACTGTGTGACCTTTCTTCATTTCGTTCCATCACCCAATGTACTGTACTGATAACCTAGACAATGTGTCGAGAGAAAAGGAAAATTGGTGGGTTGGTCGCTGGGAATAACATGGACCCCCATGTCCTCAGATCCATCCTGGCGATCGCCAAGCGACTAACGCCCCTGCTTGTCAAACCCTCCACTAGTATCCGTAGCTTACACTTACACTTACAGCCCGTGGTCTAGGTACTAATGTATCTATCCGTCCTTAGGTACTATACGCACCCCACCCTCAGCTTCCTGTGGGCCATAGATGTCAAACGCAATTCCGACCTCACTTGGTACCTACTAAGGCACTACGGTATCAAGCATCAAGTTCTAGTGAATCATCTGTATTAATCGAATCCATGATGCTACTTTCGGGAATGCCCTCGATAATTGGGTATCATTGCAAATAGTCCATTCTCGCCCTTTCTCAAATCGCCTGCCTCATCACTGACCCAACTCCAACTTCGACGGTAGCCTTCTAGGCATCCTCGTGTGCTACTCTAAACTTTTAGAAAATACTTATGACAATTTAGATGAGCTTGAGGAGAACGTACCTTGGTCAAGACGACCAGTCAGATTAGGCGGAGTTTAGGTAAAGCTTCGAGGTACCTTGGTCTCGGTGAAGACGATCAGTCATCACCTTATCAACAGACCAAGCGCTGGACAGGTCGATGATACCAGCGTTGTCAGAAATATCAAGAAGAACTCAAACACCTGAGGAATGTTCTCAGGCAGTTGATAAAGATGGTCTGAGAGGATAGTTCATTTCTATGAATGCGCTACAGGAAGATCCGATCCACAGGTTTGTGCATGGTGACCGAAGTATCCAATCAAGTATTCTGGGTAAAAGAGTCCCAACGAGGGTTGTCATCAGGTTCGTTGACATGTCCGTCATGAGACATGAATGGAAGGGTAGCCTGCATCGAGTCGGCCATGTCCTGGAACGCTACTTGATATTTAGCAATAGGTCTTCTTTCGATCTCAATACACAGACTTACCGGGGACTACACTTGTGCCATGTCCAGACATGTTCATGACCTGCACCTGCTGGAACGACCCCGCCTGAGTCACCACCGGAACGTGTATCTGAGCCTGACTGTAAGGCTGCTCATGGTCGACAGTGGAAGTAGGAAAATGATCAGGCTCAGAGAGCGAGACATCGAGAGACGTCGGCGATGTGTCAGATTGACGAGCGATAGTACCTGTCGCCATGATGCTATTCGCGTCCAGTACCTGGTTGTACATCTGGGTAAGAGACTCCATCTCTTCAGCACGGTTTCCAACATTCGAAACAGGTGGTTCCCACTCTTGCAGAGCGCCATCGACGAGTGAAGCTACACCTTTTTGTCTTTAGTCCAAAGGTAGGAGATAGCATGAAAGAAAATAAGCGCTTACCTGTAGGATAGCCGTAAACATGTTGCCAACATTGATCAGCGACCAGAGCGGGGTTGGCACCAAGTTGGACAGTCATGGCCAAGATTTGGGTGTGGTTAACAACGTACGCGACCTCTATTGCGTTCGTCGTTCGACTGAGCACTCTCCATTTGCCACCAGGAACAGGTGCCAGATGGTTCAACGCTGGTCCTTTCAAGATAGCCTGGACATCCTCCTCTGTGGCTCTGGTGGGCATGGAAGGGATGTTCTGAGCCGGAGCACGAGTTTCACTCTGAGGTTGAGGCTGAGGCTGAGACTCCATTGCTGCAATGAGTAAAGAAGGAGAAGCTCGAAATGAAGGAGTCCTCAGAGCGTTCTAGTAATTAGAGTGTAAGGAGCGAGAGTTGAGAGAATAATGTTTGGTGTGTAGTGGAAGAAAAAGAGAAGCCCTGATGCTGGAGATGGGATGGATATGCAGTGAGGGGTGTAAAAAGATCGGGCACGCCCAGGGGCATAAACAATGTCAACACCGATCCCTAATTCGGGGTTGAGGCACATGGAGCTGGGCAGTGTGGAAGAGCACCGCTTAGGCTTGGCACCGACACCAGCACTGGCACTGGCGAGCACCTCAGGTTTAATACTGTAAAACTTTCAAGACAATTTTACGAGACACTGATACCATAGAGCATAAGCTACAAGTATATACATATAGCCTTTCGAAACGATATTCCTTTGCCTGAACTTGCGCACTTTTCGGAGATTTCTAGAATGGCATATCTCTCATTCGTACTCATATCACGATACCCGCTATGCAGCACCAGTGACAAATGAGACATGAGCATGTATTAAAAACCAAATCAGCGTGAAATGACAAGTACTGCTATAAATATTTCAACTCGCATCTACATATCTGTTCAGCAAGCAAGATGTACGAACTTACAATGCCAAAACTTCAACTTCAACTTCAACCTCGAGCGAGAGAGGTACATCATCGCTCTCATCTGACCCGGGAATTGGTTGCATCTTTTCAGGGCAAGAAACTGAAACCATTGACTTAAGTTCTGAGTTTAGAGTAGAGATGGATCACATGTACCTTACGCCAGGGAGTAATGCCTAGGTTTTCTATCAGATGTAACCTCTGATAACATAATTTAGTATAATAGCTCCTACCTGATACTAGTCTTAGTTATTCTTTGTGCTTAATCCAGTAACAAGAAGAACTCCGAGATAATACGACAAGTTTATACCACTGAAGAGTTTTCAAAGCCGGGATGAGCACGAATGCTCTCTTTTTTTGTTCGGGGATACGTGAAAAAGTTCTAGCAAGGTGTATACTCGGTGTTAGTTTACTTCACAGTTTCATTGTAGTGGTTCAGAAGCGCACCGCATTTAGGTAAACAGTCATGATTATATCACCAGAAGACACAAGAAGAAGAAATATGTCTACCTGACTAAAACTCTCTGCTGGCATTGCAAACACCGCTTACTTTACCTATATAAGGATAATGCCATTTCATCGACAGGCTCGATTGCATCTAACTCTTCTCGTTCTTCCGCATGCCAACTGAGCTAACTAACCTCGAGACCCTGTTCTGCAATTTCACACAGTGTTGATTCCACAGCCATGCAGGAACGCACAGACCAGGACTCAAACAAAGAAAAGACGGGGAGCTGGAGATCCAGAGGAGAATACCAGAAACATACGTACCTGACTGACACTTGCACACCACTGCTGGCCAGCCGAAACTGCCCCACCTGCGTGCATCAATAGCAAGCAACAACAAGTCGTTAGGCGTTTGCTTGCAAAGGCGCTTGTAGCACTGCCAGTGTTACTACAAATTCCCATCGAGGGTGCTCATCTATTTTCTCCCTTTCTCATCCTTACAACGATTCTGTTTCTAACCATCTTCTTTCTCCTACCAACTTCTTTCGAAGTGTACTTCCTCCAACTCACAAAACGCCAACAGAACCATCTTAGGTCACAACAATCTTCGCCATGAGCACTCTCGTCTTGATGGGCCCCGGCTCCGTTCATCCTCAAGTGTATCACACACAGTGGACCAGCGAGCATATTGACAGCGTCTTTCAGTGTCTTGTCCCTAAGGAGAAGCAGCTTCGCAAGCTCATCGACATTCCTGCCGAGCTCTATGAGCAGATGGACCAAGGCGCCAAAGCTGGGCTCGCCAACCTTTTCATGTGAGTTAATACGTCTTGAATGCACTCGTGAACGTTCACTCATTCTCTTCTCCAGGGTCGAATTCGGGGAGCCTGTTCTCTACGCCCGTGACAACAAGAAGGGCTGCTATTATCTCGGAGTCCCTCGCGACTTTCTGAGCGATGGTGGAATGCTCTTGAATGCCCAAGGTGCCCACGAGGCGATTTTCCTGCAGCGTCCTGAGCTTTCGGTCAACCGCGTCCATGTCCCACGACCCCCAAATGCCTACATCCTTTACCGTAAGGAGCGTCACCAGATCGTCAAGAACAAGCGTCCTGATATCACCAACAATGAAATTTGTAAGTAACAAGTGCCATGATTATAGACTTCCACTGACTTTTGTCCAGCCCAAATCCTTGGCCGATGCTGGAACATGGAGACTAGCGAGGTTCGCCTCTACTACAAGAAGAAGGCAGACGAGATCAAGGAGGAGCACAAGCGCCTTCACCCTGATTACCAGTACCGCCCTCGCCGACCATCTGAGCGCCGCCGTCGCCAGCACCCTCACACTATCCTGATCAGTGCTCACACTTCTGCTCCTGCTCCCACTCAGCTCGGAAATCTCCCTCAGTTCTCTGCTCCCGCGCAGATTGTTGCTCCTGCTCAGCTTGCGGCTGCTCAGCAGAACATTGTCTAAATGATTCTTAACATCATTGACTTTCACCACAGCAACTAAGCACAAGCATCCAATTAGGATCTTGAGCGTTGTTATCGACTGGAAAGAGTAAGTTGCACTTCAAGAGAGACATTGGAAAATGGCTAATTTTGCTTAGTTACACAGAGGATAGACGTGGAACGGGAATAATTGTGAACTCAAACGATGGGAGTTCAGGACATGAAGCAAAGCGGGGATGTATTTTTTGATTTGATGATACCCACGGTGGGCTGCAAGTAGCTCGATCTCCGGATCTCCAGCTGTTGGTATGGGATTGTGACCTCGTGTCGTTGCTCTGATTTTTGTACGAAGCCTCTCTTGGCTCGCGAGTAACTCTGATCAGCAACAGCGTAGCGGTAACGGCGATAGCGTGGCTTGCAACCCATTTGATCCGTTTAATGTTGCACTGGTTTACGGAATACATGCTACTTTGAGGCCTACTGGCTAGCTAGATACAGATGTAGCCGATTGGCAACATAATGTATTGTCCAACGGTAGAACTCAATCGAGGAAAACCATTGAACTCTGGGTTACTTGCAGTGATGTGTGTGAAATGTCTAGTAGCGATTCAAATTATGACACTGATAAAACCCATATCACGTAGCTTTAACGGTTCTATTGTGATCACTCTACTCTGCTGCCGTCGTATCTATACCTCGTTGTCTCTCAGCTCTCCATAGGAGGCCAACACTTCTACGTAATTGAGCACACACCCAATATAAACAGCCCGAACATCCCGTTGAAAGATCACAGCCCAGTCTCGGTACAAGCGTATTGAGTTCAGTAGAATAGTACCCAAAACAGAGAACTCAGTCATGAGCCACTCCAGTCACTGCTCCAAATAAATGTACCGCAACGCCATTCTGAGTTCTTCTCTTTCTCTCCTGACGGGCCCAGTGGACGTGGACAAATATAGAATGAACGACCTGTTATCAGAGTTAGCCTTCAAAGTTTGACCTTGTGCCGGCAGTCAAAGTTGCAGCCACGTCGTTATGCAACGGAAACGCCACCGCACGCACGTTGAATCAGCTGCCGTTGTGAGACGTACCACAATTGACCCCTGGCTTTTTGGTAGTAAGGCTGATGCAGGGTTCGTCGTGTTCGCATCTTGGCGCAACCCTCTTTCGCAGCAACTTGGACCACGACTCTTTGGCTTCTATTGGGTCAAAGACTCTGTCGGAAGAATCGGGATCGTTCCCGCCTCGACTTATACTCAATGGTGGTCCTTCTGTGAACATAGCTTGTGAAGCACTTGGTGGTTGCTGTGGACTAGCTGACCCTGTTTTTGGCAATATTGGTTTCTTTGTCGGAGAGGGCGTAGAACTTGCCGCCACTCGCTCTGGCTTGCCGTCGTGAGCCACTGGCGCTTTTGGCTTGAAGAACCCTTGTAATGTTCGTTGACCAGGTGCCACCTTGACCTTGAGATCTTTGGCACCTATCGTAGACTTCGTTTTCTTGAGTGGTCGATTTGTTGTGTCGACCGCTGACCCAGGTCTTTTGTGAGCCAAAGATTGTTTGGTTGAGCCAGTCGTATCTCCCAGCTGTGCCGTGAGAGTAGCGGTAGTCTGAGGCTCCGAAGTTCCATCAAAATTATCCGCGACCTCTTCGGTGCTGCAATCTCCATTCACTGAAGACTTTGCAGCAACGCCCAAGCCAGCAGACGCTGGTGGAGGGGCGACTGAAGTAGCTTTCTTTGTGAACATGTCGCGGATACTCTGCCGTCGATCGAATTCTGGTATCAGCTTTGCAGACAAAGGAAGTAGGTCTTTAGCACTCCAATCCCGAAGGCGCCTCTCGCCCTGAAACATGCCAGGAGGGTTCATCATTTCCAGTAGGGCACGTTCTTCGTCAGCGACCATCACCTTGTCCGTGAATGTGGCAAAGACTGGGCAATGATCGGACCCCATCAAGCCCTCCTGAATATTTGAGAAGTTGAACCAGCTTTTGATACCGTTGCTGCATAAGACGTAGTCGATCCGACTGCCATTGTTAGCTGGTCGCGTGTTGCGTTTTGTATCCCAGCAGGTGTTCATGCCAACTCGTTCAGGGTGAAAGCAGCGACAAAGATCCCAAAGGACAGGAGATTCGCGCCCTTGATCTCTCGCGCCCAGCACACTCCCTTCAAAGATAAGCTGGTTGAAGATGCGTCGGACAGGCATATTCATCCAGTCACTAAGATCAATATTTTCTTTGCGGAGTGTTTCTGCAACGTTGGTCGAGTCCATTTCAGAGCGAACGACGTTTAAATCGCCTGTGAGGATGACTTGTTTCCCTACAGCGATTAGGTTTCGTATCCTAACATCAAGTGCTTGGAAGAAACCAACGCGAAAGTCGTCACGGGTTTCGTCGCGGTTTGCAGGACTGTAAACGCCAAGGAGTACAAAGCCTGGAAATTCAAGTATCACGCAACGGCCTTCGGAGTCCAGAGTTGCTTCATCAATAATGCCATCGAGCTGACCAGGACGGGGATAGCCGCCTATCTGCTGATGTTCTGGGAGGTCGCGATATCTAGTCGTAGATTTTGGAGGTGTCAAAATACCAGTGACGCCTTCTTCAGCTCGGATCGGAGTACAGGTAGAGTTGCGTGTGTAGATGGCGACGCCAGAATATCCTGATGGCGTTTCAGTGGGTGTAACTGAACAGAGAGAGTGCCTTACCCTTTTTATGTTTGGGTAAGCTGAAGAAGACATCCCATCCAGGGACGAGAACCATGTCATCTCGCAAATCTTTTTGTTGGATTTTAGTCTCTTGTATGACAACGATATCCGCTTCAAGGATATCGAACATAGCCTGCAGAGACGTAAGTGGATGGAAAGGATTGAAGGAAAGTTGCGCGAGGAAGAAGCTTACTTGGAAGGTTCTCTTCTCCCTCCATGGTTGATAACCAAAAGGATTCCTAAGGCCGAATATTTAGCGTGAGATTGGCGAGTGACTGTGATTCACTAACCTGATGCCGTTGACTATAGATTGTGTTAGCGAAGGCCTTGGAAGAAGTCGGTATACTCACCATTCCAGGTGGTGAGCCGAAACGTCATATTTCAAGCTGTGAATGTGGAAGCTTGAGGGAAGGCAGGTGTCACAGGGGAACAGAAGCGACTGTTGCAAGTATCTCAAGACTCATCTCGGGGTGATGAAGATCCTGTGGTCATGAGTCGAGTCTAGAAGGAATTGGTGCTTAGGTTGGTATGGCGATGGAAAGAAACGGAGACAGAGAAGAATTACGTCGGTATAAGACTTGGAACAAGTTTAGTGAGTAGTATAGAAGATTAGAACTTAAAACTGAGTAGCCCTGCTCTCCAACCACAAGTCAATTGAGTATAAGACGCCGCGATCCTTACAATGACGCAGAGACCCACCGCGTGGTGTTGAACTTCTAAGCGCGCCTCCGCCACGAGATCACGTGCATGTCAAGACACGATCTGGGGAAATTGCTACCTTACAATTGAGGCAGCTTTCATTGGCGGTTCTAACCGAGCTCGTCCAATAATGACCTGATCACAAACTTGCTTAGACTCATCAACCGTCAAAGCGAACAACACCGTCCACGATGTCCGCCGTCCGATTCACCCGCGCCGCTACGCGCACTACCGCGCAGCTTCGCGCTCCCGTCCAGCGCCGCTTTGCCAGCACCCAAAACGAGTTCATCAAGGAGCGTCAGCACATCAAGGAGCACGCCACTGGTACCACTGGTGAGTCGACAGCCGACGACGCCGAATTTTGCCAATTGTAGGCATTGGCATGGTTGCTAACGGTAGACAGAGCTGTGGAAGAAGATCTCTCTCTAGTACGTCTGACACTGATCCTTTGAGCGAATTACGAACCCGGCACCGAACCCGGAGTATCGAAAGTTGGAGACGACAAGATTGTGGTTATGCATTGGGATAGCAATGGCTAACGAGATTGAAGCGGTGTCGCTCCCTGCCTTATCGCCGCTGGTGCCAACGCCTACTGGCTCTGGAGTGAGCACTGGGAGCACTGGAGCCACATGCCTCCTCTGGAGGAGCGCACCGAGTACCCTTACCAGAACATCCGTACCAAGAACTACCAGTGGGGTAACGGAGACAAGGTGAGTCTGAAAGGATTCCTATGGCTGGTTTGCTCGTTACTAACATTGTCGCAGACTCTTTTGTAAGTTGTGACATCATTGCAGAAACAGAAGCTTGAGTAGCTATAGTAGAGCGACAACAAGCTTAGAGGTCGGGTCTAAGCTGTTGAGCTCGAAGTTTTCTGATCCTAAGACCCCTGAAGATTATATACTAACCTTTGCGTAGCTGGAACGATGAGGTTAACTATCACAACAAGGACAAGACCGCCTAAATATGATGTGTTGACAGCTCATACGTTGGACAATTGCTGGACCACTCCTTCATGGACTACTCCCTCTGGAGATGCCTTGTATCTGTTCCCTAGACTCGAATTGACTGATTGCTGAAAATCCCAAACTCCTGCATTACTGGTGCACTGAGCAGAGCAAAACTGGTGTTGCCTTGTGTTGGTAGGAATAGAGCCTTGTATCAGACAGCTGATTTCTACGTTTATCTTCGTAGCATTCGTCAGATTTGATGAAGCCTTGACCTTCCAATTTTCCGAATACTGGTTTACCTCGTCTAATATAAGTTTGATACCTGTTAAACTCGTTCAAAGGTGTTAGTTCTTTGGCTTAGACAACTACTCATGGTTCTCGATTACTCTGTACCGTCTGTATTCGATGGTTATTGCTGCTGTTGTCTTCTCTCCAAAGCTTAGGTCTCTAGTGACATTTGAATTCTGCTATAACTCATCCATCATACTATTTTTTATCATAACTGTGCACCGTGTTTCTACGTATTTCTTGGAGCAGATTATCTGACCTGAATTACATCTTATTCTTGAAAACTCCCCTTTGACGTCGTGATGTAGCCCCCACTAACAGAGATTGTGTCATCCCACTTCTATAGCATCGACCGGAATTTTCCGAAGAAGCCCCGGCCAAATCGCAACCCCCAGCAACACAACACCAATAGAGACGCGCCAGCCACAAGAGGTCTAGCAATTATAACATCGTTCAACGGGGTTTTTAATGCTGAAGAAGGTTGGAGAAATTCGCTATCCATAGCTGAGGTGCCTGCCCTTAGCTAAGGTACTAAGTAGGTGCCTACCTACCTACTCTGGAGGTAGGTGATCCTTGGACACCTGATTGACTCTTAGGCAGGCGCGTGCGGGTGCTGTGTAGAACGTCGTTGGACGTGTCAGGCCCTCCCTCATTTCTCCTCCATGAAATTTTGTTCTCAATACGTTCTCCAATTAATGGCTCATAACCATGGCTCGTTACCTCAACCCGGCCAAAATCGGCCTTCTCGCCCTTGTAGAGCTCTATGTTGAAGGGGCAGTACCGAGTGATGCTATCCTGCCTGTATTGTCCTTTGTCACTTCTCACCTTATGGACCACTCTCCTCCAAAAGGCTCTGCTGATCAGTCTGAGCGATGGGGCAGAGCTGAGCGCACAGTCGGGCTCGTCATCAGCATCAAAGATTTCGAGAAACTTCTTGGAAGTTATCCCTTTCTGATGGGTATGCCAGGACGAAGATTATGGGATCAATTCCTCGGAAAGCTTTGGGATATCAACTCGCTAGATGCCCTCCACAACTTCTTCGACAACTTGTCTGGAATGCTGAGCAAAACGAAAGAGGAGCGAAAGAGACTGGCTGAGTTGGGCCAGCCCGTAGAAGAGGACGAAGGCATCAAGCTCACGCCAAACTCTCCCTTTGGAACCTTTGTGCGGAGAGCCAGACTTGAATATCAACGACTGCACTTTCACGACTGTACAGAGCTGTGGAAGCACTTTGTGCGATATCGACAACCCACTGCCTCTTACTTGAAGCGCAAAATCCCTGGATTTGGGCGACTGAGCTTTGACAATGTTCTCCTAGTGGGTGAACAAGAGGATTGGGACCACCAAAGTGTTATGGCCTTGGCTTCAGTGGCATATGGTGATATGCTTACGGGAGATCAAAACGGATCACTCCCTGTCAGTACGGATGACATTGAAAGTCTCCTGGAATTCCAAATCGAACAAATGCAGAGTAAGGAACCCTTGGTGGCTTGATTTTATCGATGCTAATAGGATAAGAATCTGGCAACAGAGTTCCGCTCGAGATCCGTCATCAATTCCACGACCTGCTTAACGACAGTTCCCTCATCCCCAGCCTGACACACTACCTGAAGTAAGTCGACCTTTGTCACTGGATAGGCCACTTGCAATCTAACAACGCATAGATTTCTTGACTCTTGGAGAGCTGGGGACTATCCCACTGCATTCGACTGTCTCCATAGATATTTTGATTACACCATGCAGAACCGAGACCGTTTATTCTACCAGTACGCTCTCATGAATCTCGCTGTTCTGCAAGCAGACTTTGGCTGTCACAAGGAAGCAGTGGCTGCCATGCTCGAGACAGTGTCCACAGCACGGGAAAACCGCGATATGACATGTCTCAACTTTGCCTTGAATTGGCTTTTCCACTTTGGTCGTGCACACCCCGATCTTGTCCAGAATCTGGAATCTAACAGTATGCTTGGTACTGGAAAAGAAAGCCTCGCCTTTCTCAGAGTGAAGGCTAAGGAGACGGGGATGTGGACACTATGGAGCTCAGTTCTCCTCAGTGAAGCGAAACTCGGACTGCTCAACGGCGACAGCGTGGCCACAGCCTTTGAATCCATAGTTCGAAGCTCACACATTATCGTCGAGAGAAACATGAAGAACATGTTCGGTTCTCACTTATCACTCACCTCGGCTCTTTGGGATAGACTTGGGCTGTCAACACTTTCCTCAGCGACTTGTGAGGTCTTCTTGAGATGCCACGCTCGTCACGCCATATTTGACGACGAGCTTAAGCTTACCTGTCGCCTTTCTCTTTTGCTAGCATTGCGTGGTCGTTACGATGATGCGTTGAGCAAATTAGAACAACTGGAAGAAAACTCGCTCAGGTCTTGGAAGCCTAGCCAATACTGGCATAAGTACCGAGGAATCGTCAAGCTGAAGAGAGACCTACATCATAATAACCTGGAAGGCGCCGAGAGGCTATTATCGCAAATTTTGCAGTCTAAAATGGACGACCTTGAACCTGACATGGCGTTTTTGGTGGACACCCTTCACATTGACTATCTTACTCGCCGAGGAGACCTACAAGCCGCTTTTAGTAAGGTTGACAGCATGATGTCGCAACTTCAAGACGAAAAGAAGGACGTTGTTCTTCGAGTCAAACTCCTGCTCCTCAAGGCTTCCCTCCTTGACAAGTGTGGGCGGCCACAGAGAGGATTCACTACTGCCATGCGGGCTGCAAGCATTTCATGGGGGGCCCGTCTCATCCCATGTCTCTGGCAAGCGATCGGGTCTGTGTCGAACATCCTAATCTCACTTACAGAGTTCGAAGCTGCTTCCCAACTCTTGCTTGCTATTATACCCCGTTCTTTAGAATGCGAGACTGCGAGCCTTACGGCACAGCTCTACTGTTATCTCGCAGATGCTAACATGGGTCTTGCCGGCAAATGCGAGCCTAAATCGTCGAAACGGTTGGAATACATGACTAAAGCTCTCGCTGCTGTACAGAAGTCTTTTGACCACTACTCAAGCATCGAAGACATCAATATGCAATGCCAGATGATGGCGAAAAAGGCCATGATCATGAAGGTGACAGGAGATCTGGCCTTGGCTGCAGATTATGCTGCGGCTTATGTTTCACTACGGAAGACCGCTGAATCACTCAGTCTCGAAGGGTAATGATTGATGATTGCGAAGATAAATGTATATATACCCGGGAAACAATTCATAGAGTTCATTACAGTTTTATTTGTACAGTAACCAGTGATACAGTGGCTGGTTCGTAGAAGCTCACTCAAGGTCATCGAATCTATAAGTACATGTGTATCGACTGTCCCATAGCATCTACCATCGCACCTTTTCGCCCTTTTTATTCCTCAATTCACCCCCTTCTGGAATAGCTGAAGCTTGAGGTTCTTCTGTTATTTCCGCCTCACTCGCGTCGTTGGTGGCCCAAGCTCTCTCTATACAAAGCTCGAAAGGACCGTCAACGCGGTCCGTTAGTCCAACACCTACGGTCAATACCTTCTGTCGTAACATCTCGGTCTGCGGCTCGACAACAAAGCCGTGATTTGTTCTCACAAAATCATTCCATTTGATCAGCACTGTCTCCCACTGACCCGGTCGTTTTGGAAACAGTCGATGCTGGTGCAGATCTGATGGCTCAACGCTCTCTGTTTGCAGATTGACGAAGTAACTACGACCATCAGATTTGATACGTAAGGCGAGGTAGATATAGGGATCAATATCCCACATGGAACGACCGAACATAGTAGGTCTTTGGTCGGGAGATCGGAAACCAGCGAAGCCTGTACGTTGGATGTTGGGGCGGTCGTCAGGGAGGCGGGTAGAGATGTTGCCGTGAAAACGAGCATAGGCGGAGGGTGTCTTGTTGGAGCTGGCGCTTGACTCGGCAGACTTTTCGAAGTCAAAGTTGCTTTGTGAGAAACCGCCAATCGTCTTATCAGACATGACAATACAGTCGCGGACACTGTCGAGGGTATTGAAGTTATATAGAGGCTTGGGCTGTGTGGCGCCTTTGATGGTTTCAAAGGTCACGGCTGTGATTACCAGTTAGCTTTGTACTAGACTTGAAGAAACAATAATGTACCTATTTGAGTGCGCCTTTTTAGCTCGTCCATACTCCGACCAAAAAAGCTTCTCGAGAAGAGTGTATGGGAGACCCTCATGATGGGCAATCGACTGTGATGGATGGTTCGATGGAGAATTTGAGTAGAAGTTTAAGCTGTCGCAAGCTTTTCCGTAGAGCCCAATTGGCTCACCGGGAGTCGAAGAACATTAGATTTGATCTTAGTAGCAGCTGAAGCTGTGATAGTGAGCCTGTGCACGTGGATTAGGCTGTTCAGCTATGATGGTGTGTGTAGAGTTGAAGTTCTACCTGTAAGGAACATATGTGATTTACACGTAGTACCCTGTGTGTATTGCACGATTATGGACGATGAATACCGAATACCCCCACCTTATCACTTGGACTGCTCGAGTACCTACTACCTTACCTGCATGATAAATGTTTTATTAATACTTCTACTGAATCTGATGGCTATGTTTCGAACTCTTCAGCAAATTCAGTAGCCTGCCTCGTTCTAATTCGAAACAGAATATATCCATATCCATACTTAGGTTGGAGGACGGGTGTCCTGACCATGTGCGCCGGTATCGGCACATAGTTGTTCCGTTATCAGCCCAGAACCATGAAATTCTTCAGTGGCAGAAGACGATGATGGCCGAAGCCAGCTCCAGATCGATTATGACCCTGCGCCGCCGGTAACTGCCGGGTGTCCATCAATACCTTTTTTGTGCGTTTCGTCAACTCGGTTCAGACCAAAAGAAAAAAACGTAAAAAATAGAGAGGTTCGCCAATGTCTTCCTCAGCGATGGCGCTGCGCCCGGCCATTTTGCGCCAGAGCGTTTTCGGAGCAGCGAGGGTACAATGTCGGTACATGTCAATGCCCTCCCGGGAGAGAATGTTGCGAGAAATGCGAAGGGCGGCTACGAAAGACTCCAAGAAGACGGATGTTGAGTCCATGTCTGCAATTCAGAAGAGAGCCAACGACGAGTACTTCAAGTCTGGGGGCGGCCCATTGTTTCCTGGTGAGTGCAAGATGGATAGATTGACATCTTGGTCCATACATACCCCAATTGATGCAAAAAGCCATGGATTTGATATGGAAAAGAAGAACTAACAGTATACTAGGCACATTCGTTCCTCTCCCTCTATCACGGTACCCCTCTGGCGCCTCCAACTCCCTGAACTATACCTGGTACCGGTTTCGTCAATGGGGTATCGAGTTCCTTTCCCTCCTCCAATTCAAGCTAAAGTCCATGCCCAATTGGACAACACGACCCAAGTGGAAGATCGGCCGTGGCAAGATCGCGCCTACCGCAAAGAACATGTATATGGAGATGCTTGGAGCCTTTGCGGCGGGCGACAAGTCTACAATCAACAGCCTATGCCTTGGCCAGTTCGGCAAAAAGCTCACAGCAGCTATCGACCGTCGCAATGCCGGTGAACGTGTGACATTCGAGCTTATCAAGGTCAATAAGCCATTATTCTATCCCCGTGTGGTAGCACACCAGGTGCACAATATCAACCCCCACGACAAGGACAACTGCACAGAGCAGGCTGTTATTGCAATCGCCTCGACGCAGCGTGTCGCAAAATACAAGAAGCCCACTGGTGAGCTTGTGCCTGGTAGCACAAAGGTGCAAGACAAGCTGGAGTACGTGGTGCTCTCACGACAGGTCAACGAGAAGACATTCCAGTCCACGCCATGGCGAATCTGGGGAACCGTCCCTGCTACAACACTTGAGTCATACCAAAAAGAGCAGGATTGGATTATGAGGGAGCAGGCTCAGCGTGCTGGGTGGAAAGGTCCCTTGAAATAAAGGGAAATTGTATACATTGGGCAAGTGGTGTCCAGAACATGAGTGAGCTCGAGCCGAGAAAACGGAATCGTGTAAAATGATCGTGTATATTGTACGAGAAGCATATATGTACTATAAAACAGCATTGGGGCCGGCGAACGGAGGTTTGCAAAGTACTTCTCCAAATCAGTTCCGAATAATTCACCCTTGAAACAATTCTATTGCGTCAATTGATTCTCGAGAGTTGTAGAACAGAAAGAAACAACGCACAATGGTTTCATCGTGTTGTGGAAAGGACTAGAGCTTTGGCAGTTGTTATCTGCAAATAGCCTGGGTCAACTGCCATGTCTCGATCAAAGTGAACATGTATATGCGTGAGAACGAAATGATATTTAAAGCTCAAAGAAAGTCTTGCGAAGAACAGACAATCTAATCAAACTAAATGTACTTTTTTTACACCCCCTCTTACTACACTCCCGAGTTATGATAAATACAGCACCGATTGTATTGAATTGGATGCCACTCTCCAATGGTGAAACAGAATCCAACGGCATCTGTCCAAAAACCTGTTTAGAAAAACTTGCCCGTAGTCTGAGACACAAGGTTCTCAGAAGGAGTATCGTCCTCCCTGCTGGCAGGACGGAGATTCAGGGGACGGTCCAGGGCGTCAAAGCGATGTCCACGGACCTTGGCATAAACAAACTGGAAGGCAATACGGAGAACCAGAGCACCACAGCCCCAAAGGAGACTACCGACGGGTGCGGCAACGAAAGCACCAAAAGCACTCCAGTCATTGCCGTATAGTCCTTTCTGCACAAGGAGAAGCTCCCCTGCCTCCTGAGCGTTTCCGTAGTAAACACAACCGAAGATGAAGACGGTCAGGATACCACCAAGACCACCCACAACGACCTCGAAGCCGCGCCACCAGTAGAACTTGTCGATAAGCCCGATGACCAGGACTGGGATGGTAGCAGCAGAAATGAGATCGGTAATAAGCCAGATCTGAAGAACAGAGGGAGCTTTGAGGGCGATGGCAATGACGGGAATGATGACGAGTACCACAATGCCACGGATGTACCAGATGTTGAGCTTGTTGCGGAAGAGATCGTTCGAGCCTGAAGAGACCATGGCAGACTGAAGACTGTCGAAGGCAGCTGTGCTCATAGTGACAACCATGACGAGAACAATACCAACGACCCAGCTGGGAAGGGTCTCAAGAAGGATGAAGAAGGCTACCGAACCAGAGCCGGCACTGTCCTCGAGAGGCAAGGCTCCCGACCAAACAGCAATGAGACCAGTAGAACCAACAAGAGTAAGGACGCACAGGATAACAATCGTGGCAATGGTGGTTCCAATTCGGAGGTCCTTGTCTGTCTTGGAAGCAAAGGTTCGCAGCCAGAAGGAAGAGAGGAAGAAGTCATTGGTCAGAACAGCAACGGGTAGAATGTACAGAAGCTGCCAGCCAAGCAAGTTGGGCTTGGTAAGACCGGACTCATCGATAAGAGGTCGCTGGATCTCAGTCTTGGCACCAATGGTGATGGCAGCGATGATAACAAGGCCAATGACCATGGTACCTTGAACGACATCGGTGATGAAAGAGATTCTGAATCCACCAAGGGCTTGCAAAGTTAGATAGGAATTTTGAATAGCAAACCACAAAACTTACATGTGTAGATAGTAGTGATAGCACACTGGACAATCATGACCGGAAGGGGATCAAGACCAGTCAAGGCTTGAACCACCTGCCCGATAGCTGAGAGCTCGGAAACCATGTATAAGAACAAAGTCACTAGCGACATAAAACTCAGATACAACATGGTGATAACGCCGTAGCGCTGTCGAGTCCACTCAGTGAGGACGAAGCCCTCGGGACATCGGCGTCGGATGATGGGACCAAGGTATCCGAAGATAAGCATGGGCAGAGAGGACGCGAGAGCATACACCAACATACCCTGTACACCAGAGATGGTGGCCAGCTCAGGATACGAGAAGAGAATACCAGAACCGAGAGCTATAAGAGTCAGTTGTCATTCCATCGTTTTCAGAGGGGCAGGGAAGGAATTGGAGCGGCAACACTTTTCCCACGCAAGCATTAACTTGATCGAGTATTTACGGTACAATCTCAGCTTCGCCGTCGCACATCTGGATCTCCCCAGAAAGACACATACTCTGCCACAGCAAGCAAGTGTTCCAAGGTTGGATCCAGATGTTACGTCAACTCAGCGCCCGTAGTGAGCCGCATCCTCTCCCCCCAGCCTCCCGAGATTGCCTCTCTGGAGCAGGTTTGAAGTAGCCAGGCTCAGCTGTGAGAAAAGTCTTCTCAACTGAGCCCAGAAAGAGGTTAGTAGCAACAGAGTCGAGGGCAACTCGGGGGGTTGGAAGAGGGGAGAAGAAGAAGATCCTTGATTCAATGTACGAACCTGCTCGTTCATCTTTGATTGGTATACTCGACCATGAGAAGTATCGGATTGGAACTCGTTTGAGTCCTTGCAGCCGGTTTCTTCATGACTGCGCAAGTCTTTGCTGTTGTGTTGCGTTTGCATTTGCTACCGCTCCGGAATGCTTAAGTGAGAGCTTTACTAGCTCTACTCACCGGAAGCGATGAAGTTGAGGGCCAGAGGGAAGGCTGTTATGATGGTCAGCCGGTTGTCAAACGAGTTGAGAAGAGTGGCGAGATGCTCATGAAAGATTCCATCAGTGTAACTTGTGGCTACAGTGTTTTCATCTCATGAACATCTCAAAGGTTGAAAGTTCTAACCCGTCTGCGTTCCGTTGCCTGAAAGGAAGTCGGCCTTGGACTGGTTTCTCATCTTCCAAGCAATGCCAGTTCCCATAAGTCTAGATCCAGTTATCAGCTTCATAATCACCAGTGTCAGTATCAGCAAAATTGGATCACGAACAAAAAGGCGCCATAAGTGACGTAGATGACGGCGTTTGATGCCGCAAAGGAAGGAAACCCCATTCTAGCTGGCGATGTCTTGTTTTGTTGGGCTATATTCGATTGATGAGAATAGTGAAGAGTTGAGAGTTGAGGATTGAGAAGAAAAAACTGTATTCAAAGGGAATAAATTAAAAGTCTCGCCTGATTATTTATCTATCTAGCGTTGAGTCCTACGCCCGATCGAGTAACGTTTTGATCGCCAAATTAACTGTAACAAGGACGCTTGGCGAACAGTTCCAGGCCATCGAATGCTTGTCTTTTGGCTAAGAGAGTGGGGGTCGTTTAATGGACTCTACTACTGTAAACCGCCTGAGGACCCACGATTCAACTTACATGAGGCATAACTTATCATGGATATCATATCATATTATTTGGCGATTTCGGCCCTTTTGCTCCTCTGGACATCATCACATCATGTCGCATTTACAGTCACTCGCATCGAGGAATAGTTTAAGGGACACAAGTTTTGGTGGGTAAAAACCCATTAGTGAGAACACTGTTCTCTTTTTATCTTTTTCTGTGCTTTTCTAGAGAGTTTTATGTGTATAAATCCGTACAATATTGATGAGACCAATGCGAGAATCTCCCCGCCTCGAACCTGATTTCTCAACCCCGTATGTCCTCTTGGCTCCCACGGACATCTGTCTGTTAGATTCAACGTCTGTTTCTGAGCAGGAAGATCCGTCTGTGAGTAGAGAAGTCTGTGTGAGCAGAATTGCATCCTTGTATGCTTCTGCTAAGCTTCTCATAAAAAGCCGCCGGGCTGTGGCAAAATGGCAACTGTGCCAGCATGTGCTTGAACAGCATTGACCAAGAAGAAACGTTCGAAAGAAAACTAAGCTGAGCCTTGTGAACGTTGATGAGCCTAGACTGCTAGGCTGTGTCGCTGATGTTGCGCATAGTTGAGGAAGTGAATTCAGCTGATGAATGGCCTGAACTACTAAGCCGTGTCGCTGATGCTGCGCATAGTTGAGGAAGTGAGTTCAGCTGTTGGATGGCCTAGACTGCCACGCCGAAAGCTGATATGCATAGAAGAACAAAAAGAAACGAGCTGAGCATCATGATGTCGAACTGACTTATACTAATAAGTCAAGCTGGTAGTGAAGTAGCGAGGATGAAGAGACTGAAGATGCTGGAATAATCAACGCGAGCGAACATACGTACGTGCATACAAACTTGCGAATCGAAGATTTGTCGACTAAAAGGGTCGAAGATGAAGTAAGATCAAGTTGTCAAAATTAGAAGGTTGAAAGAAAGATTCGGCTCGACAGAAAGACATCTGAAAGCGAATCGTTATACTCACACAGCGTTTTTGCGGGTTATCGTCGGCGAGATGGACCATTGTAGCGATTGTATCGCTTTGGTTCGTTGCGCTGTGGCATCTGGTGATAAGTCTCCGCTGGATGACTTGGCATAGGTAAGTTGCCAGTGGGCGCCATGTGGTTGTTGCCAACATACTGAGACATGGGAAGCGGTGCGCCGTACTGTTGAGGATGAACATACGCAGCATGGGGCTGGCTTTGGGCGTGAACTTGTTGCGCATTCTGATACTGGACTTGAGGAGTCTGATATGCTGGGCCACCATTGCCATAGGATGCCTGAGCATATCCCTGGTACGGATTCTGGACGTTTCCATGAAAGGGGGTTTGAGATGAAGCCTGGTAAGGAGTAAGTGCGCCGTCGCCGTAGATGGGTTGACCTGGAGCCTGAAAGGGGGCCTGTGGAAGTTGTTGCACTTGAGGAGGTGCCTGGTATTGACCTCCAGGCTGTTGTGCAGGGTAGCTGTTGAATTGGGAGTTTGTAGGGAGCTGTGCAGCAAGTTGTTCAACAGGTACAGCAAAGTATACAAAGCCACCAACGGTTTGAGGAGGCATCTGTGTCTGCACTTGTGCTCCCTGGTATGGAACAAGACCAGCCAGGGGTCCTTGTCCGGAAGCCTGCTGAAGAGGGACATCTTCAGTCATAGTCACAGCATCCTTCTTGGAAGTAGACGCTTTCCTTGCCTTTGCCTGAAGAGCTTCTGCTGACTTGTGCTCTTTAAGATAGCGCTTTTCGACAAGTTCATTTCTCTTGAGATTTTGTTCTGAGAGGTGATTTCGTCTAAGCTTCGAACGGACCTTGGCTTTCTTTTGCTTGAATCCTTTCTCTTCCTCTGCAGTGCCCGGAGTTCGCCAGTCACTAGACCCCTCACTTTCACTGACATCGAGGGCCGGTGGAACGGGGAAGAGGGCGGAGGGCCCACGACGATGTCCCTTCGCTGCATCACCATCCTGATCATCGATGGCGATTTCGCATCGATCCGCCGCAAAGTCGGCAGCAGGCGAGAACGCATAAGAGATGGAGCGTTCCGGAGCAGTCATACGATCGGCAAAGGATTTCAAAAGAGCCTTGTTGGGGCAGTTCTGCTCAGGAGACGAATCTGTAGGAGACAGGACATAAACCGGAGAGGCTTCAACAAAGCGTGATGGACCCCAGTGAACGTTGTTACCCATGTAGTTGGGTACGCCAGCCTTTTCAGGGGACTGGATTGGAGTAAACTCATCCAACCCAGTGCCATCGAACATAGGCACCTTGGCTGGAGACATGACTCGTTGTTGGTGGTTTGCTCGTTCGTTCTTCTGAGATGTAGCAACGATGTCCCGAGGAATAGGAGAAAGTCCTACAGTAGAGAGCATGCGGTTATGGTTGGCCTGGACACCAGCGGGTGCAGGAGGAACAGGGAGCGCTCGGCCGTGGTTGTTCTGAGGGTTGATGGGCGCCACAGTTACAGAATCTACTTGCTGGTAGGAGTTTGGGTGCTCCATGGCTGCAATGGCTGCGGAAGCTGCACGACGATGAGGACGCAGAGGTAGCTTCAATGGTAGTGGGTGGAGAGACTGTGAGAAGCTTCGTATATCTCGAGTAGGCTTGGTGCGCTTTCTCTCAACTCGCAAGATAGAGCCTTCAACGTGTGTCCCATTCTTAGAGTATCAGTTAGTATGGAAGTTGAGGAATTGAGGGACTTCACTGAATACTTACGAATTGACGAATAGCCTCATCAGGGGTATCGGGGCGGTCAAACTCGACGAAAGCGTAAACATTGGGAGCTGAGATGGTTAGTTGAAGAGCCATATGAGACGAGTTGTGTTTCTTACGGCCACCATGGATACTAGGGTCTTTTCTCAAGTCAATAGATGTAACCTCTCCGCACCAGGAGGTTAGTCTGTGTACGAGGGCTTCGTCAGCATGAGGAGGCAGGTTCCCCATGAAGATTGAACGGCGGTCCCTGTCATAGTGCTCCATGAATGTTTGATCGCCTGGAGCACGTTCAGAACGGTCCTGACCAATCTTGGGGTCGTACGACATAATCATGAAGACGTTCGAGAGACCAAAGGACTAGATAATCATCTGTTAGTCATGTCCAGCTTAATAAGACTCTATATCAAAACCTACCTTGACAACATCGCGTCTCGGATCGAACTTCTCATACTGCACCAGCAGAGAAGGGGGGACGCTAAGCTTCGATTGGATTTGCTGGCTCAAGGGCTCAATCTTGGCAATCTTTCCGAAACGAGAGAAGATGTTCTGCGCTTCTTCGCGCTGAACTGGACGGTTGTTCCTGCGGAAGATGATGTAGGCTACTAAAAGAAGGTTAGTAGCGAGCCTATCAACATGAATGTAAGGGCTCATACAGTTTCCGCCGCACTTCTCCAACCGGAGTTTACGGCCCATGATAGACTCTCCCCATGCCTTCTCCAAGGCGAAGTCGGCATGCTTACGCTCCTATAAAACTAGTTAGTCGGTCTATCACAAGAGACAACTAAGAGCTAACTTACGGTGAATTGTGCAAATGCGTAGGGCATGAGTCTTCGATCGCGCTTCACTTTGACGAATACAGTCCCAAAGTTGCCAAAGAACTTGGTGAGTTCGGATTCGATGCTTCTGTCGTCGACTGCCTGAGATAGACTTGGGAGAAGTTAGCAGATTCATCAGCTAACGGTTAGACGTGTGACTTACTTGGCAACGAAAAGGCATGCCTCAGCTGGGTAGACAGCCTGGGCGTCAAAGGCTGGGTTTGAATTGGCGACAGGCTGGGAGCCTTCAATGACAGTGGTAGTCTGAGCTTGAGACTCGGCAAGTTGAGTGTGGTCTTCGGAGGGCACTGCTTCGACATTTTGCTGGTTGTCCTCTTCGGAGGATGGAGGTCTAGTCAAGTTAGAGATGCTATCTTTAACATAACCATAGTTGGGTTCGACGAACTCCCAGTGAGATTGGGCGCTTTCGTCATAGTCGTCCTTCTTCTCAGGTGAATCATATGCTGTTTTAGGGAGTGTAGGGAGACTAAGCTTTTGTCAGGGACGTCCAAACAATAGCATTTCAAAGTCAAAGCCTACCTTTTCACGTTTGAAAGAGGTCGGTAAGGTGAACCTAGAGAGCATTAGTATTTTTTCGTTTTGGCACGTTGAGGAAGGCTGCTTGATAACAAAGGAGTTTCAGGGGTCACCCTGGAGGGAAAACGCAAAAGCGACAAGCCACACGCAAACTATGTAGACAAAGAGAATGTGCTATATCGCGAAGAGATAGACTGGAGTTGCCTTCAAGACAGAAGAAGCGAATGTTTAAACGGAAAGAGACAAGAAATGATACAAACGGCTCAACACCCTTTGGTGTGAGTCTTCTGCATTCTCGATTGTGAACGAAGGGGGTGGGAAGGCACACAACAGATCCGAAAAGGAAAACACAAAAGGCATGATGAAGAACGAGAGATCGCCAGATAGAAGAATGAAGGAAAGGAAGAAGAACAAGAGAGATTACAGGACATAATGGGCTGTCATGATAGCGGAAGCAAGAGAATCACTTACCCCTGGACGAGCCAGCATCCGACTGTGTCTCAAAAGCAGACTCGTCGATTCCAAAGATCGCCAACGCGCTCCTCTGCTGGCGTTCTGACGTCGCAGGGTCGTGCGGGCGACGGAACTCCGGAGGAGACGACATGGCGATGTCGTCGCAAAAACAATAGCGGTTACTAGTGAGTAGCGAGAATACGACATCAGCTTCAATCCAAGAGAGACAGAGAAAGAGTCGGGATAGGAGAGAGAGGTTCTGTTGATCTGCTCCAGAATGAGAGAGAGCTGGCTTACCTTGAAGTTTCGTCGCGATGTTTTGGAGTGTTGTTTTGAATGGGAGGAGTGTGCTCCCGAGCGGTCTGATGATCAAGAGGACTTGTAGGACAACGAGATGAGCGGCAGAGGGGTTTGAGGCGTTGCTTGTGATCTGTAGGTATGTGTTAGGTTGAAGAAGGAAATGTGAAGCTCGAGAAATGTTATCGTGAAAGGACACAAGGGGATCAAGTGAGCAGCGAAGGGAGTGAACACAAACGGAAACTTCTTATAGAGAAGAGAAAGACGGAGGAGAGGAAAAGGGAGGGGAGAAGAGTGTATTCTTGTTTCAATAGAAGGAGTCGAGGCAAAGGGTGATACTTACTGTGGGAGCGGCGGTTGTTGTCTCTGCTTTGTTTCTCGACGGAGTTCGGGAGAGGAGGAGGAGTGGGGGAGAAGTGGTGGTTTGGTGGGAGAGGGGGTCAGAGACGAATCACTCAGAGGGCGGATCGAACCGAGTAGGGGTAGGGGACTTGACCAAGCTAAAACATAGATATGACCAGAAAACTCGAGGCACTTTAACTATGACTGCTATCACAAATCATCCAGGACTCCAGGATACTTTTTAGAAAGATCCAAACCACTATCAAGTATCTATAGATTCTATTCGTATTTCTTTTACATTATCATGTACGCTTTTTCGTCATGAGAGAGTAGTTATGGCGGTGATGGGGTTCTGGGATAGTCCTCTACAAAGAGTAAGATAGGTGACATGACCTCGCACATATAGGCTACTGTCAACTACTACAGGCGTATGCCACTCCCTGAGAAGCATATAAATGGCCGTAGAACCTTTGTACTCACCGTTGGGCGTCTGGTTTTAGCAGCCGTCCAATGATGCATATCTGCCCTGCGAGTCCAGAACACACTTGAAAATATTGGAGTATAACTCAGAGGAATACCTTTGCTGCATCTGACTGCGGTTAATCCAGTCCATTCACTTGGCTCATGTGTATGCTCAAGGCAAAGTATCGAAGCTTGCCGTCACAAACAGCCGGATACCAAAGAATGAACGAAGAGCAAAAGAATCTCGTTTGTTCCTGGCAAACACTCGTCGATACCTTCTTGAAATTCTGGATTTCTAACTTGGTGCTACTTCCAGAGACTAAACGTGATTCTTGGTTAACCCTGTGAGTTCTTCATTTTGATTACGTCGAAAATATCGGGCCCATCTTGTACCAGGGCTCCCAACACTACCGCCTCTGACCTGTAACCACTTGAACTCACAAATATGCCATGAATTCCCATAAAGGTTTTACGAGTAAGTAGTATCGAGTGAATTCATCATGGATTATTTATGTCTTATCGTTCAGCAGAATATTGCTAAAAGTCAAAGGTAGTGCACGATACTCCACTCTACCTATCCTCCGACGCCAGCCTACTTTGCACGACTTTGAATTCAACCTTGCAGTAAACCAACTCGACCCCGATCCTAAGCCACTGATTCCTCCTTTCGAATAAGTCCTTACACAAAAAAGGATCTTGAGAAGCTGGCGATGGTCCAGTACGGACGAGCTCGCAGATCCCTGGTGCAAGCCATCAAGCCGTACGTACCGGATCTATCCACAACAGTATGGTAAGAAACCCTCTCTACAGGAATCAGCTTCTCTTAGCGCCTCCTTTGACTTGTTTCGCTGACAATATATCATTATGTAGTCCTACAGTATCTACAGAATCGAAGACGCGGAAGCGCAGATACAAATATGATCAACAGAACCGACACTCCCAATCTTGAACGAGCGCCAACATCTCCTAGACAAGAGCCTTGTTAAACAATGAGACAACACCCATAGCGTACTCTATCATCCAGAGACTAAGCAGCTTCAAGAATCCGCACTCTACTTGTTGTGGTTGCAGAGAAAATCGAAATGGCGCTCAAAGTGCCCCCGAAGGGACTAAGGCGCCTTGGCTGTCCGTAGCAGTCTACAGTGGCTATTTTATACTAGCAATTGTCCCCTGATGAGTCCCTCAAGGGTAAGGTATCTAGTTGGGACCAATTGTCACAGTAGTCTACCAATTCTTCGAGCGGACCGGCCCTCCAAAGACTCAACACCCAAGAAAATGGACGGTAGAACATATATCCTTCCTCGAGAACAGCCCAGAAACTCAATGGTTTCTCAGACCATCAATAGATGACATTGATCGATTCTCTCAGCTCGACTTCCATCGTTGGTAGAGGATATTGCATTCTAGGGCTTTGGCGGAAGCAATTAGATTTGTGGCCTCCCACATACTTGGTGAGTTGGAAGTCTTGAGCTATGGTTCTTTCGATAGCCCCTTTACCAGTATATATTGCCTACTACTTACCCTCTTCACACAAGTACTATTTCTCGAAATGCCAAGCCCATTTACCATAGTTTCGACGATCAAAAGGGAAGCGCTCTCTTTCACACCTCAAGAGTTGATCTTCACCATCATGCCATACGAAAGGACATTCTATACCAGCTAGAATACTCCTCAACGCCTTCGAACAGTCAGCTAGGATCCCCAGAGCGACCGGCTTTGGGAGTCATTGATCTCGCCATTGAGAACGCAGACAACGAGTCATCCTGGACGCTGTCACTCAGCTTTTCACCGGGAAAGAACAGTCCAGATGGCTTGAAGCTTGTCTCGCTGATATTTTGGATGGCCCATGTGCGATTATACTAGCCTTTACTACCAGAAAAGAACAGAGATTGGGATAAACAGAACGTAAGTTAAGGGGAAGCTCTGCTGCAGACTTCTCCTTTACTTGGCCATTCAGTTCCTGATATCTTTTGGTACCAGCAAAGACTATACTGTCTGTAAGTGATCATTCTCTTTTAACACATAGCTGTACTAACAATACCATGATCTCTTATTGATAGTATTCACAACCTTTGTTATACCCACCTTACCCGACGTCGAAACTCCGCCGCCATCTGAGTTCCCGAATTGACAAGTGGCTACCCGTCGACTGCCTAAGGTCCTTTCACTCTTAGCTTTCCTCAATACCCGCCTCCTTTTGTAGGGCTTTGAGACTAGTCCTTACCGACTCAAGCCCCTGGTTGTAGAGCTAAATCGCATACAACGTGGTCAGGAGCTCAGTGCGGCTCTGCTATTTCTCTCGCGCAAACCAGATAGTAGGCCGGCTCAAGGTAGGGGTCTCGATGAGCCCGAAATTCAACTGGCCGCCTTTCGATCTTGATACAGTTTGCTTTGCCCAATCTGTTCCTACTTGATAAGAAATACGCACAAAAGGGGGAACCTTTCTGGAAAGGAGAGTTCAGTATACCTTGAATAATCTATCTCCTGTGGTGCTACTACTTCTGGTAGCCCCTGACACCAATCCAATAAGATCGGCTCATATCCGGGTAAGTTCAAACAAAAGATGAGTATTTGAAACTAATATCTGGCTTTTCCTCTGTTACAGGATCACACAGCGAACGAGACCCCAACCGAACCGAAGAATGAAGAATGCCATTCCGACGACTTAAGACGATCCAACACAAATGGAATACGGGTCCCTGTTACTTCATATTATCCAGGTTCCCCGTCGCTGTAAGAGCTCATGGGGGTCTTGACAGGTGGGTTAGCGTTGTTTGTTCAAGACTCCTTCGTTGGACTTGATTACATATTCCGAGGCCTTGAACTTGAAAGATTCAGCGGATCAATGAGACCTGGCAGAAAGACATCAACACATGAAAAGTTTGTTGAACGTTCTGAATAGTATGCTAATAGCAGTCGACTTGGGGTAAAGGGAGTATTAGTCAGGTCAGCTACAATGCCCCTTGGTCATGTTTGGACCGTCAGAAAGCCAGCTCACTAATGTCGATACAATTATAAGTAGTTACCTAACTTTCTTTGGACGAACAATTCTGCCTTGGTAGAAACCACATGCTAGGTATGGCAAAAGAAAACAGTCTGGTACGAGCATTGAAGTCATGATGCTTCAAATGTGTAAAGCCTTTAGTCTCATCATCCCGAGCGAATGAGTAGCTCGACAGGTATGTTCTCTGCCCTTGAAGAGGTGGTATCTGTTAACCCCTGCGTGAGTTCTTAGGTCCGAATTAGCTGCCTTCAAGGTTGAAATAGCCCTGAGTTGCGCACGTAGCGCGAACGCTCCATACAGTCTGGTCAGAACAAAGACCACTATAGAACAAATTCGAAAATGAAGACAAAATGACTCCGTAATTGCTATTCTGTCTCCACGAGAGTTCATTGGAGAATTTCTGTACAAGACACAGAACTGCATTAGGTCGGCCATGGTTCCTGATGCTGGGGGTCGCATATAGGATCGGTAATGGCTTTTGGACCTCATGCTCAACAGTCCGCTGTCGCTTTTCTTCTTGGACAGGACCTATATGTACGTTGCGCTCTCCCGTGTCCTTTCGAGATCTTATATTCTAAGCCTTAAAATTGCCGCATTGTTGCTGACCGTTGAGTTGATGTTCAGTTGCCTACCCCCGAGTCGAGAGCACCAGTTCCTTCCAGTTCGAACTATCACGAGAACCAACCTTCGTATTACCTCAGACGATCTACTCCGTATGAAGAGAATTCATGTCGAAGCTCGACTTGCCCCTAAAGCTTTCTCTTTCAAACCTCAGGCGCAAAACCGATCTGCAGTCGAGTGAGGACAGACTTACTCATGCCCAAGAACTTGGTCGGCGTACCAGGTACATCGTTCATATGAATAGCAACGGAAGGGCAAGAGGCACAAATTTTGAGAAGCAAATTATCTACTACGTATTCAATCACATAATTGATTGAAGAATCGTTGTTCTGTGCGTAAGAACTTGACAAAGGAAAACTTGGATGATCGTGCAACTCAAAACGTGCAATTCACCGGCAATATCTCGATCAAACGACTTGTATGCGTACCTGCTTGTTGTCGAATAACACTTTGCTGGCAGGATTAGGATGAGGGCCCAGAGCATGACACTAGGTCTTACTATGTTATGTCTCACATTTTAGTATCTAACCATAGATAAACGAGATTTTATTGATCAAATTGAGTCCCCAGGGCTGAAGTCCAATGGTATCCGTACTAACGCTAGCAATACCCTGTGAATGTTGAAACGAGAAGAAAGAAGAAATCTAGCCAAGATGGCTCCACAATCAGAGCAGGTACTCTTTTTAAGTAGGTTACAGGGCTGTCGTCGAGTCACTCATGGGCTGAGAACAGATCTTGCATGAATCAGATTGCCTCCCCATCCTCCCCACTTGTTCTCTTCTCTTCCCTTCAATTAACATCACGTCAATTTAGGGAAGTAAACTCCTGAATCACTAAATCTTTGTACAATGATACTGCAGCTAGCTGACCGGTAACTACGTACCTAGGTAGGTAGGTAGGTAGATGTAAGTACCTTGAGATTGCTTGACATGAAAGTTCAGCAAATCTATTAGGCGGACACTCCTACATACCGGTATGGAGCCGGTGTGTCTGGCTAGACATGCAAGTTACACCTGAATCTTCAATGCACGAATTGATAGGGCAACAAGTGGACGATCTGTCCAGGTTGCATTTATGGTTGTCCAGCACAAATTCTGGCATTAATTCGGTGATTATCGTGAGGTTATGGCGCTTCGAGATATTCATCGGTAAGTGCCGCTTGTTTCCACTTTATGACAGCAGATACCAAGTGAGGAGAGAAGAGAAGAGAAGAGAGATGACTCTTGGAAGAGGCAACAACCTACTAGTAACAAGTACAATGATGCAATATCGGACATTCCAAGTAACATCTCCATATGCCCAACTTCCCCGACAAGTCGACATGCAGTATAGATCACAAGGCCATGTATGTAGGAACAATGATAAGCTGCATGCTCTTTAATACGGTATGTACATACCTAGGTACGTGGGGCAGAAGAATTATCCTCCAAGACTTACCTAGCCTGACAACTGCAATGTACTGTACTTGGAGCAAGGACCGGACATACAGTACCCAATGATGATGATGACGATGATTAACGTCAGCAGGGGCATTCTTCAGTTGAACAAGACTCCATATCAATCAAGAATACAGGGTTATCTGAAGCTAAGGGGTTGACAGCTTGCCTAGAACTTTCTGGCGCTTAACCCGCGGCAATGGTAAAGATGAGCTTGATTCAATGAACCCATGAACCTGATGGACCAAGAGAAGGAACTTCCAGGGCACTTCCTTTCCCATAGGTCATCCACATGTCAGAACACGCTGTCGGCAACCAATCAAGTTGGCCGACGCTACTGGCGGGTAGACATCCGTAGCTGCCTTTGTCGCTGCAGGGCGCGGATCATGGGTGTCCCCGGGCCTGCCCGTACTAACTTATACAGGGGATCAATGGTGCCGCGCTTCCCTTGATTAAATCAAAACCTGTGACAAGCCAAGAGCAGCAAGCAACAAGCAGGTGCGTGCGTGCAGCTTGCTTGACATGCAACTTCCCTACTCGCACGAAATGAAATGAAAGGAAAGACGAAAACAAAATAACCAAGGCACTGGCTCAGCCTCATTCTTTCCTTTTCAGGATCCATCTTGTTGTCTCACTCATTTATACCTACCCAAGTACCTACCTACCCAAGTACTGCATCGGTGACGCATGCCCGTCATACACAACTTAACTTCCTACCTTACAAGAACAGCAAAAAGACCATCTACTCCATAACAACCTAAACAGTCTACATATGTTTTCATCCTTACAACCTAAATAAACAAGAGAAAGAACCTTGGAGTACATTTCCCACTTGGACAGACCACAATCGAACTGGATCTATTTTCTTGCATCCAGTCTAACCAATGAATCCAATCTTCAAGGCTGTTGACTGGTGTGAGGATGATGATCAACAACAGAAGAATGACCGATCGTCGTGAGTATAAGCTCAATGCTTCTCTCGTACAACACGACTAACCCAAAGATCAGATCGCTTGATGTTCTCGGCCAGGATAAGGTCACTCGATGGATGAGAGATGGTATACAGTACGGGTGCCCCATTACTTTCGCCAGTCTCTATTTTACCAGTTCATATACTAACATTATCTCAGGGTTCTCTATTGCGACCATCTGCCTGACATCTCCAGTGTAGCTCGTCCAATCGACAAATGTGGTAGCTACATGGATATGCTTCAGCTATGGACTTCAGATTTGGATGTCAGCACGAATACCAGGGAAACTTCCTCAGAAACCCAAGTCGACCGCACCGTGTCACTCGAAGAACAACAAGCCAAGGATATTGAACGCGAAAGGGCATTCCACGACTCACTGACTAGGGCTGGGGGGCGGCCTTGGTATTCAAGGACCCTTATTGCTCATGTTGCGAGAAACCCGGGCAATTACGACGAGCTTCTTCAATATTGGAAGAAGGACCCCACCGAGTCAGAGAAGGGACAGTGGATGGTGTTTGAACGACAACTGGAAAGGTGGAACCTGTTCTGCAGGTATCAAAGGAGGGCAAGGAGAAACTCGGATACTTTCAAGGAATATTCAGCCCGATGCAACAGGCGGCTCTCTAACCAATTGTCATCTGCAGCACTGGATATGAAGCAGGACCTGAATGACCAAGACTCTCTGTCACAATGGCTTGAGTATCTGTGCTTTGAGCTATCTGAGTGTAAAAGGTACTCGTGGTATAAGCGGTATCACCAACATTACGAAAACGCCTGGCGAATACTTGTCGACTCCAAGGTACTACACTCAGATGAAAGTCGAAGTCAGGTAGAGACTATCGAATATGCATCCTTACACAACGACGAGAAGACGAATTTGAGACAAGCTGTCGAAGCGGCCAGCTCAGAGGTTTTGTTGGCGGAAAGAGACTCTCTGAACCCGTCGCTAAGAGGACCTTTGGCTCAACGTAAGCTATTCGAAGCCCAGGCTAACCTCGACTCGGCAATTGAGGCATTTGATCGGCTGCAGCATCGAATAGATGCGATTAAAAAGTACCGCGAGGCTACATCGACATATAGAGAAGCAAGGCAGGGGGCTCATCGCCATCAAATCCTTTTAGGATGGGTGCAGCAACAAATACCTTTGATTGAGAAAGAGCTGGGACTGTCGTGCTCAACACAGCGTCTAACGCTGGATGGCGATATGCTCACGGAAACTGAGAGCGACGAGAGCGACGACCAGGGTGACAGCATTGACTCTTCTTGTACTTCGTCAGTATGCGAGCCTAGTGGATTGCAGCGAAGCGAGAGCAAGAAACGATGCCGCCTTGAGAGCATCTCAGGTGAAGCCACACAGAGCAGTAACAACAACAACGCCCGTCCAAAACGTTCAAGACATAGTGTCGACTCTGACTCTAGAGTAAGCCAGCTATGAAGTAAATACGTTATGATATCTGTTTATATATTAAAAAGAAATTATTTGTCATCTATGGGGTTATCTGTTAGCGATATCTATGTAGGAGTTGAGGGCTGCTTGGCTTGGATGTACGTGGCATGGTGGATATCAGTTACAGCAGGGGAAAAGGCCGAAGCCAGGTATAGAAAAATCAGTTGCTGTCACAGAAAATTGCATGTCACTGATGATACCGTCAAAGTCATGATGGCATGTTTCTGACCATTTTGTAGAGATCGACATAAGAAGTTACATGCAATTTAAGACATTAGATACGCATCCATGCTTCGTCTTAACCCTAACCCATGGGCGTAATAAAGCGTCCACTTTACGGCGGATAGAATAGTTTTGTGTTCCCACTTGGCTAGAAAGATTAATTCGAGCACTAGAACCACTTGACAGAAAAGTTAGCCCATTCCTTCACCCAAGTATAGCATGCTTATTCTCATCGGTAGCTGCCCGTCGGTAAAGTAAGATCTCTTTGTGCGTATTATTTTCTACTCCACATAAAGCGCAACCTTGACGCACCTCCCCCCACGACCCCTGGCACTTCAATCTGAGAGAAACAGCCTTTGACGCCATCCCATTCATCTATGGATCGCCAATAGCTACTGAACATACAGACCTGTTCAGGCAGCTTACCCCCCCTTGCGTCCACCTGGCTTCTTTCGCCTCATCACTTCTGATTCTTGCATTTTCGTTAGCACAATTAATTAACTTTTTTGGATTGCTTCAAATGGCCTGAAACGTTCTGTCGTGAGATGGGCAATCCTCCCCCCCTTCGTCGGGGCTCTTCTACAGGCCATCTTCCACAACCGCTTGCGTCCGTGACTTCGAACTCGACCAAATCTCCCCCGCCGCAGCCCACGACCGCGACCACCACCACCACGACAGCTTCTCCAGATATCCATGTTCCTCCCGTGCACCCGTCTCTCCTTCAGCCTCGCGTAGCTGTGGTTCTCAATGTTCCTACACCATGGCATCCTTGGCTCTTTGCCCTACGGCTGTTGTCCATCCTGCCGGCACTATGGTGGGGATTGCCTTCTGCGGTTCAATTGCTCTTGCGTGTCCTGCCGGGACCAGAAATAGTCGTTGTGGTTCCGTCGACGGCGGGAGGATCCGTGGCTATGAGCGTTGAGCAAGATGCGCGGTACGCTCTTACTGAGACTGGGCTTGCAACGATATGGGTGCGTGTGGGACATGTCCTAGACATGACAGGACAAATACACCAAAGAAAAGAGCTATGCTGATATGTTGGAATAGTGCTTTGCTTCAGGATATCTATCATTCTTCTTTACAGACTGCCTAATGTCCAGATGGTATGGTTGGCTTCCTGTGCATGCCCATGCCAGACAGGTCTCGTGATAAACATCATATTAACTATGCACAGGCTCATCAATTACACTCCCCAGGCGACAATGGTCCGGCTTCTCACGACCAACATATGTAACGCCTATCTCACCCAAATTGTTCTCTCGATCGCGGGTGGTTTTGAAGATCCTCGTCTCTTCCTACCAGGCTGGATTGGTATAGCAACTGTACGTCCTCACTTCCCCCGCACACGCGACACAAACGGCTTTCACCGCAATTATCGGACGGGTTTACTGACAAACTACGCCGCAGACTCTTACTGTTATGTACCACATCACTCACCAAAAGATCAACATTCGCAAGGAGACGTCTACATCCATCAACGTCTTTTCCATAGCCAGTTTTCTTAGTATGGTAACTCTGCTGGCGCATATGCACCAGTTCACGCCTGAATACCCTCAGATGCCAATAGTAACAAATGGTCGGCGCGCATGGGATGAGGCATCGCGTGTTGTCGCCCAGGTCAGAGGTAGCGTTGAGCAACATAACGACTTGTAACACCACGTCCATACCAGGTCTGCTCAGGCTCTTGTGCGGCCAACAACACTTGTTTGCAAGTCGGTATGACGAATGAGCGAACGTTTCATACATTACCCTTTTCAATTGTTAAATGCCGGCTTCAACCATTTCCCCCATCATTATTATCTTGCCGTGTTCAGAAGGGGGTCAACTTTGTATACCTATGTACTGTGATTCAGGGTTCGTAAGAGAAAGCAGTCGGAGTTTCGGTCAGCATAACCCAGTTCCCGCCTGTACATGTGGGACCTGACGTCAGGTCAAATACAACATAAATTTCAGGGTTGCATGCAATAGAATTCACATCAACTGAACCACTTTCGACTTCGGAATCGACTTTCTATTTGCCTGAAACTACTGCGGGGCTTGCCCATGTAGACATATCTGACTAACGAGTGACTGACAAGCCATGTTTGTTCAAAAACAGATGCTTTGCCCGTAGCCTCGTCCTTGTGCACGTGAGCGAGGTAGATGTCGAAAACCCTGTCTCTACCTGCTGCAGAACGTACAGCATAAAATAAATACTCTTCCAAAAAGCCACCAGGAGTATAAGCTCACCCTGTGTGGATGCCCGTCGTCCTAGAGTAATCGGAGCCGAGCCTCGGTGTGTCTGTTGCGAAAGCAAGAGAACACGTCCGGAAAAGGCACAAGCCGAGGAGGCCATGCATCCCTGTCCCTCTACGTCAAGACGCCCGGGAACGGCGACTGACAGGACGACGGGGCATGCAGAGCTTTAGAAACCGTGGACCTTAATGGTCTTGGCATCTAGCTCCAGGCCTTCCTTCTTGTCAACAAGAAATTCCTGAACATCTTTGCGCTGATCACCCTGGAGCTGGATCACCTCTCCCATCTCGGAGTCGTTGACAATGGTGCCATTGCAGGCTGAGTCGTGTTAGCTTGACGAATGAGGAGCCGACAGGTATGTCACTTACCAAACTTCTTCTTGATGACCTTGAGAATCTTCTTCTGGTCAAACTTCTTGGGGAGACCCTGAACAGTGGTCAAAGTCTTACGTCCATTACGCTCTAAAAACCTGTTAGTAGTGTGCGCAAGTATGACGATTCAAAACCAGATGCGACGTGGATTCACGTTAGTACCCAGCAACTCTAGAGGAAATTGCGGTGTAATGTTTCGACGCGACATCGGCTTAGGTGGCGGGTATGTAACTTACGCTGAATGCGTATATGGATGTAATTCTGCGTCTGCTTGGTTTCTCCGGTGTCCTCGTCGGCTTCGGCGAAGGGGTCTATTAAGCCAGGCGTTAGTTGTCATGCTTGTAAAGCTCGATCGTGGTGTTTGAAGATGTGGAAGTTCGGTGGGGATTTGACATGTGGCTTGGCAACAACAAATGCAGGTACAAGATGATAAGGCGCGGCGATTCCAAATCCAGGAGTCGAAGCGATTCGCGCGAGCAAGATGAGGCCCCAGGGATAAGGGGGGAAGGATCCAGCAGGTGACAGCACAGGGACTTACCGTAGGTCTTGAGATTTTCGATGGACATAAACTCGGAGGTACTGGGGTGACCTTGGGAAATGGGTTTTGTGAAAGGGTTGAGGATGTGTTCAGCGACCGCTTGCTAGAATAGCGCCTCGCTGTATGGGTATCGAAAGTACTGGTGTGCGTACAAGGGTGGAAGACGAGCGATGGATATGTCTTGCGACGATTTGCGAAGTGCAAAGTCTTTGAGAGTTGCGGGTATTTGTGTTGGTGACGTTGTAGGGAGAAGAAAGAGGCGGGAGTTTGGTAGAAGGGGGAGGGGCAAAGATGAGTAAGTCCTTTAGGCTTTGCTTTGGTGGGAGCCCTGCACGGGGGGGAAGCACGGTGAGAGCTGTTCATGCCTAACTTATAAGGCATTAAGCCTTAACTTTAGAAGAGCCATGATTTCGATAGGCATCCACTACCCTCTATGAATGGAGCATAGGTACCTAGGTAGGTAGGTAGAACCCTCCTTGTTTTATCGCAGCAATGACTCAAAACTATCATTAAGTATTAATCATATCAGACAAACTCTCCAACAAGGTTGATCATTCCTTTTTTCTATTGGCTCGCTATAGGATTCTTTCGAATACGCAATTGTAGACTCACTCGCTCACTCTTCTGATCGGTGAGCATTGTACATTGTGCCTGCGTATGCGCCTCGCGCAAATGTTTACTGTTGGCCAAGCAGCCCAGGTGGGTGTCAGAATTGTCCTCTGAGGCCTAGGGTACAGAAATAAAGTAGCCTAAACGCTGCCTTAGCCAGCATAAGATGACCAAACTATTTCGTCTCTTATGCTCCCGTCTCGACAGCCAATTCTTCTGATACCCTGACGCCAAGTTACATCGATGCGTGGTCCAATACAAGGCCGTGACAGCCGCCAATGACTCTTCTGTTTCGGTGAGGCCGTTGAAATCGGCAAATGTCTTACCCTCAACTTATGTATACATGGTATTCTGATGAAGCATTTCTGCTAGACTCAATGTATCAGTACCCTGCAGACTTCTTTGAGGTCCCATAGGTATTTTAAAACAATGCCACAGACATCATACGAACGAACGGCTAGAAATGCGCCGCCTTTGCATACCATACCTTAGATACAGAGTATGGTGAGCCTCATATCATATCGTTACATTTGATACCTACGTACGTTTGGCCTGTGCAGTCCCTACCAACTGAATACTGCGGCGCAAAGGTGACACCTATAATAAGTACTAACTTAAGGTACCCTAGCCTAGCAAGTCATGGATCTGCATGTCACCCGGTCTCTCCCTTCTGACGCGCAGAGCCACGTTCGGGGCCACGAGAAGAGTTAGGGTCCAGCATCGTGACACTATGTTAGAATGATTCTTTCCTCCTATCAGAATATGCGGCTCTCCAAGAATGAGAAAGATGCTCCATGATTACCTATGTCACCTTTTTTCTTCACTTCCTGATATCTGTAGCGGTATCAGGTATTTGCTCAGCTACCCGACGCAAGTACAACCATAACTCCATTTTAATGATGCAATAACCAGCAACAGCAACAAGTTTCTGTCAGAAGAGATCATGGTCTCTGCAATATCATGTCTTTAGCGAGGAATTATAGAGACTTGGATGCAGGAAAGAGCTCTCTGGTTGCGTATAGATACCCAACGCTAGACTATCTGTTACATTACGGCGACGGAATAGGGTAGGTCTATTGCCGGTAGTAGTAATCTAACCACACCTTAGGTAGTACCTATTCTAGTTTTCTCGATTTGATCAATTTAGACCTATCTAGCTTAGCAGTTATCAACAGACACGATGAGCCGCTGGTGTCAGCTCTTATTCGGATCTTGGGTAGAGAATAGGGAATTTTCTAACCCAATTCCATCTGGTATGACTGAATGTCAGTAATACAGGGAAGGAGGGACTGGAGCAGGGGCGAGCCCTAGTTCCCGGAGCCACTTTATCTTCCCCAGATCTTGGAGCGGATTGTCCAAGCCGTAGACTAGACTATTCATGATTCGTTATAACTCACCGGTGTTTTGTTCATTCCCTAGACCCTGAAACAAAAGGTAACACCGTACCCTGGCGTTGAACTTGAGCCTCAGTGTATCGAAGAATTGGCCCCAGTAGCATAAGGAGACGAAATAATTTGGTCACTTTATGTCAGCTTAGACCAACAGTTGGGCTACTTTATTATAGTAGCCTAAGGCTTAGACGACAATTCTTCTGTTTTGTTACCCACCTCCACTGTTTAGGGCTTCAGTTGCCTTGATGGGAGGGTATGCCAGCTAGCCTCGTTTCAACAAGGTCTCGATACAATTCTGCTTCACACGCGCGGTGCTCAACAACTATTGTCTCTATTTTTGGTCACTTTGAGTTCAAGTTAGAATCAACTTCACCGGAACGGTGGCTGGAACCGCAAAGGTCGACACGCATACTGCGGCGCTGTATGCCTCTGCAGAAGCGACAATATCTTACCACTTTCAGATTTTCTTATATAGGCCAACTTTCTGACCTGCATACTCGGTCATATCGGCGACCCTTCCGCTCACAATTCTGACCTGAGAATGGAAAATCGGAAGAAGGCTCCATTCGAGCCCGAGGAGTATCCTCAAGGATCACCGCCCTTGCTTCACGAAAGCTGCGGCAAAGCAAACTGGATACCCATGTGCCGTCACACATGCACATTCGAGACTCAAGATTTCGACAAGATTATGCTTAATCTTGTCGAGAACCCGAACCTCAACTCCAAGTGGCTATTCCGTGCAGACGTTCTCCAAGACGATTGTATTCAGCCTCCCGTTCCTGCAGATATCAGTGACACAAAATACCACCCTCAAACTCAAGAGTTCAAGGGTTTCAGCCGTCAAAGGACGATAGTGCGTCGGCTCATACCACGGAACACACTTCGCGACGCCCCATTAGATCAAACATGCTCATTCTATCACTCTTCTCAAGGCAAGGAGGATATGGACTCCGTTGAAGAAGCCGGTCCGATGCGGTCTCTCGTCGTGTACATACCTCATGCTTCTTCTGCAGCAGAGATGCCATTCTACCACCCCAAGGTCCAAGGGATTAGTCAACTCCACGAGTGGGATCCGGCAACAAAGACTGGCACGATATCTATTCATTTCCTTCTCTTCAACGCCGAAGCAACCACGGAAGAGATCGACCAAGTCAAACTCGGTAGAATCGCTTACCACCTACTTCAAACCATCCACAAGCATGGGCACAGCACAGCCGCAGGCTATGTCAAAAGGGTTAACCACGATGTGATTGTCCCTAGGGAGAGGTTTCAAGACAAGTACTCTGAACTTAAAAACAAATATGCCAGGTCTCTAGTCCAGTCCTGGCTTGAGACCACTGATCCTACAAAACATGTGTTTGAGGATCTAGGCATAGCTGCATTTCTCATAGAGCTGTGGCAGGATATGTACCGAGGCGCGGACTTCCCTGGCTTTGTGGATATCGGTTGCGGAAACGGTCTGCTCGTTCATATTCTGAGGCTTGAAGGGTATGATGGCTGGGGTTTTGATGCCCGCGAACGCAAGTCATGGTCTCAGTACAACTCGACATTCTCGGGCTCGCCCTCTGGAAAGTCCCTCCAAAAGCTACTCCTGCTCCCCAGCTTAATTCCTGTGGAAGCAACCAGTGGTGATACAAAAACGATCGACCCCGAAGACATCCATGATGGCCTCTTTCCCCGAGGCACCTTCATCATTTCCAACCATGCCGATGAACTCACGCCATGGACACCCATACTTGCCGCTATATCTCAGTGCCCCTTCATTATGATCCCGTGCTGCAGCCACAACCTCACAGGCGAGCGATGGCGAGCCCCTCCACCGCGGGACAAGTCCAAATCAAAGAGTATGTTTGCATCGTTGGTCGATTGGGTCACGCAAATCGCGGGGGACTGTGGATGGGAAGTTGAGACAGAAATGTTGAGGATTCCGAGCACCAGGAATACGGGTTTGGTCGGCCGCAGAAACATAAGAGACATTCAAGAGATCGACATGCGTGTGGTATTGCAAAAGTACGGAGGAGTTCAGGGTTATTACAGCAATGTTGCAAAGCTTGTCAAATCATCACCCCGAGGCCACTAACCTGCGTCGCCCAATACCATACATACATGCATACATACATGCCTGCATGCATGCACTGCACATAAGAGAGTGGCAGACAGGTTATCAGTGGCTGAGAAATCCCTCCTTTGGGTACGGACACAGATGATACAAAGACTGCCCAAAAGGCGGTTTTATCAATACTACTACACATTATGGCTCTTGTCATACCCCTTGGCTGTATTGGTTCGGAAATGTAACGGTCCGTTTGGTGAGGGTACTGCAGCCGGATGGATCATTTTGAACCAGGTTTTCTCACCCTAGATAAAGCCTGCGAAGCCAAGAAGGGATGCTTCACGTACGCAATGCGGCAAGCGATCAGAAAGGCAAGCTGGGCATGCGTCCTTCACAGTTTTTATTATTTTGGAATATTGCAGACACATCACACAAGCCTCTTTATGCACAGCGGCTGAGTGCAGCTCATCCGTTGCTGATCAGCATCCATGAATCATAATCACAGCAATAGCAAGGGTACGAGCAAACATGTCGAGACCCCGGTCGCCGTGGACGGGCAAATCACAACAATCGGACTCGCCCTCCACTATGTTGGTCTCCAACGTCAACGTTGGAATCGTACTCTGCAAGCATCCATTTACAGTACGTACGGATACGCCAATGCACTCATTCTAAGCGAGGACAGTGAGACATCTGGCTTACGGCACCAGGGTCCGGGCTGCCGCGGGTGGAATAAGCAAACAATAAAACTACTGCAATGCAATGCAATGCTTATCGAGGGAGCCCTTCAAGTCAGATGCACAGTATCGGACTATTATACCGACTGGGCTCACCCCAGGAGCCTTGCTTTGCGTACTACCCATGTACATATGTACGGATACTGCACTGTAGAAACAAACCACAGCTGCTGCTTCAGGTGAGCAACTCGGCGTTCGCATGTGCTTTCACTTACAGCAATGTAATTGATAGACTGTCAGTCAATCACACATGATGCATAAAAGGCGCTATTCCCGTGCGCACCCTCTCAGCGCCTGTATTACGAATCCTGTCTTTCTCAGCCTATCTCCGCCGTCTATTATCAACGTTGAGCTCTGCGTTTTCTGAGGCTTACCCATTGTTCCACAGTGTCCCCCAACCATGGCACAGGAACCACGCTACGAAGTATATCGCTTCGACGACCAAATCAAGTCTTTACAAGAGAAAGCCATTGTTGAGGTTCTTACTTCGACACCAGCAGAGAAGCGATTGAGACTAGGTTCATATGGCTTGGACAAGTTATGCGAGGAATTAAGCGAGGAAGTAATACGGGGCATGGTATGTATCGAGCTTCACGTACGGAGTACTGCATCCATCGAGTGTCGGCTAATTAGCTAATGTAGAATGGACCTCTCGCCAGATGGGCAAGCGGCTGTGGTCTAATCATCAGCGATCTTCACAGACCCAGTTTCCGATCCGAAGCTTTTAGACTGCAGAAGGGAAGCGCACTCTGGCCAGGACAGAATTCCACTGCACTTCTTGTTCCTTTGAGCAACGGAAATGCGAAGATCGATTTGCTTCCGCGAGGAAGTAACAGCCGTGTCTCTCACGATTGGGATCCGCGGACCCTCATCCACTTGAACGAAATGGGATTCGAATTTCGGGGGAATGGGAGTGTTCGATTCATCTATATCCTTTTCCAGACAGCGCCATGCCCCGAGTATCACGTCTGGTGAATCGTCGTTCGTCAGGTATCGAATACGCTCCTATGAGCTGAAGCAAAGACGTCATCCACTCCATCCATACTACCTCCAACATGATAGCTTGAGCTATCTCCAACACTAATCACGGGCATCGGTTTGATGCTCAGACGACTACCTCAAGTATCACCATCGTCCCGTTCATCGAATTCCATGACGTCGGTCATATCAACACTACTATACCCATAAACCCAGTCGGACTTCTCAGGGCACAGGATGCGACAAATAACTCGGTACCTGGGGGTGCGTCAGCTCCAAGATCGAAGGTCCACGAGATTGCAAACAGACTTTATCTTATGATCTAAGAGGTCCCAAACAAGCGTGGGGATTTCCAGGCACTCGGACTGCAGGGGAGTTGTTGGTCGGTATGTCGATGGGACGTGGCTTTTAATGAAAGAGAAGCAGGCTGAGTCGCAACGCTGGAATAATTGTAAACAGCCTTGTGCTAGAAGAAGAAGAAGTCTTAGGGATGGGGTCTTCCCAGAATGAACATCAGGATTTTCTCAAACGTACCATGCAAAGGAATCTCGTTAGCACGACAGCCTACTACTCTTGTATACTCCTTTAATAATTGGATCCCTATGATGACCCCTTCTCTGACACTGTCCAATACGATTTCTGTTAACTCATTGTCTGCCATACCGCATTGTCTTGCACAAGACTCTAAGCCCCTTAGCACTATTTGGCGCGGGCAGCCATTCACCAACGCAACCTGACATGTTGCTACAAAGATTATGGTGAAGAAAGAAGCAAGAGGGGGGTTGTTGCAGGTCTGGGTGAGATACTGTGAACACTCGTCGAAGAGACGAGACCAGTCAAGACGACCTTGAATCCCTTGGCATAACGAAGGTAACTTGAGCTGATGGCACAGAGAACGTATGTCCCTATTGCAAGAGATATGTCGAGACCAGTCTGCGTCGCTTCGAGGAACCTGGGCAAGGAAGCGAAGAGCGTATGGATACCACGGGGCAACTGTAGCCCTACGAAGGGTTTCCTCTTGCTCAGAGTAGATGGCTGCAATGCTCTCCTGGTTGTCTGGATCGTTGTCTGAGGTGGCTCGGGACGGACAAGTTCCAGGGTCAAGGATCAGGGTCGGGGTCGAGCTAGGTCCAGTGGCAGAGTAGAATTCTGGGGGAGATTTGGACACCATGTTATGGTCCGGCCGAGCACCCTTGATGGTGAGTCGAGGCTGATCATCTGCCATGGCAATCGAAACTATCGGGTCACCGTGCTGTAGCAAGCTGAGAGATCGTCAGCTAGGCCAGGCAAATACCGAGGGCAGAGTTTCTGAAAAGAGTGCAGTTACCTGAGAGGAGGATATTGAGATGGATACGACAGAAGTGACTAACAAAAAGTATGTTAATATCTGGCGAGTGTGTTTTTGAAGATGAATGGTTCTTGGTTGGCGCGATTGGTTTATTAATGAAGTGGTGACGATGACAATGGCCTCAGGACAACAGATCAAGGGTGTATGTATCTTGTCCTGGAACTCGTTCGGTCAATAAGATCAACTTTAGTTGCAGATGTCAAGTAAACGGTGCAGCCCTACGAATACACTCTTCTTTTTGTTAAACCTCAGCCCCAGATTTCCACCATTTAAGGCTAGAAAACCGCTCTACTTGCAGATCATTGGTCTTGGGAGCATCGAGAGACTCGATATCTAATCTTAACTGCCTAGGCTTCAAGAACAAACAGCCTAAAATTTGTCCAGAGCTGCCCGGCACAAAGCGACCTGCATATTCTGTCTCGCATACATGGCGCCAACTTCCTACAGTGCACCGAGATCTCCGCATTATTGCAGCAGATGAATGTCGCTTTACTCTGATTGTCAGGTACAGTACAGTCCTTGAGTGTTTGTTGATGGCGCCGCCACTCTTGTCTTGTCTTGTCTCGTCACATCAGTATATGCACGAGTCTTTAACATGCGATAGTAGGATCAGGTCGGCCGAGAAGAAGAAGCAAGCATGTCATCACTCCACTTGTCACGATCTTCAGAGGACCAGACAGTGGGCGTCGCGGAAAGCTGTCGTCAATTCAGGGGTCTCCTTTACGATATGCACTCTCGCTTTTTTCCCTTCTTCTATATCTATCGGCTCGGTTCAAAGTCCCGATGGCGTATAATTCCTGTCTGTTCGCCAAAAGAGTGATTACTGATATGAACCCTTCGCGGTTCACCCTTGCACGGATACTTGCAGACGGCACATGATTATAAAGCCTAAGAGTAAGAGTCTGGATATCTGGATGTTTGACGGATGTCGTCTGGGATAAGCAGGCTAAAGCATGGTACCCACGCTCGCCTGAATGGACAAGAGAGATCAGAAGCTACTATATGCTGTTGTAACCAAACCGCTAGGTGCCAACGCACACGTTAACTAACAGTTATGAACTGATGCGGCAGACTCCGCAGTGGGTGTGAAGTTGTGCCTGTCTCTCGATCTGGCTGCGGCACAGCAAAGTTCTCGGACTGACAGTACAGGACATGGGTATCTTAAGTCGGAGAAAAGGATCGAGAACTTAAGTGGGTTATATCCTATCTCGTGCTTGAATGAGAATAAACAAGCATGAGCTAGACCATGCCCTCGATAGGTCTCTTTAACATAGATCTGGCAGCCGACCCTCATTTGGTTCGATCTAGAAGCAACTTCGCTTACGATCTAGATCCTTGAACGCAAGATCGGTGGAGATAGTGATGGAAGGGTGTCGAGGGAATAGTGTCATTATCGTGTCATTTGTGCTTGATCCTTGTATAATCTTCTGTCTGTACATACAGGACTGACTTCTCAGGGCTGCGTATCGTGAATGGTGTTCATCTGCGTTGTCGAATTTCCCAGCTTGGCTAGCCTCTGCGAGGTTGACTTGGGTCTCAGGGCCTCAAATCAAGAGTAGATCTTAGTGCATCGTTGGTGCCGTGAGACGGAAACAACATGCGATTTGATTGTCTTACTATAGTAAGACTATGCCGTGGCCCGTGGCCACACAACTTTGACCCGAGCCTGCCAAGACGTGTACATTGCAGGTTGCGGTAGGTCTAGCAAGGGTCCCCTGTTGCTGAGGTTTACCTCGACATATTCAGTAATTACAACTAGTACAGTATATTATGGCGTCCTTGGGTTCAGATAACAACATACTATGGTACGTGCCATCTCGGAGGGATATCCGTCCGCAATCATTTGTGTCTTTGGCGCTCTTAATTCCCCAGACCGGGGAGACGGAACACAGCATAGAGGCGCTTCGGGGCTATCTGCATGGTGGAAGCAGAAGGGAAAATAAGGTGATGATCACAATGAACATGCTTCCTCGGGTAAGACAGATCTAGTCCCGCTGCGTTACGAAGTTCCTGCGGCTAACAGAAACATCACATACTGTACTTGTCACTCGTTCATCTTCAACTGTGCAAAGTCTCGATCACTAGAACTTCCACTTCGAACATGATCTGACTCCTCCAAAGGCCATTGTTCGATCTACCCTTAATTCCGGGCTCTAAAAGTGCAAATGGGCGTTGCAGGTCGAGCTGTTTGTCTCACACTAATGCAGGCGGACACGGTCACTCCACCAAACCCATGCAAGGAAGACTGTCACTACTGTCACTGTTTATACAGCATAATAATAGATGCCGTTGCTTCTGTATGTTGTGACCGTTGAAGGAAAAAGAAAAGATACCCTGCTTCGCTATGCCTAGCAAGACAGGAAAGAGCAAAAGAGAAGTAAGGGAAAAGATCTTGTTCTGAAAAGTAATCGGTTCACGCCCCTTCCGAAGTCACAGATATTTCGATCCTTCATGGGACATAGACTACACAGTCTCCATTGTTCCCAGTTCCAGTCGGTCTCTAACGAGATAGGAACCCCAGGGTTTGTATCCGATCGCATGCTTCGATAACATGCTGTCTGCCATAGTCGAACAGGACGTCTAGGGTGTTGTAAGTATTGGCGACAAAAGTAGAGCGACTGGATCACGATATCTTACCTTAAGCGCAGTCTGATCAAAGCTCAAAAGGTACAGAAGGCGAGACAGATGGCGAGATCCATATCGTAAGAGAACCACCTAAGTCTGCTTGTTGCTTTCCTTGCAAGACTTGGTACCTCCATCCTGGGCACCGCCATCCTCATTAGCAGTCTCCTCGACGAGAGTATCCTTCTTCTTGGCGGTCGCTTCCTTTTCAGCCTCGGCACGGGCGGCGGCCTGCTCACGATGAGCTCGAGAGCTCTCTCGCTTATTCTTAGCCATCATACCGACTCGAGTGAGGGTGTCGATGGTCTTCTGGTCAGTGAGACCAAGGGTCATGCGACGGAGATCTTCGCGGGTCTCCTCGCTCAGGGGTTGAGAGTCACTGTTCTTGTGATTGTTATGGTTATCAGACATTCTTAATAGCGAGCGACGAAAAGTAGGTAAGTTTGCTTTTGCAAAAACCGATTGATTCTCGCAGAGTTGTCGACGACCGGCGAGGAAGGAAGTGTCTAATGTCAGTCGTTACAGATCTTGGAAGAAAAGGAACTCGTAGAGAAGGAACAACGAAGGGACTCGGAGGCTTCATTGGCAATCTCTGCCATTAACGCAGCCTTTCTCGACAATGGAAAGAACAATTAAAACAAAGATCATTTGAAAACGAGGGGTGCTTTACATGAGTGGGTAGAAAATGAATGTTCGTTTGCTTTGCAGACGATAACAGGCAGGGCTGCGCGGCGAATGAGCGCCTGAATGAGCACATCATGAGGAGCTCGCAGTTTAACAATAGAGCACAAACGTGGTTCGCTATTTACAAGAGCACAAACCTAAGAGCTCAGTTGTTTGAAGGTTGAGAGCGTGCGACTTCGGAGAACCTGACCTTTCAAATCTAAAGGAGCCAAGTATACATACAACAAGATCATCACGACAACCCGATAATGTGGTATCTAGGTGTTCAGTTCACGTTTTATTAATAGATATCCAGCTATATGCCAATATCTTCTGTGTTAGACATGAGGAGAATCGTGCAACACGCCTTTTTGACTAGGTAATGGGCTATATGACGAGGCTTGTATTTTGCGGCACTTGGAGCGCACTGGCATCCATTCTGTCCGCCTTGGATATCTAGACTAGACGGTTCTGAGGGAATGTAATGGAAATTGTAATTTCTTACCAATAAACATCGTCTGCTCTCTGATATATCGACCAACACGAGATCATGCCAACCCAAGACGCATTTATGTCATAAAATGATCAAATTAACTATCTATGCCATGTATTCTCAATCTGAAATTCCCATCGTGAAACTCCAGACATCATTGTTGACCAGACTCTATAGTCTTTTGTGTGTGTGTTCATGCCTCATCTCAATATGAATCCAACGGTAAATAAAACAAAACCCACAAGCTGCTTCCTGTCCCTGCAGGAAGACAGCAACATGCTTGGATTTACAAAATGCATACGTTTAATGCCCAGCAGTTGAGATTTACTGACTGGCGATATGGGGAATCTGGGTAAGCGCAAAGCGTAAAGGTCGTGATTAAATTCCAAATGCAAATGCAGGGAGATGATGATAGTCTTGCGTGGTGAAAATCCAGAATCTCTGTAGTAGACAGGCGACAATTATTCTTCGGACTTTGTCGCGGTTGCTTCATGTCGACCCCCCGTCGAGTCAATCTTCTCCAGCGGCTTGTCGTCATTCTTTGAAACCTCTTCGGGGGGCTCTTCGCATATTGAGCTCTGGTCGGCCCAACTGACAGTTCTTTTTCTTCTCTTCGGGGTAGCAACGTTCTCTTCGATTTTGTCTTGAGCAATCGCGTCCTTGTCCACGGCGCTGACACTCATGCGCGGAAACTCGGCAGACTCTCGAGTCGGTGTCATGGGGGGCCGGCTTACAGAGTATTTGGATGCTTGCACGCGCAACGAGCTGCTTCGCATGCGGCTGATTCGGGACGTGTCGCCCCTATTCATATCAGCATCCCACTCTGCAAAATCCTTTGAACTCCATGAAGCACGATGGGTACGACCACTCCGAGGCAGACTATTGACAGAGTGCCGGGAACTGGCACTGTTTGTCCGGCGCGGTCGGTTCAGTGGATGCGCTGGATGAGACGGCACTTGGGATCTCGTGCCCTCCAACGTTGGAAACGCATTGTTGTGGGTGTTACGCTTCACATTGCTCACGCTGAAGATGGATTTCGACAGCTCTTCAAGTTCGTCCACGTCGTCCTCTTTGGGCTTCGTAGTACCCGCCCTATCCTCCATGTGTTCGAAGTATCGGACACGAAGATCGTCAATTTTCTCGGGGAAATCCTCACGGTTCCGGGATAAGGACATCCACGTGGAAACCATTCCGAGCACGATAAGAACCAAGATAGCCGCCGCAAGAAAACATTGGACCACAAGAATTATCATGCCAATAGCTGTTGCTGCAACGCGGCTCAGGTCCAGAGTTCGCAAGAAGGCGATGGAAAGGCCAGTGGTAACAATCTTGGAAATTGAAAGTAACCAGATGGCTGCTGTTGTGTTACGAGAACCCTCAAAGGGCTTGAGTTTGATGATGATGGTTAGAGAAATGATCTCAAATATAAAGAGACCATAGACTTGGGCCAAGGGGCTCGCACGGCCTCCGCCGATAAGACATGCGCGCACAAATTGGTAAGCCAGGTACACTGTGAAAAACCACCATCGAGAGAGTCGATATCGAGCCGAGAGCCATCCAAACCGCTTGATGTAAGACTCATCTTGGTGAACTTTGGGTCGCTCGGGGTCTTTGTCAACAAATCTGATACGTCGGATTGGCAAACTGGCAAACAGGCGTGGCTTCTGTGCTTGTTCCTCTTCGCCTATCGAACTCTCAAGAGTCGTCGCAACAAATGGGATCTTTTTCAAAATCTTGCCTTGCTCAAAGCGTAGAGTGTCAGACACAACCTCATATTTGCCCTCACGCAATCTTGTCGAGCAAGCATAGGCTGTAAAACCGGCGAACCCCATAAACATGACAAAGATGACGGCGGCGATTGCAGTTGGCCCTGGAGGCCCATTGATCGAGAATTGGAACAGTGTAAGGGTTGTCATGACGAAGAACGCTATGAAAAGAGTTCGCAGCAAGCCTGCTACCAGATATCCAAGCCAGTGCGAGCGGAAGTAGTCGAAGCCATCTGACTTGGTCAATTTGCACTTGGCGCACAACTCAAGTGTGAGCTTGGCAAACGTTATGAAAAGGGCGACGGCTAACAAGACGACAAGAAGCCAAATGAGACCAATAATGAAAGCATCATTCCGAGGGATCCCAAGTACAGATAAAACTCCCGGAAAGCCAGAGTAGTCGCCCGGTAGTGGCATTCCTGGATTCCGAGGTCCTCCGGCCCAACTATAGTCATATGGATTGCTAGAGTTGAAATCAGCCCGGCGAACGAGAGAGTGTAGAACGTCATCTTGCTGAACAATAGCGCGACTCTGTAGGCTTCGGCCGAAGATTTGTTGGGCCAGACCGCCTCCATTGTTGATAGGAATCGAACCTGCAGAGCCAACCTGGCTCGCGTTGCCTGAAACGCCTGCGAAGGGACTGATAGCCCCGATCATATCGTCGGTCGCGAACATACCAGCGGTCCATGCAAAGTTGCTCCACCAGGCCGGAAGTAAAGCAGGCCAGTTGACAGACAGCGCCCCCGAGAAAAAGATCGACTGGAAAGTCTCAAAGATGATTAAGATTGAGAACGAATGGGCATAATGCATTCTCATGTGCTGGATTTGCACACCGTAAATAGCAGTTGCGAACGAGGCCAAGACTGCAAACACGGTGAAAACTCCTAGGATCGTTCCGACGATCTCTGGCTGTGAGAAAGTCCTGCCGTTGCTCATGGTGGCCTGGAAACATCCAATTTCGGTCTGTGTCGAGTTGGCAAAAATCCGCAGGCGGGAGAATCCTTCCAAATCAGGAATGTTCAACGCGATTGAAGGGATGCCGGCGATATCGTCAGCTGAAATCGAAGTAGTGATATATGCGTTGACAAGCTCTCCGGCCTCAAGTGGACAGAGACTTGTGATGTTAGCCGCGCATGGATCGTAAGTCTTATTGAAACGCTCCTCCCCATAGACCTCGATAGAGAGATGCACTGGAATCTGGTCAGAAGAGCCGGAAAGGCAGGATAGATTTCATAACTCACTCATGACATTTTCTCGACGGATATTGGAGCTTCCGTATAGATGAAATGATACAGTGAGGTTGTCAGAGTAATAAGCTGTGTCAAAGCCAGTTACATTGAACAAACTTCCATCATTTAAGCAGTCATCGAAGTCGCCGGTATAGAGCGAAGGGGTCCTGCTAACGTCTAGGCGATCGTGGAATACACCATCGTCGCCCGTCCCATTAATGAAGATTCTATCTTGGCCGAATACAGTTGGAATAACACCCAGAGCAGCAAAGAAGCAAAAGGATGCTGCTGAGGGTCGTTGAACCACGAACATTTTGACGATCAAGAAATGATGGTAAGGGGTCGGAAAAGGCGGAATGCGGGCGAACCCGCCAGGGCAGATTCTACGATACAAGTATCGCTATCGGGAGTCGTTTGCTATTCTGAAGAATGGAAGGGAGTGTATAGTGAGGTTGAGGAGTCCGGCGGTGGGAAATCGGTCGATTCGGACATGAAGTTGGGGAATGCAGGCCTTAGAATTGATGTTCGCGGTGAGTGTTTTCGTTCGCAAGCCGCTATCCTAGCGGTCAGAAGTCGTCGCAAAGCGTAAACCAGTCGTTACGAATCGTCAAACATTGGAAGGTTTGTCAGAGAAGAGAAGACGGGAGACGCCGAGTAACGAGAGATTAAAGCTTGGTGTTCTTTGTGCGAATGCAAGATCTCGTGTTTGTTTGACGTAGCCCAAGACACAATAGTGGCGCGGCTAAAGATCGACGGGAATTTAAGGTTGGCGCTGCAGGGGTTCTAATTAGGGGAAGGGGAGTCGACCTGACAGTTGTGAACTCGCCAAAGATTAACAAAATCCGAGAAACACGATATGGCTCATTCAACGCATTTTGGTGGAATCGACATGTTCAAGACACCGAAGCTATGATGACGACGAGAACCTAATAGTACATGTTGCAAAACAAGGAAGGTTGGGAATAAGATCTTGGAGAAGCCAACCACATTTTCTGGCCAAGCTTCTAAAATTTGGAGAGGAAAGCGTCGCAAGCTACTAACCTGACCTACCACCTGCCTGGGTACTCTGTAGACTACAAAGGTAAGTACTAACCTAATCCAGATTGCACCTTCCCAATTATCTACCTATCTTTCAAGGTGACAGGTTGCGCGCAGTTAAATTGACTATCTCACTCAGATGCTTCTCGTTTCGCTTACAGAGTATTCCAGTCAGTGAATTAAATGAAGAACACGCGACAAAGTCCCTTCCTCCCCCAAGTCATAGGTAGGTACGATAGGCTAGTTTGCATAACGCAACACGACTCAAGCACAGTTTCTCGCCTTGCTCGGGGAGTTGGCTCGTATCGATTGGCCAGCAGCGCTTCTTCAAAGCCAAAATTTAAGAGGCGGGGAATTATCCTTTCCACGTGTCGAGCTTCCAACGATTGCGGCATCTTTCTCAAACTTGGCAGTAGGAGGGTAGATCTATGATTGGGTGCAGTTGGGGAAGACGAGCTTATCAACTGACAACGGCGGCCACACATTCGTTACGAATTCATCACTCTAATGTATTTGCTACGTACTGTACGTTGCACGGCCGATGAAAACAGGTACCTATGTGTATACCTTAGGGAGCATTACTTTTTTGTTGAGACAATCGCGTGAGGCTTGGTGGATTATGGTGCATATCTTGCAGACCTTCCATCATTAACCATTTGCCACAACTAAGTAGCAGTTGGGCATATGATTCTTTCAAATCATGTATGACTGTGGCTCTTCCCTGTAGGCATTACTATATTGGAGTGTTCTATATTGGTAGAAGCATGGACTGCGTTTCCGGAGCTGCAGGCGCTAAATATCCTCTGCCGCCAACCACAACTTTTTACAAAGCGGCTAGACCAGCAGATACTCCCGATCGACCCTGCAGCGAGCAATGAGCTGGCTCAATTTCGGTACAAATTAAACAACGAAAACGTTGCTTTCAGACTGTTGGTAGCAAAGGCAGCCCCGTAGTGATGATTCTTGGCTTCCTTATACAAATGGCGCCGGATCAAAGACCGGGACTTGGCAATACCTACTACTTTGGTACCTAGATGGCGACTGAAAGCCACAAAATGAGCATCTAATTTGTATGATAAGGCTTGCACCGCCCATTTCCTCGTACCTATTTTATAACACCGAGGCCCCAAAGGTTGTTGTCTCAAAGCTGGCATTAAATCTACCTAAAAATGGATGTTTAAAAGAAACCTTCACCCACCAGCACATACAGCGAACTGTGCCGTTGTGTTCAAGGTTGACCTTATCTTCATGGAGCTGTTACGTCTCCTAGCGTCTCCTATCAGTACATAGATGAGAATCTCTCTCACTAAACTGAAGTCGAGGAAGAATACGGCCGTTTTCGAAGGATAACTATGCCAACAACGCTCGAGTATTGGGCAATGTATGCACATATTCTGTGCTATGTAAACCTGATCGCCAGGGGAGTTACCAACAATAGGCACTCTGTATCTGATACGAAATCCAATGGCGCAGCGCAGATGGTCAGATGCTGACCAACCATCGAATCCTTGTCTTCACGGGTTAATTTGGTGTGAAGAGAATTCAATGGATGGGGAGTCTCCAAATATCGAGAAGTTCTGCTTCTGCATGACTTTGTCGATCGGTCGAGCTAACTACAAAGAAATTGTCGCATTAACGTCAGAGGATTGCGCGATTACTAAGAAAAGAACTTTCATCTATCATGACTGAGGGGAACAAGAACCGCGCTTCTTTTTTTTTTTTCTCCTTGCCTCCTTGCCTCCTCTGCCCACCTTTTGTCGGGCGATCGCCCGACAACCGCATTGACTCGGGGAACCTCACGCCCCAGTCGGCGGGACTATCCCCAGCAACCACTTTTTGAGATGCGAGGTTGCGGAGGAAGAGGGCCGGGTTCAAGAAAAATGGTGATTCTGAGGATTGACATGAGATAGAAAGCTCGTTGAAGTGTTGAGATAAACTACAGGCATCATGATAAGCCAATGTGGTACTTAGATCAGCTTTTCTAGCACAACAATATGCCAATATTAAAAAGGGCACAGCTGTCGCTCATTCTCAGGAAACGGATGGTGGGTATGAATGGATAAAACGTGGGTTATGTGTGGATGAGTAGGTGGTCGTGCCATGGAACATGTCCGCAGGATCTCTTGTTAGCATTCTTACCCTTGCGATGAAGATGGATACGGAGATGCAGACTTACGATAGATTGGGGGGTTAAAGAGGGCCTCTACTGCAGCTGCAGCGGTTGAAGATTTCACTGCAACCTACCTAGGTACCCAAGTATGGCAATGCAGTACAGTATTACCAAGCCTCGAGGTACCAGGAACTGGTTTGTTAACCATGGGAGATTGAAATAGGAAAATGATGATCCATGTTGTACATCCAACCCTACCTTTGGTACTCGTAAGTTTGTAAGCTCTACAGTTGAGCAATTGCAGCAACAGTACAGGTATCCAAGCCATTGTGTCTAGTATTGTAAGTGTACAATAGAGACTCTCCTCGGAAACCGTCTCCTCTACCTAAATCTGTCATCATGATTCTCCAAGTTGTTTATGGCCGCCCGAGAGCGATGCTCCGACGACCTACTGTACCTAGTGCCGCCGTGACTGGTAATACAGTACCTGATTGGCCTCTCGCTTCGTCGGCGGCATGTATAAGCCTCAAGTCCCGAGCACGTCATTGAGAGCTAAAAACCGCAACCCCATTAATTCTTTCCTCTTTCTGACGGTGAGGGCCGCGAGCTTAGTCGATGCGATGCTTTGGCGGCCCGTTCAACACAAGGCAATTGGATGCAGTGGCCGATTTCGTCCGTTTTGCCAATGGACACGCAATTTTTTCCATCTCTTACTCGTTCTTGGGCTCGCTGCAATTTCTGGTTACACCCCTCCTATCCATCTAACCCCAGTAATCATTGTTTGAACTAGGGACGGGGAGAGGAGACTAATCATGACAGGGTGAATGTAGAAGACGAGGTGGATGAGCATGAGGATCGAGGTACTTTTTGGTATTACCGCTGGTAGATGATTTAAAATCGAACCAAGTCCTTCTCCGCTGCCGATTCTCATTCTTCTCGTTCTCGCCCTCTGTTCCTGTTCGTTGTCTTCTCCCGGATAACATTTGTGCAGTCGTTGACACCCCCGATTGCGTTCTCTGACTTCGGTTTCTGTTTTATTAATACAACCCCGAGAGATTCGACTCGACTCGGTTTCTGAAGTTTCAATTTCTTGTCAACTCTCCCAAGTACACCACAAACCCTCACAGCACAATGGCCAACACTCCTCATGGTGGTGTCCTCAAGGACCTCTTCGCCCGTGACCTGCCTCGCCAATCCGAGCTCCAGGCTGAGGCTCAGGAGCTTCCTGCCCTTACACTCAGCGAGCGACACCTTTGCGATCTTGAGCTTATCCTTAACGGTGGTTTCTCTCCCCTCGAAGGTATGCGCGGAAACTTTTTTTTTTTTTCCTTCCTTCCTTCAATTTTATGTCGATCTTTTTGATTCCCCCGCTGTGATGATGGCGCGCACGGAGCGTTGACGAGTCGCGGTGCCCCGCCCCCGCATCTCCGATCACCGGTGTCGTTTGCGACGGAAACGTTTTTTTTTTTTATCGTGAGAGAACAGCCATTGACAATCAACTCTTAGGTTTCTTGAATGAGAAGGATTACAATGGGTAAGTTAATCTAAGATTATGTATCTAATTGCTTCATTGGCTAACAAAAACTTTCAGCGTTGTTGAGAACAACCGTCTTGCCGATGGTGCTCTCTTCTCCATGCCCATCAACCTCGATGTTAGCCAGGCCGAGATCGACCAGCTTGGTATCAAGACTGGCGCTCGCGTCACTCTCCGCGATTTCCGTGACGACCGAAACCTTGCCATCCTGACCGTCGAGGATGTTTACCGACCTGACAAGTAGGTGGCACAGTGACTCCGATTATGGTTGTTGATAACTAATACGGGTGCTTCACAGGGTCAACGAGGCCAAGAAGGTCTTTGGCAGCGATGATGACACTCACCCCGGTGTTAAGTACCTCTTCGACACCGCCAAGGAGTTTTATGTTGGTGGTAAACTCGAGGCCATTAACCGTCTTGAGCACTACGACTTCCTCGACCTCCGATGTAAGCAATGGCAGCCATGATAGAAACCAAATCGACTAACGTTTACAAGTCACTCCCTCTGAGCTCCGCGCTCACTTCAACAAGCTCGGCTGGCAAAAGGTCGTTGCTTTCCAGACCCGAAACCCCATGCACCGTGCTCACCGTGAGTTGACGGTCCGCGCCGCCCGCTCCCAGCAGGCCAACGTCCTCATCCAGCCTGTCGTCGGTCTCACCAAGCCCGGTGACATCGACCACTTCACCCGTGTCCGCGTCTACAAGGCTCTCCTGCCCCGTTACCCCAACGGTATGGCCGCCCTTGCTCTTCTGCCCCTCGCCATGCGAATGGGTGGTCCTCGTGAGGCTCTCTGGCACGCCATCATCCGCAAGAACCACGGTGCTACCCACTTCATCGTTGGTCGTGACCACGCCGGTCCCGGTAAGAACAAGCAGGGCAAGGACCACTACGGTCCTTACGATGCTCAGGTTCTCGTCCAGGAGCACCAGGAGGAGCTTGGCATTAAGATGGTCGAGTTCCAGGCCATGATCTACCTTCCCGACTCCGACGAGTACCTACCCATCAACGAGATTCCCGAGGGCACCCGCACTCTCAACATCTCTGGTACTGAGCTCCGACACCGTCTCCGAACCGGCAAGGAGATCCCCGAGTGGTTCTCTTACCCTGAGGTTGTCAAGGTTCTTCGTGAGGAGAACCCCCTCCCCGCTGAGAAGGGTTTCACCGTCTTCATGACCGGTTACCAGAACAGCGGAAAGGACCAGATCGCCCGTGCTCTCCAGGCCACTCTCAACCAGGGTGGTGGTCGTCCCGTTTCCATGTTGCTCGGTGAGAACGTGCGACACGAGCTCTCTCCTGAGCTTGGTTTCACCCGCAAGGACCGCGACCTCAACATCCAGCGCATCGCGTTCGTCGCCTCCGAGTTGACCAAGGCCGGCGCTGCTGTCATTGCCGCCCCCATTGCTCCCTTTGAGGATGCTCGCAAGGCTGCCCGTGACCTCGTCGAGAAGTCCGGTCCCTTCTTCCTTGTCCATGTTGCTACTCCCCTCGAGTACTGTGAGAAGACCGACCGCAAGGGCGTCTACGCTGCTGCTCGCAACGGTGAGATCAAGAACTTCACCGGTGTCGACGACCCTTACGAGGCTCCTGCCAAGCCCGACCTCGTTGTCGACCTCGAGAAGCAAAACGTCCGCTCCATCGTGCACCAGATTGTTCTGCTCCTCGAGAGCAACGGTCTTCTCGATCGCCTGTAGGCGATGATGTTTTCACGAATTATCTCGGTGACTAGCCGAGGGAGATACCCGCCTACCTGCCGATTGGAGTAGGAGATTTGTTGCTCTACAAAACCTTTGCAAATAACAGCGCAAGTATAAACGGAATTGGCGTTAATTTGAATGAGATGGAGATGGAAAAAGAAGCGCGAATGTGCTGCGTTACATTACGTTGCTGGTATACCTAGACGAAACCGTGTTGGAGTAGATTTAGTACCGATACGATGAATGAAGAGCATGATCAAACGAGGTACTTTCAGAAGCGATAATATGCAATGCAAGTGATATGTGGGCTTGTAGACTTCCATGTCAACCTATCATGTCCAACAATGTGACGGCTGTCAGTTGTGTTGGGCTGTGAATGGATGCTGGAGAAAGCTCGTGACAATATGCGCGCTTAATGAATCGTTGGATCTTGACGGCTGATATTGGGCAGCACCGCTACAAGCAGGAGCGAGAAAGAGTATGTATTGGTCGTAATGATGGAGAACACAATGCGTGGCAGCCCTTAAAGTTAGACGCTCGAGTCATGTTATATTTAGCATGCGTTTCTAGAAATAATATCAGCTACATCGCTCTATCGAACATTCTCATACCTCTCTACCCTGGTTCCATATATACTGGGGGGGCCAAGCGATCAAGGTGGTTGGTTGGTCGTCACCCGATGACGCCCAGCCTCCCGTCTGCTACCCTGCAAATCTCGGAAGTACTATCGAACGAAATAATTCAAGCAAGTCGTGGCAATCTAAATTGGTTCTTTGCTTAATTCTTTCTGCGCTCACTGTTCGGGAGCCAAGGCTTGGTGTGCCTGTGCCCGTGCCCAGCGTTGGCTTAGGTTGTTGAACATTGCCAGGCTCCACAAGCAAGTTTGGGAGAAGGGAAGTCAGACATAAACGAGAGCCTTGATAGTAGTTGGGGCTGTGTTGTTTGAAGATTGCGCGTATACCTATAGTAGGTGTGTAGGTACATACAACAGTTCTGTACAATAATGGTTGTGTTGACGACAGGTTTAGTCGGGTATTAGTAGGTTGACATCATTTTTTACCGACCGTCACCGTTGAAGTTCCTACGTACGATCCGTACCCGAGCAAGTACCTTCCATGCAAGAAAGTCCAAGCTTCCCGATCCCCTTTTAGACGAGTTGTTAAATCGCAGGTTGGGGAACTAAGATACGACCCTGATCCAGGAAGCATTGAGTGAATTGCCTAATTCTTGTAACGTATCTTCGGCCGTGCTTCTAACGGTGAGAAACTGGAAGAAGGAAAGGAGGTACAACGTCTCGACTCTCGAAGGACCTCTCACTCCCGTCCTCCTGCCTTAGTGCCTGATTGTACACCTGAGACTGTTTTACAGGGAAGGAACCAACCAAACCCAAGCCTGGCACGCACTGCGCTTAGCTCCCCATGCAACTCACCTCACTTTCTACAGCACAACCATCCCCTCTCCACGAATTCGCTTTTGCTTCGTTGCATCCCAAGTCTGCCCAACATAGTGCTATCTCTCACTTGGCAGCCTGAATCTTACCTTGCATCCTCCTGGCTTCTTTTTTTCTATTGCTCCAAGAGGCTATTGCTATCAACTCCCTACTGCGCCCACTATTCTTGACCGCTTTCTTGAACCCCGTTTGGAATTATCGACCACAACGACATTAACCGCGAAACTACAACCATACGATATTCTCACCGTAGCTCCATGGTCAACCATGTCCTCCAAGGACCAAGACGTCGAGGCCCCAGCCGATGAGCGACCGCAAGAAAAAGAAAAGGTCCGACGCTCAAAATCCGAACGAAAGGAGCGTAGAGATCGCGACCGAGATCACGATCGAGAAAGGGATAAGGACCCTGAGCGCCGCCGACATCGCACATCTCGACCTTCTAGGAGCAAGCTTGGAAGCGAAGCCAGCGACAGTCTTTCTCACACATCCAGTCGCCGCCATCGCCACCGCAAGGATAGAGAGAGTGACGAACATCACCGTCGGCATCACCGCACTGCTTCCACCAGCGATTTAGCCAGCTCTGACATTGCAAGGACCTCGACAGCAGCGACATCTATCTTGTCTGACCGTATTTCAATGCCTTATCCATCATTTAGCAAGGCACACAGCAAAGAGGCTATCGTTAGTCGCGATTCTCTATCACTCAAACCCCCGACTCGTGAGCCACCGGCGCCTCCTACTGCCGAAGAGCTCACATCCCGTAGGCGATCTGGCGGTAGCAATTCCAATGCGCCACCTAGTCCACCCCCAACAGACCTGGACGCGGACAAGACTGCTGTAAACGAAGAAACCCCGGATGAACCAGCCGACGAGGAACCTACGAATGAGGAAACCTATGAAGAGGAAACGTTAAATGCCGAATCACCCAGAGACGAAATTCCAAGAATTGAGACCCCAACCGAGGAACCTCCGGCATCAGAGGCTGGGCTGAAGAAATCAAAGTCGAGATTGTCTAGTCACTCTCGATCAGCTTCACGAAACGAGGAGCGTTCCCGTGTTAGTCGCCGATCAGGAGCTTCGAGTCAAGCTACTTATGTGAAATCTTCGCATCGTTCTGCTGAAAAGATTCGACGTTCTGATTCACGGGCCTCTAATTCTTCCCATCGCTCTGTTCATCGAACTTCTTCCACTAGAAGCCACAGAAAGTATGAAGCAGATGGTCCGTCCTCCCCCTCTAGTGCTCAGGATTCCTCTCCTAGAACACCAACTCAAGCGCCTTTCCCTCATGGATATCCCGATACGAAGCGTGAGACCCCCTCGGTTATCGATGTTCAAGATGTCGATTCGAATCTGCATTCAAAAACGGCGACTCCTGCCTCTGCTTTCGGCATTGCCCCTCCACCTCCGCCTCCGCCGCCGGCACTTGATGTGCATGACATGCCTCGGGTTGATTATCTTCTTCAAAACGGCGGCCTTGCTTACACAGCTCCTAAAAACTTTCTTTCAGTGCTGCCTCGCCAAAACGGTACACGACCTTCTAATCCTCCCCTTGTCGGAACAGATACTCTCTTTGCTCCATTTCATAACCTACTAGACCAATACAACACTGTACTCAGCAAGCAAGGCTCAATCGCTGTCGCTACTGGACATCGTTCGGTCGCTCGTCGGCTGTTGGACCGCCTCGAGAATGTCTTTTCTCGTGATCTCCCTCCTTATGGCTGTACCTGCGTCATGTGTGACAACCCACACGAGATCCACGATGGTCTCAACTGGGGCGATGTCTTGGAGTGGGTGAGTGGTCGCATCGAGCTTCCACAGTGGCCTCCTTTCGATTTGGCCGAAGTCGGTACTAAGGCTGCTGAGATCTCTGGAGATGTACCTCCTCGACCTGCATCACCTGTTCAATTGGATCCGGATATTGCGGAGGAGTTTAGAGAGCACTATCTTCGCCAGTCAAAAAAGGTCCGAACTGCCGTCGATCGATGGTTGTCTAACACTGGAGAAACTCCAGTACCACCACCTCAGGATGTCGACGACGAGACGTTATCTTTTGCCATTCTTACAAACCTCGATGCTGAAGACCGCCCCTACTTCAACGCTATCATGACCGGCTCTAAGGAGCTGAAGTCATCCGTTCGTGCCCCCACACCAGGGCATCGACCTCGAACAGATTTTCTTATCAAGACTGGTCTCGCATTGCAACGCTTGTACCGATTGCAACAGGTTCCTCGGGATGCCGAGTCTGCTACATACCTGGTCAAAAATCCCCACACTCACGATCTTTTGGTCGCACTTTCCAACATCAATAATTCCGAGTGGGAGATCCTCATTTCTGGGCGATTCGATGGCTTCCTCTGGTCTGGGGCCGATGACGAGCCTCAGACACCGTACCCTGAATCTCGAGGACCTACACCAGCTAGTTCCTACTATAACACACGAACGATGAGCCCGGGACCACGAGCTTCCTCATCTTTCAGTTCAAGAAACACAACTCCATTCTCGGTGTACTCCCGAGGTACGACACCAGCCTCGTTTGTTAGTGTCAACACAAGCGGTGTGCCTGGAAGTCGGCAAGCTGTTTCCAATGACGAGGAGATGGAGATGGCAGCCATCGCAGAGATTGAACGGGAGATCTACAAGGGTATGGAGACTTTGGAAGATGCCTTTGAAAAACTACACAAGAAGGCTGAAGTTGTCCGAAATGCATTGCGTCAGCGGGGAGCCGGTTTGATGCAGAACCTGCAGAACCGCCGTCGTATCGATGTGCTTTCAGGTCCCAACTCTGGTAACTCACAGTCTTCGGGTTACGAACGGCCAGCTTGGGCTGGAGAGAGCGATCGTGATCCAGGCAGTGATGACGACTGGGCTTTGGACGATATTGACATCATGCCTGATGATTCGGCCAGCAACATCAGCAGCTCACGACATAGACGACCTAAGAGGCGTACGGAGCGGCGAACACCTGCGCCAATCAACGAAGAAGACGAGGATTGAGTATCAGATGTGATACCAAGGACTCTATGAAGCGATGGAGGAGGATTACACGAATGATGACAGAAACGTTTGAAAGAAGCGCTTTATTTTTTCAGCATATAAAACTCGAAATCACCAGTTCAATGTCGAATGTCACTAAAAACTTGTTTGATTGAGTAACTACTTGTCGGAGCAGAACAGGGAGATGGGTGAAAGATGATTGTCAGATACCACATGTACGCAAGACGTTGGAGATTGGAGACACGGAGTATCCTTGATCATGATCAAAAATATCAAGTTTTGCTTTGCTTTTCATACTACTCTGCTGTTTTTACTGCCTTTGCTACGGGGGGGGACAGAACATCTGTCTAGAAAAATGACATGTCTCCGAGGGAGAGTTTGTCAACTTTGTATGGAATAGAGGACTTTGCAGGCCTGCACTTGAGGCTGTCGTCTCGGTTTTATTTTTGTTTTGTGATGGTTTTGGAAGGATGAACGAAGGGAGACCTGTATTGGTCATGAATAGATGTCCATGTCATGTTTAGGTCTGTTCACTGGTTTATTGATGGATATACCTCTGCGTTAATGAATTGTATAAACCCAAAATGATTTGCTGTAGCCCAAGTAACATGAGCAAGTTGTGACTTCGTCAACCCCTTCCAAATTTCAGAATCTCAATTCATTGGATGAACACAGACCGAAACATCGACCTCCAATCAGCTGTGTCTTGAAAAGTCTCATCGTACATTAACATGGTCATGGGCATACCTCATAACAATCCCTATTTACAATTCATCATCACAGCTTATATAAACATCGAAGAGGGTCATCCCTTTTCCATTCCGTCCAACTGCCAACGCTTGACACAGGTCAAAGAGAAACTGATGAACCCTTCACTTCGTTCCCTTGCGTCTTCGCCTCGATCCTAGTTTCTAAGTATCCCTGGGGCCCAGGCCATTCCTTGGGAAAGGGGGCCAGTGTGCATGTGCACTGGACCGCATGAGGCTGAGACAATCTCAGTTCAAGTAATAGTACAAATGATCTGCTTCAAGCAGAAAACGCCGGAACTCTTAGTCCCTTTTTTTATCTTGAGAGTGGCCGTTAAAAATTACAAAGAGCTAGGCGAAGTAGGCAAATTTTCTCACATGACGATAGCTATGAAAACCATGGTCTAATGGAGAAAAAGATTTTTTGGCATTTGAAAAGCTTTACCTCTAGCTGTAAAGAGACTCGAGGAGGTAGATGACACCAAAAACAAGGAAAGCGGTGGCACCGCCAACAGTGACTAGGGGAAATGTTAGTTACTCGTAGTTGAGCATGAAGTTAGAAATTAGACTTACCAACTTTCAGACTGACTCGGCCAGCTATAGCACGGCCACCAATGACAGCAACACCAGTGCAGATGGCATGGCCACACGTAGCACCCAGAGTCACCCACCAGTAGTCTTGACCAGCAGCCATGGCAATAGTAGCAATCTGGCTTCGATCACCCCATTCGCCAAGGAAAGTCATGATAAAGGTCTGCACCCAAGCAGGACTAAGGAGCAACGAGCAAAGGTTGGTGGCACCCTGAACAACGCTGGAGACAGCACCCGAACCGGAGCGCGAGTCTCTAACAGGAGACTGGGAAGGCGATCGAGGAGGTGACATAAGACGATTGCTGGGTCGTGACCTTCGGCCATTACCATTCATGCCCATCTCCAGAGTGTAGGCGGAAACGGAATCACCCCGCTTACGGCCCATTTCCTTCTCCTTCTCGGCAAGCTCTTGTTCGACCTCATGCATCTCAGCAGAAACGCCCTCGTTGGGGTCCATTTGCATGCCCTCCCGCATCAGTTTTGCGCCAAAAACGAAGAAAAGACCCGCAGCAAGGAAGCTAGTGACGCGTTTGGGGATCAATGTAGGAACAGCATGGCCCAGAACAGCGGAAAGAACAGTCATTACAAGGAGAGCGCCAAAGGCGGCGGTGAAGACAACCATGCGGTCGTGCTTCATCGCCATGAGAGCTGCAACCAGAAACGTCTTGTCTCCAATCTCGGACACCAAGATCATAGTAAAGGAGAGCACGAAAGAATGGAATGGTTGGATGATGCTCTCTTCGTCATGGGGTCCATCGTGTGTCGTTCCTCGGCTCAAGTCAACCGGCGGTGCCTTTGCAGGATCTTGCACAGGTTTGTTTTGTCCGAGGGGGCGGTCAGGGAGGTCGGCTGGCTTCTACACAATAGTCAGTCATCGTATTACAATTTCGTTTACAACAGTGACTGCTTACCTCTAATCCTGCAGTGTAGTCGCGATCCTCGTCTTTACTAATGACGGGCTTCGCAGGCTTGGGAATCACGTCATCTGCCTTTCCACCAGTGGTATCGTCCTCTGTCTTTTCTCCTTCAGAAGCACGGATCTTTTCTTCTTCGCTGTGTGGCAAAGGGGGTGCCTCCTTTGGCGATGAGGGTTTCCTGAATGTTTCCTCGCCTGCCAGGTCCTCTTCAAGCTTTCGGGCTTTGTATCGCTCTGTCACACCGCCCTCGGTGCCAGTGGTACCCTCTTGGGCGTGAACGCGGGCCTTGTCGAACATGACGCCGTCGTTGGATTCGGGGATCTTTTCACCGTCGACTACAGTAGGGTCATTTGGTCGACCCTTCAGCTCGGGAAGAGAGTCAGGGCTGGCATCGGCCTTGGTCGCAGCATTGATTCCGGCTTCAGACTCAATATTAGCACCGGTGCCAGTGCCAGGAGCTGAGCCAGAGCCGACTGCAGCACCAGATCCCGTATCAGGTATAGCCTCAGCTGGTTTTCTGTGATCCTCTGTCTCGATAAAAGGTCCATGATGAGGCTTTCCATCCCTACCGTCGACAGGGGCGTCCTTTGTAGGAACATCATGGCGCTTCACACCAGCTTGAGGAAGGACATCAGTCTGTTCCGGAATCGTAGCAGGGCCAGGTATATCGGTAACGTCGTGGGAGGATAGAGCGTTCGCTACGGCGGGGAGGAGAAGAAGGATCAAAGGTGAGTGCTTGGTTCGAATCTTCATGATGGGCAGTTGCAGTCGTTGTTGTCGGCTGAAAGAGATTGGGAAAATTGACAAGCCTCAAGAAGACTGCCAGCGGTCGTGGCCGCGAGTTGGTTAGGTGATCCGGGATGTTGGTCGATCAGTCAAAATAAGCTGAAGCCGTGGACTTTGCGACGATCCAAGTCGCGTGTAACGTAACGTGGGCAGAATAGACTTTGCGGAGATGGCGAAGTCGAATCTGATGCTGACACCAGACAGTTCTCTGGCGAAGTTGATCACCGTGCACAAAGTCGAGACACACGCTGATTACAACAGTATAAAGACAAAAAGGAGTAAAGAGGTTGGAATGGATGTCTGGGTTTGAATATTGAATTGAATGCTTTGGATTGGTCTGGTAAGGATTGGCTGTAATGGATACGGATACATAGGGGCAAATCGAAATGGAAGATCCGCTCCGTACGAGGCCCTGGACATCCCTTCCCAACAGCTGCGGCTGCAGCCCGGGGGCTAAATAATGATTACAAGGGTCTCACCCTGCTAGAAGGGCCCTAGGAGATGTCCAGTGCCAACGTGGCCCCAGCTGGGCCACGCTAAGCCTCAAATAGCTTAAGGGCCAAGTATTTTTACCCAAGCTTCAGGGGCCGACTTCATGATACTAGCCAGGGGGGTCTTCTATGGTTAATGGTCACAACTTCAGAAGAGGCCCGGGATGAAGTGAAGAATCTCGGTTTGCTGAAACAAATATCAAAGCGTGGCAACATTGACAACAACGGCGATACGATCGTGTTCCGGCACCAATAGGGCGATATCAATATTAAGTAATCTTGCAGTGAAGGCTGTAGCTGGTCGGGTCTATTCTCCCACCAATTCCAAGGCATAATACCATTCATTCACCCGCATGCTACAGATATAACCAATTTCGTGATCTCATAACCATAAACACCGAGATACCAACCACTCACGCAACGGTGTTCTAGATATGGCACCATCTCGCTCCATCAATTGGACCTCCGTTGAAGCCTCACATTTGAACTGCCAAGTATCGGATATCGGCAGAAATTTGGGACCCAAGCTCTCGGTCATCTCTTGGAATGTTCATAGACATCAACTACATCAGGCTGAAAAGCCGCAAGCTCTGGTTTCTCGCTCTTGGCTCAGAGAGAACTCACGTCATTCGACTGGGACAAAAAACTTTCAGGTCAGTGCTTCATCATCTAAGTTGAGCACAACCTGGTTTCCTCTTCGTAAGGAGGTGGTTGACAATGATGAATGTGCACTTCAACCTCTATCGAGAAATCCTCACACTTCTAGACGTCTTGGAAGCTTAGAATATTAATGTTTAGAGTACCGGTACATTAATAGATGATAGTGATGGCTAAAGTGTTACCAAAAGTGAATGCTTCAAAGTGCACACAATTAACCCTTTGACACCCGATGACTCACTCATCCACCTCGATGTTACGCGAGTTTCCAGACAGTATAAACAAACAAGAGGATTATAGAAAACTATCTACTATATCATCGAATTCGCAGGTAGTGTAACAAGTACAAAGGGAAATATCGTGTATCGCATTCAAATCATATACAAACAATGGTTTAGGGTAACCTGCCGCGGGTCTTATCTTATCTCCGACCGATGTCGTCACAACCTAGCTCCGGGAGCTCCCCCATTGTAGTACCTTCATTCAACAGCACCTCATTCGGAGCGTTACGCTCATCGCATCATTGATATTTCGTCGAGCATTTGTGAATTTCGTAAAGCTTCATATCATTCCAAACTTGCATATATCGAGTGACCTACTTGCCTCATTATATCCTTGATAAGAACGAACGGCCAGTTTTACCGTATCGCCCCTCACATCGCTGTGCTTAGCAAGCCTTCTGTCGACTCTCACCCTCTCCCGCGCTCTGCAAAATCTCGCCTAAGACGATCATGGCCCCTCTCGAGGAAGAGAGGAGTTCCCGGCCTTCGTTGACAGATCAAAGTGATGAAGAGTCCCGTAATGAGAGTACACGTGAATCATCAGCAGGACCAACATGGTACTATGAAATAGAGGAAGAAGATGATCAACCGGATGATGACGAGGAGGAAGATGAAGACTATGAGGATCAGCCTGACGAAGAAGACGAGGAAGATGAGGACGATGACGAGGACGACGATGCAGTTGAAGGAGGTGTCGGCGCACAGCGTCTCCTAAATATCGTTCGAAGTAATTCTCAACATCCCTCTCCTCATTTTGGAATACATCACTGACATGTCGTGCTTAAAGCTGGCGCTAGGACAGGATTATTGACCAGGAGACAACTACTTGCCCTGATGCAGGACCCTAACCTGACCAGTGTTCTGTTTCAAGACAATGCAGATGACGACGCAGAATTTCTAGATTGGCCCTTCAGAAGACGTCGAACACCGAAGGATCCGAATCGCTTTCCCAAAGTCCCAAGCGAGCAGGGGCTCAAACTTATGCGATCAGGAGCCTTTGGCGCAAACGACTATAGTTTCGGAGCTAAGAAGCGTTTAGCCATACGGATGCTTGAGCGGGAGCTTGCTTTGGGAAATCGCGAAGATAGACTGCGGAATACCGCTCTCATCAACCAGGTTGGCTTTGCGATGACTTGCGTATGAAGATAGTCGGACTTACGATTGTTTAGGGTCTACTACCCCAGACAAGGGCAGAGAAGATTGTTCATTTCGATGACCCAGTTTACTCTGGACAGTTTTCTGACGATGGCAATTTCTTTTTTGCCTGTTCTCAAGACTTCAAAGTTCGAATGTACGATACTTCAAGCCCATACAACTGGAAGCATTATAAGACAGTCTCATACCCGTGGGGCCAATGGACACTCACAGATGCCTCTCTGAGTCCTGACAACAAATGGCTTGCTTATACCTCGATTCAAACTATGGTCTCAATAGCTCCTACAGATCCAAATGATACAGGCGACCCTTATACACTGGATCTTGACGACGGTCCGCCTCGGCATGGTTGGCACGGACGACGCGGATTTGGCATCTGGTCCGTTCGTTTCTCTGGCGATGGAAGGGAGCTGGTAGCAGGAACAAGCGCTGCTTCCATTGTTGTATACGATATTGAGTCACGAACTGTCCTGGAAAATGTTAGGGGGCATCAGGATGATGTTAACGCAGTATGTTTCGCCGATAAGATGTCGCCGCATATCCTTTACTCGGGGTCCGACGATACAACGATCAAAGTATGGGATAGGCGAAGTATGGGCGATAACCGAGAGGCCGGGGCTTTCGTTGGCCATATTGAGGGTTTAACGTATATCGACAGCAAAGGCGACGGACGATATATCCTCAGTAACGGCAAAGACCAGAGCATGAAGCTTTGGGACCTTCGAATGGCCATGTCTACCGACCGGTACACCGAGCTTGATCCCACGCGAACTGTCAACACGAGCGGTTTCGATTATCGAGGGGGAGTTTATGACGATGAAGATTGGGATGTGCATCCTCACGACAACTCACTCGTGACTTTCCGAGGCCACAAAGTCCTTCGAACTCTTATCCGGTGCCACTTTTCACCCCCATCGGGTACCAACTCAAGATACGTGTACTCGGGCAGTACAGACGGTAAGGTGTACATATGGAATATGGATGCAACATTGGCTGGAGTGGTGGATGTCAAGAAAGCGACAATGCGCACACGGCCGATGGATAACCGCCATCGCTTTTATCATTTTGATGAGCCAGGTAACTGGGGCACTTGTGTTCGCGACGCAAGCTGGCACCCCAACGCACCTCTCCTTGTTGGTAAGTTCATCCACCCTGTCTTGAGGCGTGGGCTAACCCATGACAGCTTCCGCATGGAACGGTTACAACATGGCCAGAGGAACTTGCACTCTGCATTCTTTTAATGAGCACACTGATGATGAAGGAGACCCACCGATGGGCCATAGTGTCAATCACGTACTTAAGGAACAGCCCGAGTTATATCACAATTCGACATATGGGATGGACTGAGCCAAGATTGCAGAAATAACAATGGATATATTTTGTACAATTAATCACCGTAGCCGTCTTCCTTGTGTAGGATGTTTCTCAATCCCATACAGACAGCCCTTTGGACGTGAAAGCACATCTTCCTTCCCATCCATATGGCGTTCAGTTAAACTCCAGCGTAGAAGTGTGTCGCGTGTCCGCCATAATGTCATTTAACTCCGCCCCATTGAACGTATCCGCAAGCAAGAAAGGTTATGAGATTATCCTCGTTCCCGTCTTGCGGGGTTTTGGATAATCAAGTCGCCACCACTCAGAATCTCCTCGTCAGTCGACCGCGTGACCGTTTATGCGCTACCGACGAGAGCATGGTTAAGAGGAATGTGCACTGCACTCGTGTTAGAAACGGAGGTGAATGGAGAAACGCAAAACAATCGTACCCAGCTTAACAACGTAGCCAACAGCACCCATGATGAGGAAACCAACACCAACAGCTTGGCAGAGTCGCAGGAACTCCTTCTGGTCGGCTGTCGAGAATCATGTTAGTACGTGTAGTAGAGTGAAGGTGCGCAATGGCTCGGCGTACGCTTAGTGCATCGTCGCACGAATTGAACACCGTCCCTGACGAACTCGGAGGGAACCTCGAGGATCTCTTGAACCTGATCGGACATTTTGGGTGATAGAAGAAACAAGAAGAGATATTAGAAGTACGTTACGTCGAGGAGGGAACGTAATGTCGTGGATGAAAGGAAAGTGAAGTCGTCGATATGAGTTGAAGTCGCGGGGGTTGTAGAAAGGAGGGTTGACCTGAAGTTTAAAGGGGACCTCTTTTTGGTGATCTCAGCTAATGGACAGCTCTCTGGCCTCTCCGGGCAAGGCCAGATTTCCACAAGCTACAGCTGCATCCTCGGGCCGGAAGATGATCCGGATATGGACTGGTCCTGACAGTTACAATTAATTTGGTGGGTCCAAGTCGTATGTGGGGAATGTTGTGCCTGTGCCTGTCTTGTGCCTGTTGTTTCCCAGTTTATTTCCCCGGTCCCAGCCAGACGCGCAGGCGCTAGGTAGACGCCAGCTTCCGCGAGTTGCAGTGCTTTTGCGAAGCTCTTCCCCAGAAAAGAACCGAGCCTTTAGTGAAGCTCTTCTTACTCTTTGCCATCCGCCAACCATCCTGAAGCATCCATCTACCTGGCCCGTCTCATCGCGTACGCAACCATAACTGACACTGTAGATATCGATCACGGCTTATTCACGGTAAATCTCCCGATCGGCTTCCTTCGTTCGCGATCGAGCTTGGTGAAGTCACTGGAGCCTGATCCCAAGACAACCACACTCAATAACGCGAATCCATCGAGCGCCTTTATCACGACGTTGTATCGCGTAAAGTGCGCAGATCCACGCAACTTGGGCTTGGACACCTACTGGCGAAAACTTCGGCCTCAAGCGATCGGCGAACCGAAGGAGAGGAAATAAGGGTTAATTGGGCTGACGGCATCCTCTATTCCATCGCTCCCCATTTGTATCTAAGCGCTCGCTCGAGATATATCAGGAGCTAGAAAGCGAGGATTGTAAGCACAGAGCTTCGTCCTCAATATCGCGTCTTTGAGCCAAGTACCATCATATCAGGAGGTTATCCCCATATCAGGGCCCCATTCTTGTTACACGGAGTGTACGTATTGCAAGCTTCCAGTCCAAATCATTTTTTGTCTCTAGTGCGAAAGACCTCTTAAGTTTGAGGCAGTATATGCTAGCTATGGAACGTTCAATGGCTGATTACTTATGTATAAAGACCAGTGGCCAACTCTTGTATTTCCAGCCTAATTATCACATTGATCATACCCTCTCCATTTCTCTACAAATCCTTCCTGCACGACATTAACCTGTGCCCAGCGCACCAGAACTCTCACAATGGCTGAAGAAGATTTCGAGATTGATATCTATGGCGACGCAAGCAACGATCACCAGCAGGATGACCACCGAGACGATGGTAACAACCAAGACTACCATCAAGGCGATCATCGACAAGACAGCCACGATGATCAAAATATGGATGATCACCATGCCCAGGACAGCCACGCACGCGAGAGCTTTGATTCCAACCACCAAGCATCCGGCTCTCAGCAAGGGACTAAAAGAAAACAAGAAGAGGATGACCGACCGGTTGATCAAGCCGCCACAACATCGCTTATGATATCAGAACTGAACTGGTGGAACACGGACGATGATATTCGAGGCTGGGCTCGGGAAGCTGATTGCGAGGATGAAATCAAGGACATCACTTTCAGCGAACATAAGGTCAACGGTAAAAGCAAGGGGTACGTGGGTTTGAAAATTCGCTAGTTGAGGAATGATTGCGTTGACTGACCTATTCACAGACAAGCGTACGTCGAGTTCTACTCACCTCAGGCGTCAACAGCCACCAAACATCGTATTGAACAGGTTCTGGCTGAAAGCCAAGGCGCCAAAAAGGTCACGTTGGCCTATTGGGCCCCCAACATCAATCCCTTCAAGACCCTTCCCAAGGACGCACCTGCCAGGGGCAAGGATCAAAGCCGTGCGCCGTCTGGCTACAACGACCGCAGCAACAACATGGGCGGCAACTTTGGTGGTTCTGGTGGTGGTTTCAGAGGAGGCAGGGGCGGCTACAACCGTGGCGGTATGAACCAAGGAGGATATAATCGCAATTTCAACAATAACAACAACAACATGGGGGGATTCAACAACAATATGGGTGGAGGATATAATGGACCCATGGGAGGCGGCGGTAACTTTGGCTTCAACAACCGCGGCGGCATGATGGGAGGCGGCATGCGAGGTGGCCCTGGAGGTATGCGAGGTGGCCGAGGAGGCGGCATGATGAACATGAACCCCATGGGTGGAATGCCTATGGGCATGCCCGGCAATATGGGCATGGGTATGATGGGCCCGAACGGCATGCCTGGTAATTACCCTACCCAAGGCTCACGCACTACATAACTGACATCGTACAGGTTTTCAAGGCATGCCACCCAACTTCAACCCTGGCTTCGGGTTCAATCAGAACCAGGGCGGAGGCGGCGATTGGGGCAACCCGCATGGAGCCAAACGGCCTCGACCAGAGTAGAACTCTGTGAGTTGGCCATCTTAGATGACGCCCGGGAACACAAATCCTGGGAATTTGCCGCAGCGCTAAGGATTTGGTATGGCTGCAAGAACATTCCGTTTAAAACCTGCGTTTTCTCGAGTTTCGAGATTTCGTTTCCTGTTCTGGTCAAGTTGGGGCATATATAAGTGTTAAGTCAAAAGATTGAGGGAAGGGAAATCCAATTACCCACGTGTATCATAAACTTATGGAGTAAGGTTAGGTATTGGCGTCAATAGAGCGTTTCGTTTAAGCTAGGGCTGTTTGGTAAACTGCCTAGGTAGTACCTATAGTAGAGACTATGCATTCTTATCCTCAGGATATTAGAAGAATTGGCCCCTAAAAGCATAAGAGACGAAATAATTTGGTCACTTTATGCTAGCTTAGATGAGCACTTAGGCTACTTTATTTGGATACTAGCATAAGCCTTGGAGGATAGATCTTCTGTTGCCCATTTGCTTATATAGTAAGGTACTGTATAGCAGAAAGATCGTTCTCGAAGACTTGCGCCAAAACAAAGCAACCTACATGTCACCCTGACCTGGCATAAAGCGATTGATTTGGTTTGTTCCTTGCTCTCAGCGGCCAATACTCTATCTCAATAGATTGTAAGCAATCACAGTTAAATTATCGCCAATACACGCTGCAACATCTTCGTCGAACCATATGTGAAGGAGACTTCCACACAGTTAGTACTTCACACTTGCGTAATTCCCTTTTGTCTCTGAGTCCTCCGATATGGACGCAAGTGGGCCAAAGACCTCTGCGTCAATCTCGGAGCCGTCGCTAGAAGAACTGTTTGAAGTTTTTGACATATTAACGAGGTATCTTGCTGTGTGTTCAGCACAGCCCAAAATGATGGAATGTTCTCAAAGCTGTTGATATGGTAGAATTGCAGATGATGGTTTCTGGTTATTGGCTCCAACAGCGAATATTATAGAAGATATGCATCAACTCAGGCTGAGGAAGCCCTTTCTGTATACAGCAAACATCCATTGATCTCTTTGATCTGTCCGGCCATCTTCAGCTAAGAAAACTGAACAAAGAACGTACCTATGTAACCAACATGATAAGACTCGGGGCATGATTAGTTCGAAACCTATCCTTGACTGTGTATGGTTGGGGTGGGTCTAGTGTTTTCTCTTTTCGAAAAACTAATGGCAACTTTATAAACATTAATTTTGAATGAGTTGAAATGTAGTTGCTTGTATTCCTTCCTACATTCATCTAAGGTAGGTAGTAGTACCTATGTCGTTACGTCTCGAGTTACGCCGTAGCACCTTCAGTGCTGATAGGTTGGTTGCGTTGTACTGTGAAGTACCTAGGTCAGTACTTACCTGATTAGCGGGGGGCTTACCTTAGTACCAACAAAGCTCCCTTAGGTGGGTAACAGAAGAAGTATCCTCTAAGGCTCAGGCTACAAAAATAAAGTAGTCTAAATGCTTACCTAAATTGCCTTAAGATGGCTAAATAATTTCATCTCTCATGCTCATACCTAGTAGGTAACGGTCAATTCTTCTGACACCCTGCGGCTACCTAAGGTACCTATTCTATGTACCTACAGTAGCACAAGATCGAACCACTTGAGCATTTTGACTCTCGCAAACTTGACCAAGATGGAGAGCGTGCTGCCAAAGGCTCGATCAATTGGGTCTGCTAGTTATGGAAGGACTATTTTGAGAGCTGTGAACCGCGTATCCTGCTCTTCATCATCACGAAGCTTCACGAGCAAACGCTCCCCACCACTTTATGAAGGCCATGTACCATTGACAAGAGTTGAGCGGGCTGGGTTGGCGGTTGGAGCCAGCGTCATGTCCTTCTTCAATCCTTATCGTCACGGTACGCTCTAGACGAAAATGTGACTTATTATCTTCTTCGACTGATTACATGCAGACCTGATTGCCGCTACTGGCGAAGCTACAGCCACACCCTACTTCATCTATCGCCTGCGCGACGCCATGCTCGCTGATCCAACGGGCCGTCGCATTCTTCGAGCCCGACCCCGGATATCCTCCAAAACCCTTTCTCTTGATGCACTACGTTCGATGCCAGAGAACAGCGTTGGCCGCGCCTACGTTGGATGGCTCGACCGTGAAGGCGTCTCACCTGATACGCGAGCTTCAGTCCGCTACATCGACGATGAAGAGTGTGCATATGTTATGCAGCGCTATCGCGAATGTCACGACTTTTACCATGCCTTGACAGGTTTACCTATCGTGCGGGAGGGCGAAGTTGCTCTAAAAGCGTTCGAGTTTGCAAATACCTTGCTCCCCATGACAGGTTTGAGTATCTTCGCAGCAGCTACCATGAAGCGGAGCGAAAGACAGCGGTTCGCTTCGATATATCTACCATGGGCTCTCAAGAATGGAGCACGAAGCAAAGAGATCATCAATGTGTTCTGGGAAGAGAGACTCGAAGACGATGTGAATGATGTGAGGAAAGAGCTTGGTATCGAGCAACCGCCTGACATGAGAGATATTCGAAAGAGGGAGAGGGGGGAGAAGAAGAGGCTAAAGGAGCTCAGAGAGCAAGGCCTATAATCGCTCCTCGCTGTTATTGTGCTGTTCGGGTGCGAAAACTGTATATTATTGTAGTGAACCTGGAAGCCAGGAATTTTCATTCAAGCGTTGGTATTCAGATTGTTGAATCATTAAGCACTGGTCGTATAAATTGCCCAAGTGTACGGATAGACAAGTCATTTGTTTAGAACACACTGGGGAAAATCCTCGCGGGCATCAGCGCCGGGTGTCAGCACTTTCATTTTACTTCATCTCCCGCAAAACACAAATGCAGACCATCGCCTACAATTTTGCTATATTCTTCTCTTTAATGCTCTTCCATGGTATCATAAGCACCTCTCACAGGTCCAAATCATCGTCATCGTCCCAAGCCTTGCGCCTGCTTACAACAATCTTCTCCTCTTCCTTGCTCTCCGACATAGCGTTGAGAAGCTCCTTGAGTTGCGCCTCGGTGACCTTTTGTCGCAGTTGACCTGTCTGGGCGAGCGTGATGAGTCGGTTCTCGATGTCGGCGGCCCGCTCCTCCTTGACAAGACGGATACGGCCAAGACGGTCGGCGGCCTCGGGGTGAAGGATCTGGTTGAGGATGTGTTGACGAGCTTCTTCTTGCTGCTGTTGTCTAATTGGAAGTCAGCGCGATAGTTTTGCAAGAGAGTAGCGAGGAACTCTTACTGGCGCTGCTGCTGTTCTTGCTGCCCAGACGAACCGCCTCCACTGCTACCGCCGCCTTGAGCCTTGAGCTGCTCTAGACGAGCTTTTCGGATCTGTACATTGCGTTAGTGTCAGCTCCCAAAGGAACGTTCCGAAACTATCTTACCTGATCAAGCTCTGCGTCATCCATAATTTCGTTACGTTACGGTGTTGCAAGTCAGGAGATCAACCTAATGGATGTCGCGGGGTGCATCGTTACTGGAGGGGCATCGAATTGATCACGTAAGCACACTGCAATATCCATGCTGTACTCCGTACAGAAAACAGAATCATGAGAACATTTGTTCATTCAATTGAGACTATAATGCTACCTTTAAAGACCCCTCCCATAGGCTACTCCAAACGCCAAATATGCGATGCTTTAATGTCCTGTTCTATATAATTCCGCCCCTTGGTATGCGCTGCCGCTGTGCCCTCTCTCTAACGTTCTCTGCTGATGTCTCTTCTACTTGTATCCACGCTTTCCTCTTCTGTTTAACCTCCATACGCTTTGCTTTGACCATTTGCACCATCAGCCGGTTTGTCGGTGTATTGATGCCAATAATATTGGCTCTTTTCAAAAAGAAACCATTCTGGTAATTAATATCTGTCTGTAGACCCTTGTTGATGCGCATGAGAAGATCACTTGGGGCACTGGCCTTGCCTGTAATTCGGCGGTAGCAGAACTTCTTGAGTCCTTCGCCGCGGAGGAATGATATAAGGTCGGGTGAAGCCTGAACTTCAGGCAGGCTTTCTGTCACCAAAGCCATCTCTGCCAGCAGCTGATTCATCATTCTCTGTGCTGATCGGTTGGCCGCCAGACCCCAGTATGGCAAGTCGAGTAGCACGCACACAGGCTCAACGGCAGCTGTAAACATCATGGACGGTAGTTTGAACCGAAGCCAATCTTCGTATGCACTGAAGCTTGTTGAGAGAATTCTGGCCTGTTTCAGTGGCCGCATAAAGGCAGGTTGCTCGAGAGGTGCATGGATTTCCTTGGACATGTTCAGACTCGGATCGGCACTGGTAAGCACTGTTCGCCCAGCCCTTAACTGTTTAACGGAATCTCGGTTTCGGTTGAAAGCCAAGGCATGGTTCATATGTCCCAAATAAAAGTTCGGTTCAGGTTGCATTCCGTCGAGTATATGTTCGCGGACTTGCTCCAGAACACCCATGCCGTCGTTCAAAAGACATACTGACGTTTTGTCGTCAATCCTATCCTTGACTGAGGCAATCGCCTTGACAGCCTCGAAACCACGGCCGGTAACAATCAGTTGATCAATGTGCGAATGATCAGACGTCTTTACGGCTTCATGTCCCCCATCTTTCTCCTCTCGGACCATGGCGGCGTTCTTCTCGGCATATGCACATTTCCTTGTTCTTTCTCGTTGTAATTGTTCAATATTTTGATATCTTGATTTGGGCATATCTCGGAATTGCAACAGTTCAACCGAGTCGTAAACGCTGCACAAGGCGTGAGCAATGAACCTCGACCGTACATCTTCGCCTAGGATATGAATTTTATGTACAGGTCCGGATTTTGCGGCCTCGGCCGGGAGGATGACTGAGGGGACGTAGAAACGTGATGAAGGACTATTTGATATAGCTTTGATCGATCCAGCCTGGGGATCCGTGCTTTGCCATGGTCTCGAGGGAGGTGGTTCGCTCAGCTCTGGAGGAACTGCTTCCTGATTCTCGTAGCGTGTTGTTATTGCTGCTGAAGCAAAGAGCCGTGTAAGGTTTGTCCTGGTATTATTTCGAAGACATTGAAGTGGTCTTGGGGCTATTCGAGCCGTCGCTCGAGTGTGCATGAGGGTCGCCACCTTGACGGTTGTGGTTAGGGTGCTGCGGAAGGAAACTTGCGGCTCTGGAGCCAGAGAAGTCGTAGATTATAAGACGCACGCGCACATGCAGGGTTCGGAGGAGTAAAATCGATGCAACAAGTTCTTCGTTGATGTGTCGATGTCGGTATATGCCGGTCGTAGGGTCGTGAAGAGCGGCGAGTTGGGGTGAAAGTGGTGATGCCGATATTGGTTGAGTGATGCGTGGAGAGAGTGATGGCTCCAAAGCGGCGATAAGAAGTCCGTTTTTTCCCTTGATCAGAAAATTAGATCGCAGCCAATTAGATTGAACGGGTCAAGCGATCGTCTGTCCTGGGGTTTTAGTACGTCGCCATTGGTCAATCCCTGGCATCGACACCGTTCTTGGTAGTCTACATTCCACCAGGACTGCAAAGATTGAAACTTGAAGATATATAAAGTCTCTTTAATCGGGTATAAAGATATAATGGATTCTCTGATGCCTCTTTATTCAAAGTTATCAACATCATTTCTTAGCTAACAGCAATAGATGTGGCAAGTACAAGAAGTTTATTTAGTAGGTACGGTACTGTGGAGCTACAGTTAGTCAAGCTCGGGTAGCTACATAATACCCGCTTCATGAATACTCAAGCCACTAGTCCCATTTAGGCTTCAGGTCAAAGTTCTGCGCTTCGAAGTCTTTCATGCGACAGCGACGTGATCATCTTAATCTCGTATCCATATTACAACATTCAAAGCCTCCACCACCAAGATGACAGATGTAAAAGATATTACGCCGGATCTTGACCGGCTGGATGATCAGCTAGATGATCTCGAGGAGAACCTTCAGCCTTTGCTCGACAATCTTGAGGGCATGGCCTCTGAATTGCCCCTGTTGGACAAGGCAAAACTTTTCTCACTGACAGCTTACGCGATTGAATCCCTTCTGTTCTGTGAGTATATCACTCCGTGGCTATCTGTATCATTCTTCAGCAACGGCAAATCGGTTAACAATCGCGACAGCATCATTGAAATTGGAGGGCTCTGACACACAAACTGCGGATGTGCTCACTGAACTCAAGCGAATTCAGCAGTACTTTGGCAAGATCAAGAACATTGAAGCCCCTGAAGCAGAAGAGTCTCGAAGTTTAACAGTCAACCAAGAGGCTGCAGCACGTATCCTCAAGGCTGACCTGGTACGAAGCTTTACCGAGCATTCAAGGATTTGAACTGATGCATCAATAGGGTGACAACAAAGCAATCAGCAATAAACTGGCTGAAAAGATCGCAGAGGAGCGAGCCAAGGCTCTACTGAAATCTGTTGAAAACCGGAAAAGACCAGCAGAGGAGTCACCTGTGCCATCCAAGCCAGGCTCTGCTGCTTCCGAAACAAGAGACAAGAACAAGAAGAAGCAAAAGAAGGGCAAGAAAAGCAAGTCTAAGAACTAGAGGTTGGAAGCAAAATTCTGCTCATAAACATTGAGCGATGTTTCATTGCAAAAGAGAACGAGTAGACCGTTCTGAAACCTTACATCTGTAAGGACTAGTGGCTGCTTTGGAGAGACTTACAGTGATACCCCAGACAGTTTGAGGGAAACTCGCAAAAGGCTCGGATGCTTGGAGACCATATCGGGGAGGCCTTCCTTCCTGATACAGTTGAATTAACTAGGGCATGGCGTTTGGGAATATTTAATCGATTTGATTGGAGGGAATTGATGTTTTTTAGAAAGTCTATCGTTCTACAACAAATGGGATTTTATGAAACATGGTCAGCTTCATTCGTATTCCGATGAAACCAGGAGGCTTCAATTAATTGTGTGCACAAGGTCGAGTGAATTTATGACTCATGGTCATTGTAACTTCCTCCATGTTCAAGTCAAACTAATTGTGATATAAAAGTAACGCCTCCAGTTCAGCTTTGCTCTATATCCTGTTTTGTCTATAGCTTAGCACCATTATCTCACCAATAAGTGGTTGCGAGCGGAAAGATAAGGTGAAGCCCAGTGACTAATAATTTTTCACCCCACCATTATCGGACGTGAGTCAAGGTACAGAATCGCGGGGCAGCACAAACCCCTCCAACCCAACCCAAGTCGGGCCCTCGAATTCTGTTTTCGCATCGACAAAAGCAGAAATCACAGCAACAAGATGGCGGTCATTTATGTCGACGAAGAAGCCGGAAGCGATCTCCCTGAGATCCAGGGCACCGAGTCCGCCCCCTTCAAGTCCCTCCTTGAGGCCTACTTCCGCCACGGTGCCGAGTCCGAGTATCAGGTCAAGAAGAAGGACGATGAAGAGTACAAGCCCGCTGCCAAGTCGGCCTTGAAGAAGGCGGTCGCCTACGCTGCTGGACAAAAGAAGAAGCTTGATGCTGCGGCTAAGCGTGCTGAGAAGGATGCCCAGGATGAGGCTGCTCGTCTTGCTGTCCTTGAGGAGGCCAAGAAGATCAAGATCACCAATGACCCTTCCCTACCCGAGCCTGTCCCAATTAGCCTCCAAGAGACCGACTCTTCAGTGATTGGTACCCTCCGAAAGAGCAAGGATGAACCTGCCGAAGGCGTCAAGCGTGTGTCCGTCCAGGGCCGCGTCAACCGTGTGGCCAAGCAGGGTGGACTTATCTTCGTTACCCTGCGCCGTGGTGTTAACTACATGCAGTGCCTTCTTTCTGGAGACCTTTCCAAGACCTACGACGCTCTCACACTATCACGAGAGACTTCCCTGGAGATCATTGGCGAACTTTGGGAGGTTCCCGCTGGTGCTCACGCTCCTCTCGATCGAGAGCTCCGCGCCGACTACTTCAGAGTTATCGCCAAGGCTCCTGGAGGTGATGATGCCTTCACCAACATCGTCCCTGTTGACGGTGATGCCAACACCCTCATGAACCTCCGACATCTCACTCTCCGTCACGAGAAGCCTGCCGCCGTCATGTTCGTCCGCGATGTTGTCGAGGATGCTTTCCACACTGTCTACAAGGAGTTGGATATCAAGAAGGTCAGCCCTCCTGCTCTTGTGCAGACCCAGGTCGAGGGTGGTTCTACTCTCTTCAAGTTCGACTACTATGGTGAGACTTCCTACTTGACTCAATCCAGTCAGCTTTACCTCGAGACTGTCCTCCCCGTCCTTGGTGACTGCTACTGCATTGAGAAGTCTTTCCGAGCCGAGAAGTCTCTTACCCGTCGCCATGTAAGTACCTCCCCTTGATGGGACTCGGAATTGGTTCCATTGTGTGGATCCTACAAAGCTAATTATACTTTAGCTTTCTGAGTACTCTCACGTTGAGGCCGAGCTGGATTTCATCACTTTCGATAACCTCCTCGACCATCTCGAACATGTCATCTGTCGTGTGATTGACCTGACCCTCGAGAACCCTGTGGCGGCCGAGGCTATCAAGAAGTACAACCCTGACTTCCAGAAGCCTTCTCGACCCTTCCTGCGTATGCGCTACTCTGATGCCATCGACTGGCTACGAGAGCGTGGTATCAAGAACGAAGAGGGCAATGATCACACTTTCGGAGATGATATGTAAGTCTTCCACACCTTGCGAACATGCATGCGCAAACTAACTTGTAATTAGTGCCGAGGCTGCTGAGCGCAAGATGACTGACGAGATCAACCGCCCCATCTTCCTCACTCACTTCCCCGTCGAGATCAAGTCTTTCTACATGTCCAAGGCTAAGGACGACCCCCGCGTGACCGAGTCCGTCGATGTTCTGATGCCTGGTGTTGGTGAGATCGTTGGTGGCAGTATGAGAATCTGGGATTTCGAAGAGCTCATGGCCGGATACAAGCGCGAGGGCATTGATCCTACAGGCTACTTCTGGTACACTGACCAGCGCAAGTATGGATCCACCCCTCACGGTGGTTACGGTCTGGGAGCTGAGCGGTATGTGTTTTGCTGTCTAACTGTTAAATCTTTGCTGACCATTTTTGCAGATTCCTTGCATGGCTTCTTAAGCTCTGGACTGTGCGAGAAGCATGCTTGTATCCTCGTTACATGGGCAGATGCACCCCGTAAACGAATTGTTGATGAGATGCATAACGAAAATGGAGTACAGGGTTTTAATACAGTAGAACAGATCGCTCTAGAGTATAGTCTAGTATTGAAAAGCGAGACTGCTCCACTGAAGCTTTTTTATTGCACTTTTGTTGTTTGACGTCTAGGTATTTGTGAAATGCCCAGAATCTCCGTTCATGCAGTCGTAATCAATTGTAGCCTCAAGTCCCCATGGATGTTAAAGATCGGTATCCACTAAAAAGTTCATCAGCGGCTGTCAACGGAAGGCCCTGGAGTGCTCTGGACCCTGTTACCTTGGGGAGATGCCTCTACCGAGGCCCTACCGATCGCTTTTCCCCATCCCTCGTTCAAATTTACTGATTCTGATTGGCCAGAACTTTGCCTCCGAAATCCGTGCCTTCTTTCTCCTCATACCTAACTTACATTCATTCATCTTGCTCTTACCAACAACACCTCCATATTACTACAACAAACCTCACAACCACTCTCAAAATGCCTCGTCAACGATCCGTCGGCCGCGCTCCTTCGCGCCCTACCGCCTCCGCTTCTGCCCCTAAGCCTCAGCAGACTCGACCTGCCGCCACCCATGCTGCTCCTCCCGCCGCTTCTCACCCTCCTGGCCAGGCCATGCCTCCTCAGGCTGCCGGTTCCCAGGGCCCCGGATTGTTCGGTCAAATGGCCAGCACTGCTGCGTAAGCATTCCCTCCTCGAACATGCAACAATTGGCCTTTTGAAGCTCTTTTCATCAACGGCGCAAACGCCGGAACCGTTCTAGATCATACTCGGAACATATGTAGCTAACTTTCTCCCAGCGGTGTCGCTATCGGTTCCTCAGTAGGCCATGCTATCGGTGGCATGTTCGGTGGCTCCTCCGAGCCCGCTGCCCCCGTCCAGGCTCAAGCCGCTCCCCAAGAGCAGTCCTGGAACCAAAACAACTGCGCGGGTGTCGCCCAGAACTTCACAAAGTGCATGGACGACAACAACGGAAACATGCAGATCTGCAACTGGTACCTTGAGCAGCTCAAGGCCTGCCAGGCCGCTTCTGGCCAGTAAATTGGGTTGGGAAGCAACATACAGATAAAAGGAACTTGATTTCATTATGGGAAAGGAAACAATGGGGATGAAGCCCCTGGCAGCGTGCCTAGACGTACTTGCTTGTAGAAATCTGGTGGGAATACTACTATTACATCTCCACAACCAATTGTATAATATAGAACAAGATCTCAATCCACTCAAATTGGGAACTCTTCAACTGTCCTTCTCCTCTTCTGGTCGTGGTTCGAAATTCAACTTTTTTAGGTTAGCAAGTTGAAGACTTGTTGTGATTGTTTCTTACCGAATTTCCATTGTATAATTGTTGATCTCTTTGCTGGTCACTCGGGTTCTGGAATTCCCGAATTCGGGATCGTTCCCGGGAACTGGTCGGTCCATGGACGGACCCTCGGCGTCCTCGCTCATCGCCAGGTCCAAAAAGACCGAAAATCCATGAGAAAATGCCGAGAATGAAGCTGATGATCTTGGAAACAATACCCTGCGAGTCGCCATCATACGCAGATGTGTACTTCTTAACTGGTATCAGTACCAATGTAGAGGAAGGGGAGAGGCCAAGTTCGCCAATGGCTTTGTCCTCCTCGGTCTCATCGACGTTCCTGTTCGGTAGAGGTGTAAGAACTTGCTTGAAGGTATATGGTTGCGCTCCATCGGTTCGGGTTTCGTCCACCCATTGTCGAATCTCCTTGAGAGGTGTATTCGTCTTGAAGCGCGATCTCAGAGTCGACCCATCGAAGAGGCGTACTTGAAGAGCCGTCATTCCACCCGTCTTGGTTGAGGCTGCCAGCTTAGTTTCTGGTGCGCTGACTAGGGATGCTGCGACGTCGCCGCCTTTCATATTCTCGATTCTTCGCTTCTCGCGCTCTTCCGCGCGCAAGCGCCGTTCCGCCTTATCATCCTCGATACGCTTTAGAATTCGCGCCCTCTCTTCTTGGTCCTGCTGTCTCTTCTTCTTGACAGCCTCGGCAGCCTTGTGAGCTCGCGCGTTGTCAGTGTTCATTCCGGCCTCGGCCTCGGCTTTAGCCTTCTCTTTGGTCCTGGCCCGCTCTTCTTTAACGTTGCGCTCATTCTCCTCCCTCTGCGCCTGAAGTCTGGCAGCCCTTTCAGCTAATATCCTACGGACATTCTCAGATGCTGATGACGGTTGTGTAGCCGGGGAGCTCTGTTCCGGCGCTGTATGTGTCTCTGGCTGAGGCTGTGGAGGGTCAACTTGGGTTGGAGCTGGTTGGGTTGCGGCTGGCACTACCGCCGCAGATGCGGAGCTCAAAGCCGCCTTAACTCTCCGTAGGAACTCTTCCTTGTTGGTTCCAGATGTGATGTAGTCCTTCAACTCGCCATTCTTGATGATAACGACGGTAGGAGTCCGTGGGAGCGGAAAGATTTGGGCTAGATATCCGGCTTCTTCGGATCCAGCCTTAAGGCGAAGCGCGACGGCGTGTTCATTGAGCAAGTCGCTCAACTACGCCGTTGATTAGCCCTTCAATTCCATGATCTACACATCACCAAAAAGTATCGTACCGTATCATCGGTAAGGAATTCGGTTTCCCATTGTGTGCTCTCGTCGCCCTCATCTGTAATTAATGTGAGCTATGTCGGCTAGCATGATGGCAAGACGAACCGGTAACAAAGCACAGGACCAGTTTTTGCTGGCCGACGGCAGTCGAGATACCGTCCTGAAGAGTTCCCTCATAAAACATCTTGAAGTTGCCGTTACAAAGGAAGAGTTGATTATGTCAAGTCGAAGAAATCGATCTATAATTGAAAAGGTGGGAGTTGGGGAGTGAGACAGAACTGCGGCCACTTGTCTTTATACCCTTACAGGACCTCCCTGAGTATTTACATGCGGCCGGTATGCAGGAAAAGTCAGTCAGCAAATCTTATTGAAGTCCAAGAAAGCTTTATTCAGGAGTGTAGAGCTCAAAGTAGAGGAAACTTAAAAGCATGAGCTCTAATCAATTCATATCATGAGTGAAGCTTCATAGGAGGCAGCTCTCAGGTACATATGACGCTATCATCACGTGTCAGCATGGCTGTAGGTACCTGTACCTAGCTCCCGAATCTCGGACGGTGGGGGCTGACTCAGCGAAATCATTGTCAAAGGTTTAAATGCAAGAGAAAAGATGAAGACTAATACATGAATTCCCTAAAGAGTAGACGAATTTACAGATGTACGAAGGTATCATACGTTTATCAATACCGTCTCAAGAGACGTCACAACTTGGGGTCTTTGTTAGTATACTAATCATAAACTTAGTAAAAAATACACTTGCTCTGCTTGACTCATTCAACCATCCGCCCTCGGAAACAGTCAAAGGACTGCCAGTGTGTCCGGATTTCTAAACTTGTCTTCTTCGCATCGTATTATTCTGTCACCAAATTCGTACACCAAACTGGTCAAGATGCTCATTGATCCAGCTTTCATGCCATGGGCAGAAGGCAAAGGCGTCAAACTCAAGGGTGTCGAACCCCGAATCCTTCCTGGTCGAGGTATCGGTATTGTGGCTGTTCGTGATATCAGAGTAAGTCAACAGTTGGTCTGAATAGACTCTTCAGTATATTCTTAACCCTTTTCCATAACCCTTATGTACATTCATTAAGAGTGTCCAAGGCACCACTTACAAGGGATCAGGCTATCACTTAGTCTTTCAGCAAGCTTAACTTTCTTTGTCGAGTTCTAACATACCGTTAGGCAAACGAAACTATACTGAGTGTGCCGACAAGAGCGCTTCGCACAATTGACACAGTCCCAAAACATATCAAGGAGGCTCTTCATGGCGTTTCGGTTCATGGCGTCTTGGCTGCCGAAATTGCGCTCGATGACAGTGATGACTTTGCTGTCTGGAGAACAGTTCTTCCGACTAGAGAAGACCTAGAGGGCGGCATGCCTATGATGTGGCCGAGTGAGCTCCAAGCCCTTCTCCCAAAGCGAGCCAAAGATCTCTTGGACAATCAGAATACCACATTCCGGCGCGAGTGTGAGATTGTCCTGAAAGCCTTCCCTAAACTGACAAGAGACGAATATCTATACTGCTGGGTTCTGGTCAACACACGAACATTCTTCAATAGCAGCCCAAAAATGAAGAGCTACCCTCATGCTGATCGACTGGTCTGCATGCCAACGGCTGACCTTTTCAACCATGCTGATCAAGGATGCAAACTCGCCTACTCTGCTCTCGGATACAGCGTTCAGACCGACCGAGTATACAAGCAGGGTGAGGAAGTCTACGTCTCTTATGGTCCCCACTCGAATGACTTTCTTTTGACAGAATACGGCTTCATTCTGGACACAAATCGCTGGGATGAGGTATACCTAGACGAAGTGATCCTACCACTACTGAACAAGACACAGCGCGCCGAGCTCAAAAGTGTCGACTTTCTTGGCAGATATACACTCGACGACCAGACTATTGGATGTCATAGAACACAAGTCGCATTGCGGATGCTGTGCTGTTCTCCGAGACAGTGGCAACGGTTCTTCGATGCCGGTGATGATGGACGATCCTCACAGGTCGAGGTAGACAATCTTCTGTTGACAGCTTTGAAGGACTTTTTGCGTATCATAGAAAAGACACGGAATGACATTGATGAGATAGAAGGCGGTTCGAGTAGCCAGAGGGAGCTGTTAAGGCGCCGATGGCAGCAATGCGAAGCGATGGTCACGAAGGCGACAGAGAAGATGACCGGAGACGCCTAGGGTGTCATAAGAATTGGTCGCTGAAATCGTAAAAGATGAAATACCTAGCTACATTATGCAAGCTTATGTTACCACTTAGACTAATTTATTTTCAGCAGTCTAAGCATTAGACGATAATTCTTCTGTTGCCTACCTGACACCTAGTCTTGAGATTGATCAAGCACTTCGATGCGGTCGGGAAAAGCTTCTTTCACAGTTTCACAACACAATACTAGATCTGATAGACTTATAACTGTATTTATTGTGGATGAAATCCCTGCATACCTTCTTACATTCTCCGAGCATTCTGAGCTGCATCGGGAACTGAGAGTCTCCGTAGTGCTCAATGATGTCGGCTTTCTCAACTCCAGTCTTCAGACTCGGCTCCGAAGAAGTCATGCCAAATTCTTCGCACTCTTTCCGCTTCTCGGGTGTCCACCATGGAGGAAGCAGTCCCTTTTGAGTCGATACCTTGCGAAGGAATTTCTTAAACCCAGCTAAGCCATCACTCGCGCCGCTGTAGAGGCTATCTTGTTCGACCTCGCCCTCGAGACGGTACATGTCCTCAACGCGCAGGCGGTAAGTATCAATAAGAAGCTTGTAGACATCTTTCTCAGGACGGTCATGCAGATATGTTCCTCTGTCCAGACGAGTGAAAGGATCAGGGATAGGCTGGTCAAGACCCTTTGGCGGTGAACCTCTTGTAGAAGTAGAAGCAGACGCAGACGCAGACGCAGACGCGGAAGATCCTTGCTTTCCGCACACCTTTTTGTGATTTTTTCAATCAGCCTTCTGGCATTCTCGGGAACAATAAGATTCAGAAGAGCACTTCGCGCAGCGCTTGAGGGAGACTTCTGGTTCAGTCTTTTGGCAGGTCTTGCAAGCCATGTTGAGAAGGCGGTTGTGGTATTGGAATAAGATTGTATGTAGAGACAACAAAGCCTGAAGAACCAACTGAGGGCAAGATAGCTATAAATATGACATTGATGTAACAGTGCATGGTTGCTGTAGCAAAAGCAATTATCTAATTCTTGACACTTCGCTGGGGGTTGCCAGCCTCAAGTGGCGTAAAGTAGCAGACTATTTGTATTATCTCGTGCTGGATTCAAGCTCTATGTCGGGGAATTCGTATGTACCTCTCCAGCCATATTTCAAATCCAGCGTCGTCTGAGCACTCCAGTCATCGGCCAATTCCTTCTCTGTCAAATGCTCGTCTGGTACTCGAAAAGTATAAGTGTTTGTCTCGAGTAGAACGGTAGTCGTAGAAGCCTCTACGTCTCCGTGCTGTTCCGTAGCTCGACTGATCTGGACTTTCCCTAACAATGCAATTTGCCTGTGGAATTCATGGCCCCGGTATATGCCTTTGCATGCTCTATGAAGGTTCTCAAGCACCTCAGCCGCCTGTTCAGCTGTTGCACTCTCCAACGATTCGCCCGTCTTCCTCAGTCTGCTCACTAACTCTGTAATCACAGTCCAGATGCGCTCTTCTTCTTCTGCCGAACGAGGAGTTTCCTTCGCTGCCAAGTCTGTGACAAGTATAACGGCAGCGTTAAATGCAAGGAAATCGTATAGATGACACTTCGCCACTGTATCTTGCATATCTCTCATGTCTTGATGAGCTCGTATCGCGCCTTCAGCTGATTCCAAGACTTCAACCCTGGTATACTCGAATTGCTTATCGGAAGCCGCAAACTGTGAATACGGGAGATGGATCATCGTGTTGAGGGTATGCTTGAAAAGTCTCAGAATTGCATATGTAATGGGATGGGCAAAGACTGAATCGTTCCTTTCATCTGGAATTAGAACTTTAAGCTGCCTAATCTCCTCAACCATGCGTGTTATAGTGCTAAAAGGAGTATCTTGTCTCATTCGGTCGCGGTCGCTGATGCATCCTGATATCGAGGCGATTGTCCGCAGAGCATCCAATTCGGGATTTGCATATGTCTTGCTGAGGGTGAGATTATCTGGTACCATGTATGGTAACCCTAGAATAACTGATAGTTCGCGGTCTCGGATCCATAGAGAATCCCATAAATCCCCGTACAGATTCGGTTGACGAGTATGGATACCCAGTAACATTGCATTTTCGATGCCGGCTCTCACGCATTTCCATGCCTTGCTGGGACGACCAATGGCGATGAAGAGCTCGTACTGGAAAACCAGTGCTTCTATCGAGTTGATACTGCAGGCTGGTGTACAATCAGCGAGGTAAAAGATAGATATTTGTGTGAGCAAACGATTGATTAACTCCTCTGGACACAAAGGTAAGCCAGTCTCGACGTCTCTGAAGTCTTTAGGTAATTCCGAGAGACAGAGACAGAGCCAACTCAAACACTTCGACACAAGTCCAACATCTCTCGATTGTAATGACTCGTGTATAAATGATATCACCCTCTCAGTGCTGCCAACAAGGAAGCCGGTATTGAATATGTTGATCGTAGAAAACGGTTGTAACATCCAGGATTGGTGGAGTTGCCCTCCAGCGTACTCTAGAATCCTTTCTAGAGTTGCTCGATTTGGGATAAGATCACCAAGTATCGAGTCTAGTTGGGTTATAGGGGATCGGGACGCATATTTCGATATTGAAGATCCTTTGAGACTTTGAGACTGCGAATTATCTGGGGTGATGAGAACTTCGCTTCGCCGATCCAGGCTCATGGAATCGGCAGAACAAGCTGCATCGCGTTGATCAAGTTGACTCGTCAAGTTCTTTATTGATGCTTGCATCTCAACCATGCGCAACTCAACCTGACTAACAAATTGTTCTAGTTCCTCGATTATTCGGTCTTTTTCATCGAAAGACTGGGGGAGTCGTTGTTGCCTTGGCTCACATACAAGAGCGTGTGCTATACACTGACGACACTCGGTTTCGCCCCCATAGACACAACTCACTTTTCGACGCCGGCATTCTGTACAGCTTTTTGTTGCCGGTTGTGTTTCTCTGTTGTGATTCATCAAGATGCGGCTGGGCTGTGTTGTTAACCTCGTGATGAAGTCAAGATTCACTGGGCGATCGTCTTTAGGTATCTCGTGGCTAGAAGTTATAAACTTTACAAATGTCTCAGATGACGACGATGTTTGAAAACAGAAAACCTTGATATTTATTGGAAATCTACCTTAGTCGGTTGTTAGTTGTGATTGTGATGGCTAAGAGATACCAGCTAACATTAGCCCACGCTTTCACAGTGGCATGCGGCCGATCATCATTGGCCTAGATAAGCCGGTGGCATTTAAAGTCTGTTAGACTAGCAAACTTCCTGACTTTTGATAGCTCCTTGCGTTCGCAAGATGTGTTGTTCATTGAGAGCATCTGACTCGTTGCAAGGGTCATTGGGTGTGAGCTGTGCTGGCCGTGGAAGGTTTCTTTGAGAATTTTCTATTTTTCTAGGCCTCATCTATCCGTGTAATGATCGCTTCTAGTTTAGGTCTATGTATTTCAATCGCCATGACTTAGAACTGCAATTGTTTCTCAATCGATTCATCCATCCATGTTACAGGGTAGACTACCTGAGTACTTAGGTGTGCATCATTCAATGGAGGGCGCCCCACATAACGTTAGACTAATCACTATCACTATCACCAACTCCGTCGACATCCATTGACTTCAACTTCAATGCGCCACCAAACATGAATGCGCCACAGACTCTCCTGCGCAGTCTGCGCATTTCGAAACAAGTGCCTCGCTGCACAAGACTCACCAATTCAGTTCCGCCAAGGAGGAACTTCACCACCTCTTTCTTCCGTCGCAAAAAGCAGCAGCCCTCAGCCGATGACCCAGAATTCGTCTCTGTTCTAGATGGCCCGCCCCAGCTTGTTCGTGTGGGAAGACGCCATGGACCTGGTTTGATTATCCTCGGTATGGCTCAGACTCTTCAATTGAATCGACTGTAGACTAATTGTTGTAGCTATCATCCCCGTTACAGCCTTCATCCTGGGAACATGGCAAGTCCAACGCCTGGGCTGGAAATCGGACCTCATCGCCAAATTCGAAGACCGTCTCATCCGCGACCCACTACCCCTTCCACCTACCATTGATCCCGATGCCATCCACGACTTCGACTATCGCCGCGTGATAGCAAAAGGTCATTTTAGACATGACCAGGAGATGCTCATTGGGCCGCGCATGCGTGACGGTACAGATGGATATATGGTAGTAACACCACTGGAGCGTGAGAATGGCACAACAATTCTGGTGAATCGAGGCTGGATCGACAAGAAGCACAGAGACAAGAGGACAAGACCTGATGGATTACCAACCGGCGAGGTCACCGTGGAGGGGCTCTTAAGAGAGCCTTGGAAGAAGAATATGTTTACGCCCGAGAACCAGCCCGAGAAAGGCATGTTCTATTTCCCAGATGTGAAGCAGATGGCTGCGTTGACCGGTAGTCAGCCTGTCTGGGTGGAGGCTACTATGGGTATGTCTATCCTCATGATCATTCATATCTCATGACGTCCTTGCTAACGATACCAGAACCCGAATTCATGCAAATGGTTGACTGGGAATCTCGAGGTATTCCTTATGGTCGACCCGCAGAGGTTAACCTGCGAAACAACCATGCCCAGTATATCTTTACCTGGTAAGCTGTCCCATCATATGGTACCAATTGGAGCGTGCTAACCCTTCATCCTTAGGTATGGTCTGGCCTTCGCAACCTCCATCATGCTTTGGATGGTAGTTAAGAAGCCCGCAAATGACGTTGCTCGTCGTGTAGCCCGCTCAAAGGGTCTGTAAAATTAAATCGCATGATGCATTCCGTGCAAACTTCACGTATACTCTGCAACCTCTCTTTCGTCACCTTGATCCGACACACGCTTTGCCTTGCGTTGCTTGATGGGCTGCGGCACAGGCATTCTCAGCTCCTGAAGAAGTTCTCTTGGGAGGTGCTTCTGTGCTAAAGAGAACATGGAAGAACGAGGTCCGATTTGGCGTTGCCTGTACGATATTAGAATTTGTGGCAGTACAAGATACGGAGCTGATACCCCGGTGAAGTGACATACCTTTTCATGAGTGTGAAGACGTCGCTCTCTTCGATAGTTTTGCGCTTGGCGTGATCTGCATACGCTCCTAGATCGTCACCTAATTGCTCAAAGAACCATTCTGAAGATTGGATGAGAGCATCTAGCGTTTCGGCTGAAAGACGCTGGTTTGTCAGACCTGATGATTGTAAAGCTGTCTGTGCTACCCTCTTGACAAAAGCTGGAGGTAGCGATGGGTATTCGATGCCATGTTGTGAGATCCGCTTTCGCTTTTTATTTGCTTTCAAACCACGAGGTAGCCTGTCGTCAGCAGGCATGTTACGTACTGTCGCTGTGACTGTTGGCTCCAAAGTTGGTTCCTGTTCTTCATTTATTGAGCTGTGATCGTCCACACCACCATCGTTATAGTCCCAGCCATCCATGCCAAACTCTGCAGCTCCACGATCAGAGTCAGAGTCAAGCATTACGTCCTGTTGAGGAGCCTGAACTTCGTCACCTCTGGCTTCTGTGACTGATTGATCAACGATAGGCGATGTTTGCTGGATGTCGTTGGCTGGGTCAGACATTTGGAAGACCGTTTGTTCGTCCAATCCTTCAGGAATGTCTAGATCGAAATCGCTTCCTCTACCTTCGGTCATCCGCCGGGTCTGATCTGCTTCGAATCTGTTTAGGGGTTAGTCAATGTCACATAACTAATGCGACTCCAGTATAACTTACGCTTCCAAAGTCATATCATGCTCTCCGGTTCCCGCTTCAAGATTTTCCAGGAAACCAGGGAAGAAATCTGAATGTTGGCCGATGTCATCTTCTGTGGGTTCATTGTTGAGGTAGTCACTCATGCGCTCGCTCCCAGGACTACCTCGAGATAACTGTGGATCAACTCGCCGAGGCAATTCGATCGATTGTACCGTAAAGTTATCTTCGTCTAATTGTGACAGTCGTGGCGGAGGTATTTCCGAGCTCATACTAGAAGCATCTTCATCACCCATGGGCAACGAAAGTCTGGGCCGCCGAGTGAGGAACTCGTCATCATCGTCATCATCGTCGTCGGCATAGAGGTTGCTTTGCTCCTGATGTTCCGGCGATGAACTTGGTTTGTTTCCGGAGGGCGATGAAGACGAAGAGTAGTGAATCGGCTGGCTTTTGGGTGCTAGCGCTCGACCAAGGTTTCGCAGAACATCCAAGGGTGTTTCTCTTTGTTGCATCATACTTTGTCTACGATTCTTTCCAGGAGTAAACATTGCTGTTCGGCGTTGGTCAAGCAGCCGGCGAGCGGCTTTGGCGTGTGGGGTTGGCGCATTGGATCGACCAGCAGAGGCAGGAGTTCCGCGACGAAGAGAGGCACGGAGGTCGCGAGTGCCAGTGCGATCGAGAGGAGTGTGGACAGAGGCGCGAGCAGAGTAAGGCTCAGCGCTGATTGCGCGGCGGGGAGTTCGGGAGGGAGTTCGTGCTGGCGTTTCTTGTGAGGCCGCCTTGGCCGGTGGTGATATCGGACTTGACATGTTTGTGGTGTTTATTTAGATGCGCCGGAGCAGTTGAAAGAGCGAATTTCGCTCGAATAGCAGGCGACGACTTGGAATAAGGTTCTCATGAACAATTCCAACTCGATTGACCTAGGTAGTATCTGGAACCATTATCTCGACAGATATTTTTGCCTATTCCGTTGTGAATAAAGTTGTTGATCCAATGGAGCCTGGTCAATGATGATGCTAGTACGCGACGCGACGAGGGGACCCCATTCTGCTAGAGCGCACGGACCAGTCGATCCAAGCGCAAAAGGTGGGAAGGACTCCATTGAAGGTAAGTCTAGGTACCTATTACTGTAAGATCTAAGATTCGGATGCCTGCATTGAAGATTTCTAAGAACTTGAATGTATTTCTGAATAGCTTTATCGACGAACGTGTATCCTCACGAAAAAAATACCATTAAAACCCCCCATTTGCAGTTGAACCAAAATATCCCCAACCTCCAAGAATGAGACTGCCCGTAAACCTCCAGATGCCTGTTCCTGGGGCACCTACTTTCAAGCATACCCATAAGTCGGCGATACCCCACCAGACGAGCAAGCTCATCAACGTATCTACAACATGGTACTCGCGTCGTAGATAGAATAGCCATATAGCAAGACCGTAAGCGGAGACACGACTGCCGTAGATGGCAAAGGCTGCGTGCGCTGGTTCCGATCTGACAATGCCCTCCGGTAGACCATATTCTCTCATAGCTCTATGGGGATACTTAAAAGGCAGAAGACCACCAAGGGTAAAAGCAGTGCCTATGAAGACAGCAGGAATATGCCATGGTGAGAAGTTGGAAAATAAGCCTGAAGCCATTGTATATGCTGACAAGACCCTGCGAATATGTTAGTACCGAAACAACCGTTAGCTATACAGATGCATACGTTGTGAGAGTTCTGTGCACGATTAACAAGAAAGGAGATTGAGGAAAAGAGTTGTCATAAAGACTATGTACGTATATATATATAAGCTGACGACTCCAAAGAGGCGAAAGGGTTACATGTAAGACGATTTAGTCAGTCAGGCAAAAAGAGGACAATTGGCAAAAGAGCAATTTCTAGGACCGAGCGTGGATCGAACACGCGACCTAGGGATCTGCAATCCCTCGCTCGTACCACTGAGCTATCGATCCTTGT